CGATTATCTGTGTTTTCGGTATAGTTCCATAAAACGTATAAAAATGGCAAAATATTTTTTTTTGTTTTATGAGAGTTTGGTCTTGCCCACACCAAAGTCTTCGGTCCTTCGGGCTGCTCCGGAATCGAACCAACCCCCAAAAGAATAACGAGCGGACGCTTTATCCACTCGGCCAACCGAACCATTGGACACCGCTGTTCTTTTCCGAGGGAAGAGAAAGAGGAAATTTTTGTGGAACTTTCGGTCGATTTTTCTCGTCGGCCGGGCTTATTCCGCAGCTGGAAAATCGTTCTTTTTACCAAAGTTGACCTGCTCTATCCACCTGTACTAGTCATTTTCTCAAACGCCGGGGGAAGTTCAGACCATTCCCTTGTTAGTTACAAATTTTCTACTTTGTGACAGACTAATTGAACATGAGATTTCTTGTCATCATCCTCACTGCTCTTGTTGTTACCAGCCTAGCTCTTCAGCGGTACTGTAGAAGCTCCATTGTTTGAATTTTCTATTGTAAGCAACTTTTGGCTGATTTCCGAACATGCCCGCAGAATCTTCGTACTTCTTCGAGAAAGTGGCTGGCCGCAGTTGTGGGCTCGCGGTTTTCTTAAGCTAATTTTTTAGGCTTAAAATCTGTCGGGAAAATAACCAGAACTCCGTCGGATCGAAGATTGCATCGTCTCTGAGAAATTGAATCGTGTTGCGCGCAATTGTGTTGCGGAGAAATCAAACTGCTCTTCACTTCAGCGACGCGATCGGCGCAACGAAATTGTGTTCATTATTTTCCCGACACACTGATAATACCTCAAGCATGACAAACACAAACACAAAACAGCTGTATATTTATTGGGATTCAAAATCATTTCATTCCTTTGGTGTTGGTGTGGCAATCGGGATACATTCGCAATGTTTGCTGAACATATAGTCACCACAATGCGGTCTTTCTCCTATGCGGCATCGCCATCCCGCGCAGTCCTTGTCCCTGTAGCAAGGCATCGTGAAGGCAGATGCCACAGCAACCAACAACAGGAAGGTAGCGAACAATCTCATGGCAAATCAGTGGTTGAGAAATCCGTCCGACGCTGGGGTTTTATATTCCATTTTTTAATTAAAAGGGTCGAAAACCACATGTCTGGGGCGTTGAAATTGACAAAAAGATTAAAATACATATTGCCTTCTCATATGCAAATGTAAATGGCTCGATTTTCGATCCTAGAAATGGGGCAATTTAAAGCTTAATTTCAAAAATATTGTTGTTGTGTACAAAACCAAATATGAATAGATTTTTGATTCAGGTAAGGCGTTATAAGCCCGCCTGCAGTCTTTTTCGGCATAGTTTTCAAACAAAAAATAATCTAGAACTCGCATGTTTCTTGTACACAGTACCGCAAAGCGGCATGCTCTAGTTTTCTTGGAGTCGCGGTACTTGCGGCAACCGCTTTGCAGGCACCATTTTGCGACTAGAAATACGATTTCCTCCCTTAATCCGCGTAGTATCATAGAAATCTTGTACGAAGAACTCCCTGGTATTGATAACTACACGAATATATTGAATTCATCTTAAGCTTTCAAAATTATGGAAGTTTATTTCCAAAAAAGGTAAAAATGCCTGGTTCGCCTTATGGTAACTATTCAAGCCACTTATACACCAGGAAACTCGATTCGCAACACCTAATAGACAACTGCATCGTTTGAATTTCCTATTGTAAGCAACTTTTGGCTGATTTCCGAACATGCCCGCAGAATCTTCGTACTTCTTCGAGATGCCCGCAAGGTGGCTGGCCGCAATTGTGGGCCCGCCGTTTTCTTCAGCTATTTTTTAGGCTAAAAATCTGTCGGGAAAATAACCAGCACTCCGTCGGATCGAAAATCGCATCGCCGCCGAGGAAATGAATTCTGTCAAAGAAAATCAAACTGCTTTCCGCTTGACGAAATCGGCCCTGCGACACTGTGCTCATTATTTTCCCGAGGACTGATAATTCCCCAAGCATGACAAAAACAAAGGAGCTGTATATTTATTGGGTATTAAAAATCATTTCATTTCTTCGGTGTTGCTGCAACAATTGGAACACAATCGCAATGTTTGATGAGATCCCCAGCAACACATGCCGGTGTTGTTCCTAAACGGCATCGTAATCCAGTGCAGTCCTTGTCCGTCTGGCACCACCTGAATTCAATGGCAGATGTGACAGCAACCAACAACAAGAAGATAGCAACCAATCTCATGGCAAATCAGTGGATGGAAAATATGTTGGACAGAGGGGTTTTTATACTGATTTTTTTAATTAAAAGAGTTGAAAACCGCATGTTGAACGCGTTGAAAATGAAAGAAATTAAAATACGTATTGCCTTCTGACATGCAAATGAAAATGGCTCGACTTTCGACCCTAGAAATGGGGCAATTTAAAGTTTAATATCAAAAAAATTGTCGTTGTGTCCACAACCAAATATTGACAGAGTCTTGATTCAGGTAAGGCGCCATAAGCCCGCCTGCAGTCGTCTTCAGCATAGTTTTCAATGAAAAATAGTCTTGAACTCGTAAGTTTCTTGCACGCAGTACCGCTAACAGGGGAAGTACTCTAAGAGCGACGCTCAAATCTTGACGAAAATTGGCACAAATCTAGAATATTTTTTTCTAAAAAACATGCGACAATCCTAGCTCGCGCTTTGCAAAAAGAACCGAGATTTTTTGATCGAAAGTTGGCGAAAATCGAACACTTTTTGCCGAATTTCGGTACGAAAAGCTTCATGCCTTTTTCTACCATAGAGGGAAATGTTTATACAAAAAACCAATTTTTTCCGGGCGAAACTAGAAAAGTTATGATCTAAAGGCGTTTTCCTCTCTGACCGCTTTCCGCCTTCAGCGTACTCTCTCTCTGCGGCAAAGGTTGTTCAATATCTTGGCGGCGCTTGCAAAGCGCGAGCTAAAACTTTGAGGAATTGATACTTAGTTCATGACCAGGCAAAATTTAAAGAAAATCTGAGCGTCGCACTTGGGGTATTTCCCTTATAAGCGGCATGCTCCCGTTTTCTTGGCGTCGCGACGCTTGCGGGCAACCACTTTGCGGGCACCATTTTTTGCGATTATAAATACGATTTCCTTATCTATGTACGTCGTATCATAGAAATCTTGCACGGGCAACTCCGTGGTACTGATAACTACACGAACATATTGAATTCACTTTCCGATTTCAAAGTTATGGAAGTTTGTTTTCAAAAAAAAAGGTAAAAATGTCTGGTCCGCCCTATGGTAACTATACAAGCAACTTATACAGGGTGTTTCAAGAAATTTGGAACAAATAATTTGCTTATATCTTTTTCTTCTTTGCAGCTATCAACGAATTTCTTTTTGCTTCTAAAAATTGACAGCGTGCGTTTTTAGAATCTCAAAAAAAGTTTTTTTTCGTCGGCGGTGGGCCCATTTCTCGGCGGAGAAAATTAGGGCCTTTTTTAAAAATCACATCGTATTACGTGGCGGAAACGCCGTTGCAACGGCTGAAATCAAGTTTACGTTACACCTCCGTCGATTTTACGGTATGCATTTTTTGTTTTCGATTTTACGCGCACCGCGGAGGCGCGGCGGAGACTTCAGGTTTCGGCCGACGTTGTTTTGGGCCTTCGGCTGTTGCAATTCATGTTGGAAAAGAGGTTGGGGTGATTCTTTGTTGTCATCCGATGCACAGATGGCAAAAATTTCGTGCTTTTTTTCCCCGGCGGAGGATTCGGCGGAGGCTTTATCAAAGGGTCAAAGCAGTCTTACGAGTCCGGGAAAAATCTCAGCTACAAGAATCCATCAGAGCAGCATTGTCTTTCAAAGATTTTTGATTTTTTTGGTCCGGCGGACAAATCGGCGGAGTTTTGTTTTTACCCTTTGATAAAGCCTCCGCCGACTCCTCCGCCGGGGAAAAAAAGCACGAAATTTTTACCATCTGTGCATCGGATGACAACAAAAAATCACCCCAACCTCTTTTCCAACATGAATTGCAAAAGCCAAAGCGCGGAAGTGCGTAAAATCAAAAACGCAAAAAAAGCATACCGTGAAATCGATGGAGCTATTACGTAAACTTGATTTCAGCCGTTGCAATGGCGTTTCCGCCACGTAATACGCATCATTTGTTCCAAATTTCTTGAAACACCCTGTACAACAGGAACTTTCATTCGCGACATCTAATAGATAACTACATCGTTTGAATTTCCTATTGTAAGAAACTGTTGGCTGATTTCCGAACATGCCCGCAGAATCTTCGTAGTTCTTCGAGAAAGTGGCTGGCCGCAAGCGTGGGTCCGTCGTTTCTTAGACTACTTTTTAGGTGAAAAGTCTGCCGGGAAAATAATAAGCACTCCGTCGGCTCAAAAATCGCATCGCCACCGAGGAAATGAATTGTGTTGCGCGCATTGTGTTGCGGAGAAATCAAACTGCTCTTCACTTCAGCGACGCGATCGGCGCAACGAAATTGTGTTTATTATTTTCCCGACAGACTGATAATACCTCAAGCATGACAAACACAAAACAGCTGTATATTTATTGGGTATTCAAAATCATTTCATTCCTTTGGTGTTGGTGTGGCAATCGGGGTACATTCGCAACGTTTGCTGAACATATAGCTACCACAATACGGTCTTTCTCCTATGGGGCATCGCCATCCCGCGCAGTCCTCGTCGTTTACGCAATGCTTCGTGAAGGCAGATGCCACAGCAACCAACAACAGGAAGGTAGCGAACAATCTCATGGCAAATCAGTGGTTGAGAAATCCGTCCGACGCTGGGGTTTTATACTCCATTTTTTAATTAAAAGGGTCGAAAACCGCATGTTTAGGGCGCCGAAATTGAAAAAAAAATTAAAATATTTATTGCCTTGTGGTATGTGAATGTAAATGGTTCGGTTTTTAAACGCAGAAATGAGGCCAACTAAGCGTTACAAAGTCATAAAATGTAAATTTATCGATCCTGTTCTCAACGTAAATAAAAAATTTTCCTTATAAAAGAAGCGTAACGTTTCTTTCGACCTAGCGGTGGCAATCGGGCTGGGCCGGCAGACCCTTTCCGGCCCCCGGTCTGGGCCAACCGGAGACCCAGGCCCCATTCCAAATCCAGCCCGAATGAATCAAATTCTGAATCCAATAGCAATTGGTAATTCCTTTCCTTAAAAGTTCATTGTTAGTTGTGATAAGAAAATATGTTACATCTCGCAATGAATGCAGTAGTATGCTGTGAATCCACGGCCGCAATAACGACATTTGACCCCAACCCGCGTCCTGACACTACGAGATTGAGAGTCTTGGCATTCCGCCGCAACGGTCGAGAGAGAATGGAAATGGGGGAAATGAGGACATTTGGTGGAAGAAGCAGCACTGCGAGCGGTTGGCCACAATTGCTAGAGGATTTGAATATATTATGTTGAGCTTGCGGCCACTCATTCGGCCATATTGTAAAGAGAGGAGCGTTACTGATGATAAACATATTTGCCGTTTATTCGGTGATTGATTGTGCTGATCTTTGGGATATTCTCCCTCAGATATTTGTACGGGCAAGTGGTTGAATCGGTTGGAGGAGACCCTTGTTCCCAATTGGCTGCTTCGTAACAAATGTGGAAGTCAAAGGATTGTGTAGGCAAGATTGCCCGCAAGTATGCACCCCTTACCTGAACCGGTGATTCACGAAAATTTCGAAGTCCAGCCCGGCGTCTGCGATGCCTGGCCATGCCTAGGTTGCTGGAAACGTGCCCTGGCCAATAAAAGAGTACTGCGATCAAAAATAAATATGAAAAATACTAGTCCTTTTGCAAAATCACTCAAGCGATCTTCGCACTGTGCGAAAACAAAGGTTTACCCTGCACTGCGCAATTTGTTGGTTTTTGCACCGTGCAATAGGCTTTTTTGTGTTGCCGCGAGCAGCCTGGCTTTTATTACACAGTGCATGTCGCCAAAATCACTCCAGCGGCTTCTCTAACAGACTCTTAGTAAGTAGCAGCGATTTTTTCGTTATGAACCTCCGTGTGTAGACGATCCTCAATGAACGCGTTTATTCGTCCACAACGCAAAATTAACGGTTAATTTTTTTTACATAAATTGGTGCATCCGGACAGCGGCATTCTCCAAGTGGTATGTCGTAGTCCTTCTCGCATATCGGACTGCGCCCATCCGGACAAAAAACCTCCGTTGCGCATTGTCTGTCGCTTGTGCAAGTGTTGTATTGGGCGGCGGTGAGAACAGCGAGCAAAAGAAGTAGGAACACAGCAAACAATCGCATCATGAAATGATTGAAGGAGGCGCGGAATGCATCATTCTTGTAGCAGAACTTTAATTAAGACGCACATTAGAGTTGTTGAATTGGAAAAATTTACATTTATGGCTTTCCTATTACGCCTTCTCAAAAATGCGTAGACTTTTTTCTCGCGGCGCACACTGTATTTTTAGCTAAAAATTTTCTACCTTGTGGCAGACTAATTGAACATGAGATTTCTTGTCATCATTTTCTTTGCTCTTGTTGTTACCAGCCTAGCTCTTCAGCGGTACTGTAGAAACGATGAGGAATGCGCGGATATAAAATGCTTTACTGGAAAGTCGGCTACGTGTTGGATGCAGGGAATTGGCCAATGCGTTTGTCCTCCAAGTCTTATCACTCTTCCAGTATGAAATATAATATAAATTTGTCTGGCAACCTGCAATAACTATTATAAAATGCATTTTCGAAGTCTTAAATACGACTGAGATTTTTATCCAAACTTGGCAAATATATATATGTATATGGTTGGACAATTTACGGGGCCCTTCCTCCAGGCGAGTCCAGGGTCCCCTAGGCCTCCAAGATATCAATGAAGTGAGCCGCCGCAACAGCATTCAACCGGTCGCTGCGTCCCGCCACGAAACCCGAAAGAACACCGCAATCAGCCGAGACGTGGATTTGGAAGGAAAGGAGAATAGTTTGGAAGTCGCAGCCTGAGCGAGCGGTTGGCCGTCAGCGCGTGCGGACAATTGGAGCACATCGAGTGTATCGGCCTGCTTGTGTATTGTGCTGTTTGGGACAATAAAGAGGTCATTGGATATTGTTGGAGTATTGGGAGAGCTTGTCTAGGACAGCGTATCAGGAGACCCGGTGTCTGATCGTGTAGACGAGGACCGGAGGATCTCTTTATGTTACAACTCCCTCTTCACCTTACCCCAAAAGCTGACTCCACAGGATCTCCGTTGATATGTTTATTGATGGCCGCTCGTACAATACGAGATGTTATAAGATATAGCAGTAGACCGATTCTTCTTCCTGGGTGCCTCACACGTCATACTTCTCTAATCCCCAGCTCAACAAAGTTCCCGGACTGCCAATTGTTACCGATTCTCCTCTGTCCACGTTTCTCTCATGCACAGCATCCCGGGCTATTTGTAGCCACCGATCGGTCCCGATTTTCGCTCAAAATGGTGATCATGCAGTTGACGGCGCGTTGCCGTCACGGGACAAATTGTGGGTCTGGGTGCGGCTGCCTCCATTAATGCCATTTTTTATGAATTCATGATCATCATCCATTTTAAGATAAATTTTTTCATTCGGTTAAAATTACATTTTGCAATGCCAACCCCACCTATTTTCATAGCCCATACAGTAAACATTTCTCCGTTTATTCAGATTTATAAAATGCACGACACAACTATAAATGCACTTTAAAAATAGCTGCAACTTTGGCGGTTCTCGATAAAAATGTGTCATATTTGGCACCGTTATGAATTAGTCTACAATAAATCTTGCGCCAAAAAATTACTTCGAGCAGTTTCCAAATTTCCTTGGGGGATCAACTTCAAAAGGACTGCATTCCCCGGCTGGCCTGCACTGACATCTGTTTCCAAATCCAAACATATGCATACATTTTGCGATATCACCTTCTTTGCATTTCAAATGTTTACTTGCACAATCCTCTCTTCTCTGACATTCGCTAATACGCAGCGAATTTCCAATTGTAACGAAAGAAATAAGAAGAACGATGAGAAATACAACACGCATATTTCGGACTGACCGCATTTCAATAAACCTTGAGAAGAAGCCATCAGTTTATATAGTTTCCATTCAAGACATCTGAATACAACACTCTAAATTCAATATTTTGAATTTTAATTTAGCCAGTGGGTTTGTCGTGTCACATGCACAGACACGGCAAACCCACAGGCTTATAGTTAGGGAGAGAGATAAGGGGGAAACTGATCGCTTCATCTGAAGAGTAATTTCCCAGAGTATAAAGTAGATTTTGTTCAAATCGCACACGGTCAAACTCCACAGGCTTTCCATTAATCCGACAATGGAACTACATAACCCAGTCATGGCAAAATTAAATGTGTTATGTATATCAGTCTGTAGAGAAAATAACGTGGATTTTTAGCCGTGGTTGGAGATTTGATGCGCGACTGTGACGAGGCGGGACATTGTTGCGACAAATCCACATTATTTTCCCGACAGACTGATATTATTTTCCCGACAGACTGATATCTCATTCTGGAGTCTCGCGACGCCCTATCCTTTCCTTTCTCTGCATACGACAATAAGGCAAAGTCCACAATGCGCGCCGCCCACTCACAGTCCCAAATGATCATTCTGAAAAGCAAAATCGACGGTTATGTCAAGCGATGAAACTGCACAGTCGAGGAAGAAACAGACCGAGCGCGCCTGACATGGCTAGGACGGCTGCTGAGAGTTTGGCCTTGGGAACAAAGGCTACCGAACAGTCTAAAGTTGTGCTATTTCTGGTTTGTGATGCTAGGGTTTGAAGAGAACACTCTTTGTACAACCACGGTACGCGTAATCAATGACTATCACACAAAAATTTATTCAGAAAAGTAACCAATCACACCATCCAACTCAACGATCCTTTTTCGGCAATGGCTCATCAATGCACACACAAATATGTACGTAGTCAAGGCAGAAAGGCATCCGTTCCTTGTATTTGCACGTCATCAACTCGACGCATGCCCGATCATCGTTACAATGGATGAGATTGGTCTGCGCAGCAACGGCGGCGAACAGCAAAAACGCTATAGGCAAAGTCCGCATTTTACAAATAACACTGATGAGCAGCGGCAGTCCAAGGTTGATTTTGAAATTTTAATTAGCGTTGAACGTAATAAAGACATGGGAAAAAGACGTAAAGATGATTTATGGGTTTTAATGGGTGTAATCGGCCGAAAACGCATGCTGATTATTATCAGTCTGTCGGGAAAATAATGTGAGCTATGTCACTACGCCAATCCTGTCCATGAAATAAAAGCAGTTTGATTTTGCCGGGGCAAAACTCAATGCAATTTTCAATGCGAAAAATCCACATTATTTCCCCGACAGACTGATATGTACAATTTCAAGAAACCTGTGACGTCTAAAAAATGGGGAAATCATTGTCTGTTTTTATCAAAAAAATTTGCAACTCTCGCTTGGCAAGGAAAATGTGAAATTAGTCTGTCGGGGAAATAATGTGGATTTGTCGCAGCAAGATTTCTCGCTTCGCCAGAGTCGCAGACCAAATCTTCAGCCGCTGGTAACCTCCGCAAAACATTTCCTTTCTTATCTAAAAGGCTGTACTGCGCCCTATCCCAGCCAGTTCATGTAAAGTTTATTGAAAAAATCCCGGTCTGCGCTTGTAAAATTTATTCAAATAAAAATCAAAAATTTATTCAAATCAAACTCTACTTAATTTCTTTACAAACACACATTTTCCCCTGCATTCGGAACTTGTCGCATACCAGCTTGGAATTTTTGTCGCACTTGAACGCGCCTTCACATTCTGCGTCCACGGAACAGTGAATGTAGATAGGGTTGTCGGGCTGACACCGAACACCAACAGCGAAAATCAAGAGAATCAAAAGGAGAACTCTCATTGTGGAACAAATGAAAAACGATTCGTTCGTGCTTGGTTGGAATAATAATCGCTGATTGAATGAGAAATGGGTGTATTAATGGTCATACCAATGGCTGTGACGATGATAGACAAGGAAAAAGGTCTTGAAAAGTTAAAGAGGAGGATGGAGAGACATCAGTCCGTCGGGAAAATAATGAGCGCAATGTCGCTGCGCCAATCGTGTCGCTGAAGTGAAAAGAAATTTGATTTTGTAGCGGCATTTACTTTTCTCGGCGGCGATGTGATTTTCGATGCGACAGAGTGTTTATTATTTTTCCGACTGGATGAAATAGGTCGAAAGTTTCTGCAATTCCAATCTCAAACACTAGTCGGTCCGCAAAGTCGCTGGAATGATTTCGGCGAGATGCACTGTGCAAAAAAAGACAAGTTGCGAGCGGCAGCCAAAAAAGCCATCCGAAAAAGTTAAGAATTGTACTGTGCAAAGTGAACTTTTCGTTTTCTCACAGTGCTTATCGCCAAAATTACGGCGGCGACTTTGCTAATTTGTCGGGAAAATAATGAGCACTCGTTTACATCGAAAATCGCAGCGCCACCAAGAAAATGGGCTGTGCCGCGGGAAAATTAAATTGCTTTTCAGTTCAACGTCAAGACCAACGATATTTTGCCATTATTTCCTTGACAGACTGGATGCGGGCGTCAGAAACTGTCATCCTCAAAAAAGACGTTTTCACTTGCTCTCCAAACATTCGCTGTTATTTTCCCGGCAGACTGATAAATTCTCAGGACCTTGCAGGCCGAGTGGTACATATTGCACGGTAATTTTCTAATCGCCGAAATTTTTATTAAAAATCTAACGCTCACATAACCGCAACCTTCATTATGGCCAATATAAATTCAACACCGCCCTGATTAACCCACCATCCCATTCTGTGACACCACTTCCCAATATTTATAAACAAAAAGTCCTTGGTTTTTTGTTCAGTTCTTCTAGAATTATGCGTTTCCTCCAGTTGTTCTTATTCTTCTTCCTGGCCGTTGTGGCCATGGTCAAGACCGGTGAAATCCATTGCACTCATGACGAGGAATGCCCGAGAATTGTCACCTGCAACGGCGGCACCGCCGTCTGCCGTAAAGTCTGTGTTTGCGCTTGAGTTGTGGAGTTGGCGATTTTGAGATTTTTAATAAATTTTAAAAAGGTCAAATAAACTTTTTGAAAAAACGGACGCTTTGTAAATTTTTGAAAAAATCTGTCAGTCTGTTGGGAAAATAATGAGCACTCTGTTGCATCGAAAATCGCATCGTTGAAGTGAAGGCAGCTTGCGCATTGCAATGAATATTATTGGACAAATAATACATATATATATTTGTAAGGATTCCATTGTATGATCTCAATCGAAAATAAATCTTATTTGAGTATTTTTTTGAGGTATATTATCTTCAAAAAGTAAACAAAATCAATGCCAATCTCCGTAAAAACATTAAAAATAATAAATCAGCAAATTGAAAGTACAGTTAAAAAAGCTTCTTCACAACAAATTACAAGAGGAAAAAGTGGATTCCATATTGAAGCCTTCCATTGTACGAGGTCCGATCAGCCTAAAACTGACACTTGGAACCATAAATCGCGGTTTGCAGAAACTCTCACTTTATTTTATCGATATTCACATTCATTTTCCTCCTCCGTCTGTTCTTTGTTAATTAGATCTTTAATTTTTTTGATGAAAAATCAAAAAAATTACGGATTTTCTGCCTCGGCGATTACGTCATCACGCTCGTATCCTAAAATTTGAATTTTTCCTCTGATTTTTTTAGTTACGCAATAGCAGAAAACCGTTAAAACCTCTGGCAGAAAATTTCATCAAGCAGAAAAAAGTTCAAGTACCTGTGGAAGCAGAAAAAAAGGAAAAATCAAGGAATTACATAATAAAATCAAGCAAAACAAGTGAATATAAAAGCGGGCAAGCAAATTGGAAGTCAGTATGGTGTCTTAGTGGCATTGGAACATGTTGTGTTAGAGAATCCGGACTTGAAAGTTTATTTGGGATCCATCTTGTTTGAGGTGTAAGATTTTAGGCTTTTACGAGTTTTTACCGTATCTCAAGACCCAAAATTGAGTTTTTTGTTAGGCTAAAGAATGATTAGGATTTTACTTGACTTCTAGGGATTTTTTGCGTATTTTATCAACCAAAGATTTGAATAATTCCATTTTTTAATCAAAATTTTTTTTGTTTGCTAATCCATATTTTACCGCGATATAATCGTTTTTACCGTTCTCTAAATATCGTAGAATTATCTTTACTTTCATTCCAGCTCAAACTATACTCAAAAATGTTCCTAACTGCCTCCTTCAACGGATACAACATGTTGTACATGGCCCAGCCAGTTTTCCCGGTGCTGCCCGTCCTCCAGCCAATGCAGGGCATCTACGGGGCTCCACCGATAGTCTATGGAGTCCTGCCGGCCCTCCCTGTATTCTACCAGCCCTCGGTGGCCTTTCCACAAAGGCCAGTGGAATTTTGCCCTCAGGGCAATTATGGACAAACAAGCCGGGAAATTGGCAATTTTTTGGTTCAACCAGCCCATGGACCCTGCTCAACGTCATCATCTCCATGCCTCAGCCAGGAGCCATCTTCTGGCTATTCGTCGGATAGTGAAGCCGGCGCATCTCCCGGCTTAGTGCAGTATCGCTTCCGGGAAGCGCCGCCGGCTGCAAAACGGCTACCCATCTTTGAAGCCGTGCACAAGAGAGGTCTCAAGGAGCTACAGGATCGACAGCGAGTCCATCAAAATGGCCAAAGGATCCCTTGCTCTGAGGGAAAATCGAAATTGCCTGAGGGAAAGAAGCTGCACCGACGTTTCAAAACAGTGCTTTGTAACAATTTTATGGCTGGAGCATGCCCCGATGGAGTCAACTGCAATTTTGCCCATGGAGAAGAAGAACTAAGGGTCCCAGAATTGCCGAAAAATTACAAAACGCGGCCCTGTGCAAATTTCATGCTGAAAAATTTCTGTCCATTGGGGAAAAAGTGTGACTTCATCCATTAATTTTCGCTTTGATTGTTTTTAATAATATAATATGTTAATACGAATTGTTGGAAATTTTTGTTTAATAAATAAATAAATAATTTATTAAAAATTACTTTTTTTGTTTTTTAATTTTTTTTTCAGTTTTACAAATAGGGAAAACTAATATAATTTTATGGGTTCAATGCAATTTTGATTGCTGTTTAGCAAGATTAGAAATGTCGCATCATGCTCAAAAAGTCTTCGCTGATCCTTTGCAACGGCAGAAAAATATTCAATAACTTATGCCGCCGAGAGAGCACGCGAAACGCGGAGGGCGGTCACAGAGAAAAACACTTTTTTGCCATATAATGCCCATCTTCGCCAACCTTCAGAGTAAAAACCAGCGTTGCTTCTGCAAACCCGCAGTTATTTTTATTGGAACCTTTGACGAGAGACTATGGAAAACCAGGAGACCTCGAATCAGAAAAAAAACAGTTTTTGACCATATTCCTGCCAGTTCCAAGCGAAAAAAGACGATTGTTTTGTGGAATCATTATGCTCTACGGTAAGAATAAGCATGAAACTTTTCACGAAAAGATTCGCAAAAAAATTCAACTTTTTTAAACTTCCAGCCTAAAAATCTCAGTCGTTCCTGCAAAGCGCAAGCAAGCGTTCCCGTTAATATTTTAGAAAACATTGGCCTAAATTTGTGCCATTTTTCATTGTTTGTTTATTCAAGCAAACTATCAATCAGCCAAAAACTACAAGAATTTTGAAACGGAACGCTCTGGATTCTCACAGAAGCACTGCTTTGATCCAGCAAAAAACTCGCATTTTGCAACTTGACCATCTTTGCATTCGGCGATCCAACAATCGGCGTCGGTCTTGCAATCGTTCCCTCCCGCTAGCTTTACGGCTGATGCGATGGCCAAGAAAAGGCAGACCAAAAGAAAGAGTCTCATAGTGCAAAACAACAATGGTTTTGGGCCGACAAACACAGAGCTTACAGTGTTTTATATGGCCATGTAGCCAGACACATAAATTATAAAAAACTGACTAATTAGGCAAATAAAATTTGAATTAAAATTTCGACTTCGAGACAAATTATCCAAAAAAATGTTGAATTCCAAGCGATCAAACATCAAATCAACTGGATTCAATTCTTTGATACGATAGAGCGCACGCAGTGGACATAAGTAAGTTTGATATGCCATGAAAAGTGTATTCATCTCACGGGGAAGTTCTTCAAGCGCGACGCTCAAATTTTGTTGAAACTATTCACAAATTTAGAGCCATTTTTTCTAACTGGAAACATGCGAGATTACTATAATAGCTGTTTTCTTGCAGGAACGACCGGTATTCCTAAGTCGAAAGGTGACATAAATGTGACATCGTCTTCCAAATTTTTGGGAAAGACGATCCAACTAAACTAACAATACAGGTCTAACAAGTGGGCAGTCCGGGTGACATTTGGGCAGGGAAATTTGCATATGACAACTTTTGGGTTGATTTTTTTTTTGGTTTGGGAGAAAAAAATGAGATTTTTCGAAAATTTTCGTGCAAAACATCAGTCTTGCGGGAAAAAATAAGCAAAATCAATACAAAGCTGATTTTCCAATTTATACAAACTTTTATTTTCACACATATTATACATAATAGCGAATCGTTCTGCAACAAAGCTTGCCAATTTTGATCAACACCCATCTTCTTTTATATCACTTTCTCCTTCATTTTGAATTCGTAGTTCCTCGCCAAGACAATGGCTCGACGGAAGAATGAAGGCGCCTAAAGGAAAAAAAACAACCCTCGTATTTATCTATATAACACTTTGCCTTACACGATCTGCAAAAAGACACACCGAAATGCGAGAACGCCTGAGGGAATTTCAAATCGAACAGGATTGAGTGGGGCCGGAGGCGGTAATTTTCATCCACACGGAAGTAAACAACGACCTTTACAGGAGTTGCAAATCAAGAACAGGGGAAAACAAAAGCTTCTTTGGAGAAGAGTACATACAAGGGCACGCTCGAGGTCGAAGCGCCGCATATCAACCCGAACTGTTGCACCTTCCCACTCCAAAACACCATCAAACGATCTGCCTACTTCAGCAACCCAGTTATACGATTGAACTTGAAATGGGAGTTCTTGAAGTTTCACGGTTTAATTTTAATAAAGCGGCATAACTTTAGATGAAACGTTCATAAGAGACATATGCCATTTTGAGCTCGCGTTCTGCAGAAAGAAACAACAATTTGAAGTCAAAAAATTGATGCGCTCGCCTATGAATATTATTGGACGAATAATACATGTTTGTAATAATTATATTGCATGATTTTGGTGGAAAATAAAGTGCAGCTAAAAAACTTCTTCACAACAAATTACAAGAGAAGAAAGCTGATTCCGCATTGAAGCCTTCCATTGTACGAGGTCCGATCAGCCTAAAACTGACTCTTGGAACCATAAATCGCGGTTTGCAGAAACTTTCAGCTTTTTTATCGATATCCACGCTTATTTGGATCTTTCTCTGTCTGTTCTTTGGTAAAATTAAATCATTCATTTTTTGATGAAAAATCAAAAAAATTACGGATTTTCTGCCTCGGCGATTACGTCATCACGCTCACATCCTGAAATTTGAATTTTTCCTATGATTTTCTTAGTTACGCAATAGCAGAAAACCGTTAAAACCTCTGGCAGAAAATTTCATCAAACAGAAAAAAGTTCAAGTACCTGTGGAAGCAGAAAAAAAGGAAAATCAATGAATTACATAATAAAATCAAGCAAAACAAGTGAATATAAAAGCGGGCCAGCAAATTGGAAGTCAGTATGGTGTTTTAGTGACATCTGAACATTTTGTGTTAGAGAATCTGGACTTGAGAGTTTATTTGGGATCCATCTTGTTTGAGGTGTAAGATTTTAGGCTTTTACGAGTTTTTACCGTATCTCAAGACCCAAAATTGAGTTTTTTGTTAGGCTAAAGAATGATTAGGATTTTACTTGACCTCTAGGGATTTTTTGCGTATTTTATCAACCAAAGATTAGAATAATTCCATTTTTTAATCAAAAATTTTTTTGTTTGCTAATCCATATTTTACCGTGATATAATCGTTTTTACCGTTCTCTAAATATTGTAGAATTATCTTTACTTTCATTCCAGCTCAAACTATACTCAAAAATGTTCCCAACTGCCTCCTTCAACGGATACAACATGTTGTACATGGCGCACCCAGTTTGCCCAGTCCTGCCCGTCCTCCAGCCAGTCCAGGGCATCTACGGGGCTCCACCGATGGTCTATGGAGTCCTGCCGGCCCTCCCAGCATTCTGCCAGCCTACGCTGGTCTTTCAACAGCGCCCAATGGAATTTTGCCCTCAGGGCAGTCACGGACAAGCAAGCCGAAAAAGTGGTGATTTTTCGGTTCAACCAGCTCAGGAATGCCCCACAACGTCGTCTTCGCCATGCCTTAGCCAGGAGTCGTCTTCAGGCTACTTTTCGGACAGTGAAGCCGGCTCATCTCCCGGCCTAGTCCAATATCGCTTCCGGGAAGCGCCTCCGGCTGCAAAACGGCTTCCAATCTTCGAAGCCGTCCACAAGAAGGGCCTCAAGGAGCTACAGGATCGTCAGAGAGTACTTCAAAATGGCCGAATGCTCCAATGCCCTGAGGGCAAATCCAAACTGCCTGAGGAAAAGAAGCTACGCCGACGATTCAAAACAATTCTATGTAAGAATTTTATGGCTGGATCATGTCCCTATGGAGATGACTGCAACTTTGCCCATGGAGAAAACGAACTGAGAGTCCCAGAACTGCCAAAAAATTACAAGACAAGGCCTTGCGCAAATTTTATGTTGAGAAATTTCTGTCCATTAGGGAAAAAGTGTGACTTTATCCATTAATTTTCACTTTTGATTGTTTTTATTAATATAATATGTTAATATGAATTGTTGGAAATTTTTGTTTAATAAATAATTTATGCAAAAATTAAATTTCTTGGTTTTTAATTTTTTTCAATTTTACAAATAGGGAAAACAATAATTTTATGGGCTTCAATACAATTTTGATGGCAAAGAATGTGTTAAGCAAGCTTAGGAATGTCGTGTCGTTCTCAGAAAGTTTTAGCTCGCCCTTTTCAAGCGCAGAAAAAACATTAAACGACTTTTGCCGCCGAGAGAGTACGCGAAACGCGGAGCGCGGTCACACAGAAAAACACTTTTTCGCCATATAATGCCCATTCTCGCCAACTTTCAGTTAAAAATTCGTAGTTATTTATGCAAAAACACAAGTTATTTCTATTGGAACATTTTACGAGAGACTATAGACAACGAGGAGAGACGGAATGAGAAAAAAAACTGTTTATGGCCATATTCCTGCCAGTTTCAAGCGGAAAAAGATGATTTTTTTGTGGAAACATTATACTCTACGGTAAGAATAAGCATGAAACTTTTCACGAAAAGATTTGCAAAAAATGTCAACTTTTTTTAACTTACCGCCTAAAAATTTCACTAGAAAACATTGACCTAAGTTTGTGCCATTTTTGATTATTCGTTTATTCAATAAATATATTATTACAAAATACTATATTACTCACAAGGGAAGTACCCCAAGTGCGACGCTCAGATTTTCTTTAAATTTTTCGCACACGTCGGACATGAACTAAATATCAATTCCTGAAAGTTTTAGCTCGCGCTTTACACGCGCCGCCGAGTTATTGAACGATTTTTGCCGCCGAGAGAGCACACTAAACGCGGAGACCGGTCAGAGAAAAAATCACTTTTTGCCAATAACTTCGCTAGTTTCGCGCGGAAAAAAATGATTTTTTGTGGAAACATTACCCTTTACGGAAGAAATAGGTCTGAAACGTTTCGTGCCGAAATTTGGCAAAAATTGTCGAATTTTCGCCGACTTTCGATCTAAAAAACTCGGTTGTTTCAGCAAAGCGCGAGCTAGGATTCTCGTATATATTTTAGAAAAAAATATTCTAAATCTGTGACAAGTCTCATCAAAATCTGAGCGTCGCACTTGGGGTACTTCCCCTGTCAGCCAAAAGCTACAAGAATTTTGAAACGGAACGCTCTGGATTCTCACAGAAGCACTGCTTTGATCCTGCAAAAAACTCGCATTTTGCAAATTGACCATCTTTGCATTCGGCGATCCAACAATCGGCGTACAACAATGGTTTTTAAACAACAAACACAGAAATTACAGTGTTTTATATGGCCATGTGGCCAGACACGTAAATTATGCCAGACACATAAAAAATGACAAATTAGGCAAATAAAATTTGAATTAAAATTTCGATTTCGAGACAAATTATCCAAAAAAAATCAATTCAATTCCAAGCGATCAAACATCAAATCAACTGTTTTCAATTCTTTGATTTGATAGAGCGCACGCAGTGGACATAAGTAAGTTTGATATGCCATGAAAAGTGTATTCATCTAATGGGGAAGTTCTTTAAGTGCGACGCTCAAATTTTGATGAAACTATTCACAAATTTAGAGCCATTTTTTCTATCGGTCTGCGGGAAAATAACGGCGGATCGTCGCGCCTCGGAATCAGGCATCATCGCTCTGCGACTGCAAGCCGGGGCTTGGGATTTGGAGCGCGATAGCGGCGAGGCGAAAAATTTTGATGCGACGATCCGCCGTGATTTTTCCGACAGACTGATAACAGGAAACATGCGAGATTACTAGCTGTCTTCTTGCAGGAACGACCGGTATTCGTAAGTCGAAAGGTGACATAAATTGGTCCCAGTCCGGGTGACATTTGGGTGGGGAAATTTGCATATGACACTTTTTAGAGTTATTTTTTGGTTTGGGGGGAAGAAATGAGATTTTTCGAGTCCTGTGGGGGAAAAATAAGCAGAATCAATACAAAGCCTGATTTTCCATTTTATACAAACTTTTATTTTCACGACAAACTAATTGTATTATAATAGCGAATCGCTCTGCAACAAAGCTTGCCAATTTACATGATCAACACCCATCTTCTTTGATATCACACTTCTTCTTCATTCTGCATTCGTAGCTGCTCGCCAAGAGAATGGCCCGACGGAAGAATGAAGGCGCCTGAAGATAAAAGACAACCCTCTTATTTAACGCTTCTCCCTACATGATCTCCTAAAAATCACGGGAAATGCAAAAATGCCTGAGGCAAAATACAACCCGAATACAGCCGAGTTTTTTCAGCAATTTTCATCCACACGGAAGTAAGCAACGACCTTTACGGAAGTTGAGAGTAAGAGCAGGGAAAAACAAGAGCTTCCATAGAGAGCAGTCACTCAAGGGCACACTCGAAGTAGAAGCGATTGACGAATAAGAAGCGCCGCTTATCAACCTGGACTGTTGCACCTTCCCGCGCCAAAACACCTTCAAATTAATGAGATGTGCAGACTACGGCGACGAAATATATAATACGATTAAATTTGAATAAATTCAGACGAAACTTTTATAAGAGACATATGACATTTTGACCTCGCGTTTTGCGGAAACAAACGGGATCTTTATATTAAAAATGAATGCGCTTGCCTATGAATATTAATCCACGAATAATATATGTTTGTAATAACTATGTATATTGTATGATTTTGGCGATAAATAAAGTTTGATTAATTTTTTTGAGGTGTCATTTCGTTCGCACAATGAAATCAACGTATCTTCAAAAACATTTTGAAAAAATGCCAACATCTATGAAAACCCATTTAATTAAAAGATAGTTTTTTACAGATTGAAGCTTCTCATAACAAGGCCCGGACATTTCGAAAAAACGACCGACTCAGAATCTTTTGGTATTTTGCATAGTTGTTGTACTATGATAGCTGAACGTCAGCACGAATTTTTAGTTTCAGAAATTACCGTATACGGGGATTACGGTAGGTACAATTTTTAGAAAGATTGGGTTCGTATGTAAAAACCACGAAGAGCAAAGGGGCGAAACTTTGCTGGTTGACGTTTTCGACCCTGGGGAACATTTTCATAATTGACAACTTTGCCGTAGGATGTTGCCTTCGACTACTTTGAAAAATACCAAGGTACCATATTGAATGTAACTTTTTTGCAGAGAACTTGTCTCAACTTTTGAAACCTCTTAAAAACACTTTGACATGTATGTAACAACATATCAAAAATGCGCGAAAATAAAAGGGGGGTTTTGGAGTTACGGTACTTTGAATGTTGCCGGTACGGTATATCAAAAAATAATTTTTTTCAAAATCGGTGTAGAAGACCCGCAAAAATTGCCAAAATAAGTTTTCGACCATGGCGAACATTTTTGTAATTGACACTTTTTTTGTAGGATGTAGCCTTCGCCTACTTCGAAAATGACCCAGATACCATGTGTAATGTAACTCTTCGGCATTCTACTTGTCTCAACTTTTGAAACATCAGAAAAATACGTTGACATGTATGGAACAACATATCAAAAATTTAGAAAAATAAAAGGGGGGGTTTTGGAGTTACGGTACTTTGAATGTTGCCGGTACGGTATATCAAAAAATAATTTTTTTCAAAATCGGTGTAGAAGACCCGCAAAAATTGCCAAAATAAGTTTTCGACCATGGCGAACATTTTTGTAATTGACACTTTTTTTGTAGGATGTAGCCTTCGCCTACTTCGAAAATGACCCAGATACCATGTGTAATGTAACTCTTCGGCATTCTACTTGTCTCAACTTTTGAAACCTCAGAAAAATACGTTGACATGTATGGAACAACATATCAAAAATTTAGAAAAATAAAAGGGGGGGTTTTGGAGTTACGGCACTTTTAACGTTGCCGGTACGGTATATCAAAATTTCATTTTTTCTAAAATTGGAGTAGGACAACCGCAAACCTTGCCAATATACGTTTTCAACCATGGGGAACATTTTTGTAATTGACAGTTTTGTTCTAGGATGCAGTCTTCGACCGGTTTGAGAAATGTCAAGATACCATGTTCAATATAACTTTCCGGCATTCAACTTGTCTCAACTTTTGAAACCTTTCAAAACCACCTTGACATATGTGTAACAACATATCAAAAATTTAGGAAAATAAAAGGGGGGGGGGGGGTTTTGGAGTTATGGCACTTTGTATGTTGGACATACAGTACACCGAACCTTTTCTGTGATGCTGACATCCGATTTTGATAGATTCCACCGTCGTATGGCACACACGTCTCTAAACCGTGGCAATTGTTACAAAAAAATTAAGAAATCACTGATCTTGCTGTTACAGTAACCAATTATCTGCGCACGATATGTTACAGTATGCTTAAGTCTAGTTTTTTTGATTTTTTTTGTGAAAAATAGTTTTTGAGGGTCGTACAACATAGATAAAACATTACATTTTGTTTTTAAAATAATCTACGTAAAGTTAAGCCGAGAATAAATCGAGGTGTACTGTATGTCCAACATACAAAGTGCCATAACTCCAAAACCCCCCCCCCTTTTATTTTCCTAAATTTTTGATATGTTGTTACACATATGTCAAGGTGGTTTTGAAAGGTTTCAAAAGTTGAGACAAGTTGAATGCCGAAGAGTTACATTACACATGGTATCTGGGTCATTTTCGAAGTAGGCGAAGGCTACATCCTACAAAAAAAGTGTCAATTACAAAAATGTTCGCCATGGTCGAAAACTTATTTTGGCAATTTTTGCGGGTCTTCTACACCGATTTTGAAAAAAATTATTTTTTGATATACCGTACCGGCAACATTCAAAGTACCGTAACTCCAAAACCCCCCCTTTTATTTTTCTAAATTTTTGATATGTTGTTCCATACATGTCAACGTATTTTTCTGATGTTTCAAAAGTTGAGACAAGTAGAATGCCGAAGAGTTACATTACACATGGTATCTGGGTCATTTTCGAAGTAGGCGAAGGCTACATCCTACAAAAAAAGTGTCAATTACAAAAATGTTCGCCATGGTCGAAAACTTATTTTGGCAATTTTTGCGGGTCTTCTACACCGATTTTGAAAAAAATTATTTTTTGATATACCGTACCGGCAACATTCAAAGTACCGTAACTCCAAAACCCCCCTTTTATTTTCGCGCATTTTTGATATGTTGTTACATACATGTCAAAGTGTTTTTAAGAGGTTTCAAAAGTTGAGACAAGTTCTCTGCAAAAAAGTTACATTCAATATGGTACCTTGGTATTTTTCAAAGTAGTCGAAGGCAACATCCTACGGCAAAGTTGTCAATTATGAAAATGTTCGCCATGGTCGAAAACTTATTTTGGCAATTTTTGCGGGTCTTCTACACCGATTTTGAAAAAAATTATTTTTTGATATACCGTACCGGTAACATTCAAAGTACCGTAACTCCAAAACCCCCCCTTTTATTTTTCTAAATTTTTGATATGTTGTTCCATACATGTCAACGTATTTTTCTGAGGTTTCAAAAGTTGAGACAAGTTCTCTGCAAAAAAGTTACATTCAATATGGTACCTTGGTATTTTTCAAAGTAGTCGAAGGCAACATCCTACGGCAAAGTTGTCAATTATGAAAATGTTCCCCATGGTCGAAAACGTAAACCAGCAAAGTTTCGCTCCTTTACTCTTCGTGGTTTTTACATACGAACCCAATCTTTCTAAAAATTGTACCTACCGTAATCCCCGTATACGGTAATTTCTGAAACTAAAAATTCGTGCTGACGTTCAGCTATCATAGTACAACAACTATGCAAAATACCAAAAGATTCTGAGTCGGTCGTTTTTTCGAAATGTCCGGGCCATCCTTCGAGTTGTAAAAAACTCTCTTTTAAAAAAAACGTTCTGCTGACTGATAGTACAGTTAAAAAACATCTTCATAACAAACTGCAAGAGAAAAAAGATCGATTCCTTATTGAAGTATTCCATTTTACGGCGTCCGATCGGCCTAAGACCGATGTTTGGGACCATAAATCGCGGTTTGCAGAAGCTCTCACCTTATTTTATCGGTATCCACGTTTATTTTCTTCTTTCTCCGTCTTTTCTTTGGTAAAATTTACGGATTTTCTGCCTCAGCCATTACGTCATAATACTCACATTCTAAAATTTGAATTTACCGTTTGGTTTTTCAAGTTACGTAATAGCAGAAAATCGTTGAAAACCTCTGGCAGAAAATTTCAACAAACAGAAAAATTCGAGTGCCTGTGTAAGCAGAAAAAAAGGAAAAATCAAGGAATGACATAATAAAATCAAGCAAAACAAGTGAATATAAAAGCAGACAAGCAAATTGGAAGTCAGTATGGTGTTTCAGTGCAGTTGAAACACGTTGGGCAAGGGAACTTGGGCTTGAGAGTTTATTTGGGATCAGTTCCGTTTGAGATAATATTTAAGGCTAATGGTTTTTAACCGTATTTTAAATCTCAAAATTTCGTTTCTATCGCTAGGAATAGAATCATTAGGCTATTTATTGACTTCTATGGATTTTTAGCGCATTTTACAAACTCAAAATTAGTATAGCCCCATATTTTTTAACCAAAAAAATTTTTGTTTATCAATCCGTATTTTACCGCGAAATAATCGTTTTTTCCGTTGTTAGAAAAAAATCTAGAATTACATTTACCTTTATTCCAGCTTACCTCGCTATTCAATCATGTTCCCATCCACCTCCTTCATTGGATACAACATGTTGTACATGGCCCAACCAGTTTGCCAAGTCCTGCCCGTTCCACATCCAGTCTACGGCATCTACGCAGCTCCACCGATGTTTTATGGGGTCCAGACCGCCCTCCCTGCTTTCTACCAGCCCGCCGTTGTCCTTCCACAGCGGCCAGTGGAACTTTGCCCTCAGGGCAATTACGGACAAGCAAGCCGAAACAATGGTGATTTCTGGCCTCAATCAGCTCAGGGACCCTGCTCAACATCGTTGTCGCCATGCCCCAGCCAGGAGTCATCTTCTGGCTACTCCTCCGATAGCGAAGCCGGCTCATCTCCAGGCCTTGTCCAATATCGCTTCCGAGAAGCGCCGCCGGCTGCAAAACGACTACCCATCTTTGAAGCCGTCCACAAAAAAGGCATCAAGGAACTACAGGATTGTCAGCGGGTCCATCAAAATGGTCAAATGTTCCCTTGCCCTGAGGGAAAATCCAAACTGCCTGAGGAAATCAAGCTACGCCGACGATTCAAAACAGTGCTATGTAGACATTTTATGGCTGGAGAATGTCCCAATGGAAACGGCTGCAACTTTGCCCATGGAGAAGAAGAATTGAGGGTCCCGGAATTGCCGAAAAATTACAAAACACGGCCCTGTGCAAACTTTATGTTGAAAAATTTTTGTCCATTGGGAAAGAAATGTGATTTTATCCATTAATTTTAATATTTAAGAGTGAAGACAGAAGATTTCGGAGGAAAATTTTGAAAATTTTTCGAATTCACGCGAGTAGGAATCGAAATAGCTTTCAAAATTTCCATTTTTGGAGTGAATTCCGAGTTTACTTTTTTTTTGCCTTTTTTTGGAGTAAACTCAGAATTTACTCGCCGAAGGTGCCGGCGAGTAAATCCAGAGTTTACGCCCGGGGAACAGTCGACCCCTGAGCGCAAAAATTTTTTTTTATTTGCGTTAGTAATTCGCGCCGAACTTTCGAAAAATTTTGCCGAATCCTGACTGGGAGGCTCCAGTCAGGATTCGCGGGGTTCCTGACTCTTCGTACAGTCAAAGCTTCCTGACTGTTGGTCCATTCAGGAATCCCGCGATTCTCGACTGGGTGAGGGGTCAATAACTGTTGACTAGGACGAAGAAATAGGGAAAAAAAACGAAGAGAACGAGAGAAACGCGCGCTATTTCGTGCTGTCTCTGCCTCTCAGCGCCTTCTTTCCGTTTCGCGCTCTCTCTCTTTTTCCAGAGAAAGAGCGAGAGAGCGCAAAAAAAGGAGAGAGAGAGCGAAAGAGCGGGAAACGAAGAGAAGGCGCAGAGAGGCAAAGAGAGCACGAAATAGCGCGCGTTTCTCTCGCTCTCTTCGTTTTTTCTCCCCGTTTCTTCGTCTCAGGTGACTGGGATGTCGATTTGAGGCCGCCCAGTCAAAAATATTCCTGACTGCGCGGGATTCCCGACTGGGAGGCTCCCAGTCAGGAATCTTCAAAAATTTTTCATAAGTTTGGCGCGAATTATTTACTAACGCGCCCGCCTTACGTCCTGGGTCATCTGTGCCTCTGTGATAGCTGAAGAAATAATTGGAAGCGAGCAAAACCCAGATTTACTCGCCGCCATTCGATTTCTCGGCCCCGGCGAGTAAACTCCCAGTTTACTCCCGAAAATCAAAATTTTTTCCAAATTTTGGAGTAAACTTCGTGTTTACTTTTTTTCGGCATTTTTGGGAGTAAAAAAAATTTTACTCCAAAATCGAAAAAAAAGTGAATTCGAAAAATTTTCAAAATTTTTCTCCGAAATCTTCTGTCTTCACTCTTATTTCATTGTTTTTAACAATATTTTAATATGAATTGTTGAAAATTTTTGTTTAATAATAAAATTTTTTTAAAAAATTAAATTTTTTGTTTTTTATTTTTTGTTTTTTTTTCTGTTTTACAATCAAAATTTTCAAAGATTGTTATGCGGCTTATGCCCGAAGTGTGGGCAAAGAGTCAATTGATAAATAAGAGTGAAGGAATAAGAGTGGAAAAAATCTTCTGAAAAAAATGCTTCAGCCTCTTTCCTTTTCGTTCGGAAGAGTGTGTTTACGGACTCTTCCCATTTGGGAAAGAATCTGAGAGGCGGAAAGAGTCTCGAGCAGACGCTCCCGCCATCAAGGTGGGGGAAGAGTGTGGGTCGAGACTCTTTCCGCCTATTGGCTCCGCCCACTTCTGCAGGATTTTGGGGAAAAATGGCGAATTGAAATGTTGCCATTTAGTAAATAAAGCACTGTTCTTTTCAAATATACGATGTTTTTTACATTTTTTCTTTGACAACAAAGTTTGGACAGTACAATCTAACACTCTTCGTTCATTTTCTATAAAATAAATGAATAACTAATCTTTAATAACAATAAATAAAGGCGTCTAAGAAACAGATATCGGAGAAATCAGATATAATGCATTCGGTGGAGCTAGCTTATCCAGAATTTGGTGTACTCCTTACATTTGGGTTTAGTCGCCGGGAGCAAACAGTCTTGCGCATAGGAGGGGTCCAGAAGATCACGTGTTTCTCATTAGTAGACCACATCTGTAATCGGATTGATGAAGACGGTGTGGTGGTTGAATATTTCCTAAATCAACAACGCAAAACAGAAGAAAAGAACTTACCATCTTTCAAGCCGATGAAGAGGGACTTCATTTACTTCGTAAGCCGCATCATTATTATGCTTGTCCTCCACCTGAACTATTGAAACATCTCGCTGCACATGACGCGGAGATATTTCGGCTTAAAAGACGATTTTTGGCTCACTGCGTCAGCGGTGGACATAGGAAAAAATCGATTTTGGGTTTTTTGCATAAAAATGACCGTCGACATGTGCTAAGGAAAAGCGAACAACAGTTTTTCTCAATTCTGCCCGGAAGGCATAAATTTGCTTAAATTTGTCTTTTTTGGAATTTTCGACCTGGTGACGTCATAGAAAGAGCAAATCACCCAAAATTTTGCTTGTATACCTTTTCGACCATTGGGAATTCATTTTTTTGAAAATTAATTCTCTCAGATTACTGTAACATAGGCATATTGTAATCCGGTCGATAAAAATCGACCGTAACTCCTTCGTATCAAAAATCCCACAGGATTTTATTTCAGATTCGGAATCAGCATAAAATTCTGCATATTATACACATAATGTGAGGGCATAACTCCAGGGGGGAGATCGCGTAGTATATTGGATTTTGGCAAAAATTACGTTTGAAAGGTCGCGGGTTCGATCCCCGTTTGATGCAAATATTAAAAACACGGCGGAAATCGCGTTTAATCGACACCTAAGGGTTATGTGAGATACACAAAGCAATTTTAAACGTTAATGCATATCTAATTGCCATTAAAACTGATTTTATATAATTTTTGGAGACTGAATATGCAAAAAATGAAACTGCTTCAAACCGCATGAAATTGACAACACTTATTCTAGGGTCAATTGTAAGAAACTTTTCCGTTAACTTTTTTTGGTAGATTACCGTACCATGGATTACTGTAGCGTTAAACGTGTCCTGATTAACAGCAATTTTCTTAAAAATTCTTGCATAAAATATTAAATCGTTTTAATTAGTGGCTTTAGACAGCGAAAAGATCCACTTTCTATGTATGAAAGAAAATTCGCCCTTAATTGCAACGCGTCTTGATGTCATAATAAATTGGTGAAAGTGCGTCAAATAACTCGGCCGTTCCAAACGGTACAGCCATAAAATTTTTTTTGTACACAAGAAAACTCTTTCTTAACCATTCTGAGCACAATGACGACAATCCGACTTCTATGCACCATGTGGTACACGAAAAACCAAATCAGGTTTAATGTTACAGTAATCCATGGTACGGTGATCTGCCAAAAAAAGTTAACACAAAAGTTTCTTACAATTGACCCTAGAATAAGTGTTGCCAATTTCAAGCGGTTTGAAGCAATTTCATTTTTTGCATATTCAGTCTCCAAAAATTATATAAAATCAGTTTTAATCGCAATTAGATATGCATTAATGTTTAAAACAGCTTAGTGTATCTCACATGACCCTTAGGTGTCCATTAAACGCGATTTCCGCCGTGTTTTCAATATTTACACCAAGCGGGGATCGAACCCGCGACCTTTCAAACGTAATTTTTGCCAAAATCCAATATACTACGCGATCTCCCCCCCTGGAGTTATGACCTCACATTATGTGTATAATATGCAAAATTTTATGCTGATTCCGAATCTGAAATAAAATCCTGTGGGATTTTTGATACGAAGGAGTTACGGTCGATTTTTATCGACCGGATTACAATATGCCTATGTTACAGTAATCTGAGAGACTTAATTTTCAAAAAAATGAATTCCCAATGGTCGAAAACGTATACAAGCAAAATTTTGGGTGATTTGCTCTTTCTATGACGTCACCAGGTCGAAAATTCCAAAAAAGACAAATTTAAGCAAATTTATGCCTTCCGGGCAGAATTGAGAAAAACTGTTGTTCGTTTTTCCTTAGCACATGTCGACGGTCATTTTTATGGAAGAAACTCAAAATCGATCTTTTCCTATGTCCCGGGTCCATTACGGGCTGACGCAGCGAGCCAAAAATCGTCTTTTAAACTTACCAATACTATCAACAATTTAACATTCTACGTACCTTTTCCGAGTCCAGACATTGGAGGCCGAATATAAGTCCATGATTTGCAGTAGATCCAGTTCAACCTCTTATGGGCGGTGTTTCCAGGCCTTCATCAATCGCATATCAATCTTCGTCGTCCTTTTTTGGCATCAAAGTTGTTGGTAAAACTTCATTTCTCTAGCCCAAGCGAAAAAAAGGTTCCGCAGCTTGCGCCCGAACAATTTTCAGTCGTTTTGACCGAAGAAAAGTGGCCGACAACAATAGATGGAGGTGAACCTAGCTCATCGATGAATGATAGCGAATTTTGACGAAGAAGAGCGGACCGACGCGGCGAAATGTAAGTTGCCTCATTTTGCTAGCATGTTTACGTAATTTTAGGCCTACTTGGCCAACTGCGAACTCCATATCTGAACTTGTTTTACACCTTTCAGGCCCACTTGATGTTCGACTTCAACAGTACGTGATCGCTACAGCGATGAATTCGGACGACTTTGTAAGTTAGAATTTTTTGTTTTTAACATTTTAGATATAAATGCGACAAGAAGAATTTGGTCTCCATGGATAAGGTCCTCGTGATAGTTGATGAAGCTGGATCCAGCAATGACAGGGATATTCACCACTTGTTGAATGGAAAGTAAGTAACAGTTTCATAGACTTTTGAGGGAGAAGAAACGGATTTTTGAGGCGTTTTTGGGCTTTTCAGCGGATTGGACCTAAAGTAATATTATTTTTTGTTTGTGCAGTTTTTTGTGAGTGATGAAATACCTAGGAGACGGAGAAAGAAAGTATGAATAGTGATTTAGTTGATATTTTTGAATTTTTTTGCAGGCCTACGTCAAAACCGAGATTTTTTGAAATTTTCAGGTATCTTTGTCTAAAATAAGGTAAAATGTGCAGTTTAGTGAGTGTTTGCAGGTGCGCCAATAATAAGTAGGACCGAGAGAGTTGTTTTGAGGAGTTTTGATGTTATCTTAGATGTAAAATTTTCGAAAAGTTACTAATTTTTTCCAAATTCAGCCTCAATGTCCCAAAATTGCACTGCCAATCTCAGTAACAACGGGGAAGAAAGGGAGACCGTGAATATGGAAACGAATGCCCATGGGCAGAATCCGCCGCGGCCCTCTACATCTAAATGTAACTCGATGTTACTTGTGTTGCACATAAATATATCTGTGAAACTTGTTCTGTAAATATTTTCTTAACCTTTGTGTTAACCAGGAATGTATCTGATTTTCAATTGAATCTTCAAATGACAGCCATAGTAAGGCTAGGCGTATCACAGTTCTAAAACAAATAAAAACATGCCCAAATCACCGGAATAATGAAAAGGCAAAAATTTTCACCCAAGACAACCGTTTTCTGCAAGAAAACCACCAACTCAGCGATTGGCTCAAAATCGTGGGGGCGGGGCTTATAAACGTCGGGAAGAGCCTGCTCGCAGACGCTTCCTCCAGTAGAGAAGAAAGAGTGTGACGGCAGACGCTTTCCCAAGTGGTGAGAATCTGCTCGAGACTCTTTCGACAAAAAAAGAAAGAGGCTGAAGCATTTTTTTCAGAAGATTTTTTTCGCTCTTATTCCTTCGCTCTTAAATCTATTTATCTGACATTACTCATATTGAATATTAAACTCACAAATTATTATACAATATTAATCACTACACTTTTAGGCAACAAACATTGAAAATATTTAGTTTCGTAAGCGGAGATATTAGAATAGAAATCATGGTAAAATTCTGAGAAAAGCGCTAAGCGTCTTGTTTCAAACACTAATGTACAGACACAGCTACGAGATTACCGGTTTTGAGGAGTGCAACAGGAAAGACGATCCAACTAACAATACAGATCTAACAAGTGGGTAGTCAAGGTGATATGCAGATGTTTTTGGGTGGGAAAATTTGCATATGACAATTTTATGATCAATTTTTTGCATTTTTTGAAATTTTCGAGGAAAATTAAAAAAACTAAATACAAAGCCTGATTTTCTATACTACGCAAATTTTTTGAAAATTTTCGAAATTTGCATAAAATTTGCATATTCAAAATTTTCAAAAATTTCCGTCAAAAAATTGGTAAATCCAAAAAATAAACAAAAACTTTTTTGAGAATTTCTTAGAATTTGCCGATTTGTTTTCGAAATTTGCATAAAATTTGCATATCAAAAAATTCCAAAAAAACAGTAAAAATTTTGCATATTCACTCAGACTACCCGCTCTCTAAATTCAAAGCCTATCCGGGTATCCGCCGGCTTCGGCTTCGTTTCTCTTTCGGCTTCTTCTTGTCCTTATCCTTGTGCGAATGCGGTTGTTTCTTGTCCTTCTCCTCGCCACAAACATACTCCACCAGCTGTGGGATCTGCTTGTTCTTGTGGTAATTGTCCACATGCTCCAAACTCCCAATAAAAGTCCCACAAATAAACAAGTAGGGCATTCCTTTGTGAGCGGTGAGTTGATGAAGATATTTCTCCACCGTCTTGGGCTTGTCGATTTTGTCGACGTAAAAGGAGACGAGTGGAAGTCCGTAGGTGTCGCGGAGCATATTCTCCACTCTGCGGCCTTCTTGATCCTTCGAGTCAACGTAGAGAACCGCCGGCAGTCGTCGAATCTGAGAACAATGTATAGTAAATAACGTTTTGAGATAAGCTTGTCAAGTTTTTTAGGTAAAGCGTTAGCAAATTTTACGATGCCTATTCGCAAGATTTAGTAAAAAAACTAACGTTATTTTCGCTTATGAGAACAATCTTTGGGGCTAAGGTAGTACAGCCCCCCAGTCCAGTTTAGCCCCCCATAACCCAGTATAACCCCCCTTGTCCATTCTGAACCCCAAAATTTATTTCAAAGAATTAATCCAAGTTGTATGGTCCAGCACAAGCCCCCTATGTTTTAGATCAAGCCCCTTACGTTTTAGTTCAAGCCCCCTACGTTTTAGATGAAGCCCCCTCCGTTTTAGAAAAAGCCCCCTAAGTTTTAGATCAAACCCCCAACGTAGTAGATCAAACCCCCACTTACATTTTTGTATTATTCTAATTTGTTCATTATGTGGGGTGTGAAACGGGCAAAACAGTGGGGGTTTGAACTACCTTTCATGGGGGGCTGAACTACCGAAGCCCCCAATCTTTATGCAAAAAAATCACGCTTTGGCGCAAAGCTTCTAAGCATGTAAAAACAGGTAGCACTTTGCCTTCAAAGATTGTTCAACACCGCTGGAGAAAGGCGGTGCAAATTCAAAGCATGTTGAATTTCGGCAACCTATGATTCTACAACTACAACTTATGATTCTGTATAGGGCCGTAATTAATAACTTTTCCCGAGAGAAAATAATTTTATTCGACAGAGAAACTTGACCCATTGGGGTGAGACTTGACGCCAGCCTGCTGTCCCTAAACCTCAATTTTCTCTAAATTTTCAAGTTTGTTCTACTGGGAATTTGTTTGGTCCCACACTCTTTTCTCTTCTAGCAAAAGTCCGAAACACCCTCCTGACCTGTTGCGTTAGCGCTTGAATCGATGTTGCAGTGGGTGTGTTGGGCGGTTGATGCGTTCTCTCCTGACTGCCACTGGTCTCCAAGCTCTTTTCTCTCGATCTACTCGATGGTAGCTCTGGCGGCGAGACCGGGGGTCCGGTAGTTGTCTCCTGATTCCATCGTACAGGGTAATTAATCGACGGCCGTTGAGGCTGTGGATATCGGATATTCGCGTAGCCGTAGGGCTGCATTTCCAAGCCGTAGTCTGGCTGCAACGAGCCGGTGCCGCCGTACGGATTCTCCCACGGATTCATGGGCTGGCCCATGTTCGTCAGGGCTCCGAAGCTGCCACTCATCGGCCATTGCATTGGATAGGGGTTCTCGTAGACGTTGGGAAGGTAGCCTTGATTCGTGAGGGCGCCGTTGTACGGGTAGGCGCCGAAGCCGAGATTACGACTCATTAGGAGGGAACCCATCCCACTGGGGGCTGTGCTGGGAGACGGGGAGGGAGAGTCTGAAAAGTGGTATAAGATTTGGGGGTAAACCCGGAAGTTTGTTCACAAGATAGTGGAATCTCTATGTATTATATATATAAAAAGGGCAAGAAATTTGTTCGTTAATAGAGTTTTGTCGTACGGAGGTCAATGAGAAAGCCGCAAGATTGATTTTTGACGTTTGCAATACGCAAAAAAAGCCAGTGACAGCCCATGTTTTCGCACCATGCATAAATCTGTCCGGCGGTTTTCCTGACTGTCTAGTACAACGAAACCTCGCACAACAAAACCTTTCTATAACCAACAATCTCAGAGATGCCAAGACTTTTCTTGACAGAGGTTTGATTGAAACTACTCTTGCGGTATATCTGCCATTTCCTTTATCAGATTAGCGTCTGTATATCAGTCTGTCGGGAAAATAAAGTGGATTTTTCGCACCTTGAAATTTCCCATGATCACTTTGCGGCAGCTAGCCGCGGCTGGAGATTTGCTGCACAACTGCGACAAATCCACACTATTTTCCCGACCAACTGACAACACAACCTACCAGGTCCCGAACTTCCCGAGCCAGTACTCGAAATGGATCCACTTTTAATCGCTCCATTGTCCACCACACCGCCACTCAGCCCCGTACTCGGCGCCAACGGCTCGGTCGGTCCTTGTGAGCCGCTAAAGCCCCCGGGCAGTCCCCCTTGCCCATTTCCCATTCCGTTCTGCAGTCCTTGGCCCATCGTGCCCTGCATTCCCATGCCATTCATATTGTTCATTCCCATCATGTTCATGTTGTTCATGCCCATGTTCATCCCGTTCATTCCCATATTCATGTTGCTCATGCCCATGTTCATGTTGTTCATGTTCCATTGCCCGTTCTGGGTGTTCGGCACTTGTCCTGGCATGCCGATTCCGTACCGCCGATTCACTAGCTCCAAATACTCGGCGTACTTTCGGAGATTCGATTGTTCAAGGTCGTCGCCGGCGGCGATTTCGGCCGACTCTTCGGCCGAGTTGTAGTCCTCGGTCGGCGATTGACCAATGTTGGAGCCCATACCGGTGAGGCCCTGAAGACCCGTGAGATCATAACCTCCGTTGTTCATGCCAGGCATTGGGCAATTGGGGCCGTAGCAGGGCTGGTTGTACACTGAAATAAGTGAAATACGAAGATGAAACATTCACTACTTCTCAAGTGATGGCTTGAGAAGTAGGGTATAAATTCTACATGCTACACGTACTATATCAGTCTGTCGAGAAAATAATGAGCACTCTGTCGCATTGCTGCTGTGAAAATGAACGGTGTCGTGCCAAAATCAAATGGCCTTTCGCTTCAACGACACGATCAGCGCAGCCACAGTGTGATTATTACTTTCCCGACACATTGATATGCTTCAAGTGCGACGTTAATATTTTGATGAAACTTGGATCAAATTTATACAAACTTTTTCGAAGATAGTATATGTAATAATTAAGAAAGCCAACAAAAAATTGATAATTTTTGTGCTGTAGGCATGTACAGCTTTGAGTCTTCCTGAAAATTTTAGCTCGCGCTTTTCAGGGAATATCCCACAATTTTTGCTGCCGAACGTATAGCGGTCAAGGAGAATAATACTTTTTGGCTAGAAATTCGCCAGTTTTGAGCAAAATAAATCGATTTTTTACTTGAAAAATTAACCTCTACTGTATAAATAGATGTAAAACTTCTCACGCCCCAATTTGTTGCTCTTTGATGTTCTTTCAAAACACCGCTGTAATCTCAACTTACTCGATCCTCCATAGGCTCCATTTTGGCCCCACATTCCTCGTCCCATCCCTCCTCCGTTCTGTCCAAAATTCATCTGATTTCCACTCATTTGACCGGCCGCTCCCATTCCTGACGGTCGATTATCTCCCGCCATGTTCATTTGATTCATATTCCCCATATTATTGTTGCTTGGCATTGGTCCATTTTGATTGTTATTTGAGCCCATTCCGTTCATTTCCATACCCATTCCCCCCATTGCGGGTCCTGGGTTCGCGGGCGGCACTGCCGGCATTGTGGGCCCAACCGGCTCCGAGGGAGCTGCCGGAGGCGTTAATGGAATAGTGTGAGTTTCCTCGGACTCTCGCGGAGCGGTGGGCAGCTCGTTGTTGGTGGCTGTGCCCATTCCGGAATAACCATGCCCGAAACCGTTGTTGTAGTTGAGGAAACCGTTGGGTTGCATCGGCCGGGTGATGAATGGACGATTGAAGGCTGAAATTGGGAGGAAAATTGAAACAGAATTTAATAAGGACGTCAACAATAGCCTTCTGACTGTATATTATAGTTGAGGAGGTATACCAGACCGTGCGCAAAGCCGCTGGAGTGATTTCCGAGGCATGCACCGTGCAAGAAAGTCAGGGCGCGAGCGACAGCGAAAAAGTGCCTATAGTGGCGGGCCTGATCCAATGGCAAAAAACCTACCATTTCGCATCCGGGAAATATCAAAAAATGTGGCAAAGTACCTTCCTCTCCAGGTGAAAAAAAACTCCGATTTCAAAAAACGTTTGTGAGGGGAAAGGGCGCGCCCTTCAAAACGGAGTTATTTAGTTGGAGAAGGAGGCATTTTGCTATATCTTTTGATACTTCCCGGATGCAAAGTGGTATGTTTTTTGCCACTGAATCAGGTCCTGTACTACGCCGCGGAACCTCTGTACAAGAAGCTTACATACAACAAAACGTCTAAAACGGGGAAGTTCAAAGGTCGTGGGAATGGTTTCTGCGAAAAATTTGACTTCCTACTATTAAGAAGTTAAAAATTCACTGTGCGGAAGAGAGCAAGTGTCCATGCACTTTATGAAAAAGAAAATGAAAAAAAACGTTTTCTTCTTTACAATTCGCTGTACAGAGGTTTGCTGTATTTGAACCGGTAATTAAAACAAGTTATGATATTAAAATACACCTTTTGCCGCAAACAAACCAACACTTACCTCCATAATTACTGTTGCCAAACGCGCTCGGCGGCACGTATCCGGCTTGACTCTGATACGAGTTGGAATAAAATTCTGGATTCTGTTGTGGCCACTGAGGTCTGGGAGATGCTGAAAATCATTTTTTTAGTCGCAAAATCAACGAAACCGTCGGTAAAAAATCTTAAGAAAGGTTTAAAAATTTAAAAAAAGTTTAATTCCTACCATTACACATTGTGCTGGACACCAGCAGCAAAAGCAATAAAAATTTATTCGAAAACAAGGTCCATGACCTCGGTTTCATTGTCGTTGAGCGAGCGACAACAGCCGCTTCACGGCTCCGGAGTTGGCCGATAATCCCGGACTTGGTGTTGAGCCGGCGATCAGCTAAAACATCAATTTTTAAAAATTCAAAAACAGAATTTTGGTTAAAAATAAAAATGTGAACGCTCGAAGAAACAATCAGCAAAATCTCCCGGAGGCCATTCACAAGAGGAGGTCACTAAACCAGAAGATCCCACTTTTCACGGTTCAAGTGGGAGTCCACTTACAAGTAAGTCATTGTTTGCACTTCCAAAAAACCAGTCACAAAACTGAAGATGAGGAAGACGCAGGGAAATGAAGGGGGAAATACATAGTCAAAGGGCTTACAAAAAACTTACAAAAAATTATTAATTTTTGTCTGTCGGGAAAATACTGAGCACAATTTCACTGCACCGATCGCGTCGCTGAAGTGAAAAGCAATTTTATTTTACCCGTGACAAAATTCATTTTCTCAGCAGCGATACGATTTTTGATCCGACAGAGTGCTCATTATTTTCCGGACGGACTGCTAAAGACGAAAAAACGAAAATTTAAACAAAGAAATATCAGAATTGGATCTCATTGATCTCATGCATGTTGTTAATTAGCCATTCCCTAATCTCTGAAAGTTTTAGCTCGCGCTTTGCAAAAACGGGTGAGATATCTGTCTGTCGGGAAAATAACGTGAATTTGTCGCAGCAAAATGTCGCCGCGCCCCAAATCTCTAGCCGCTGCAAGCCGGACGGCAACCCAGGGAGTCTCCCGCCTCGTTTCGGCGCTTCGCCCACCTAGTATCGGTTGAATTCAAACGAAATGTCAAAAATGAATTTTCGTGTGATTTTCCGACCGAAAAATATTTTTCTCGGAATTATTTTATTTCTTTTGTGAATTTTGACACTTCGTTTGGACGAAATTCAAAAGTGGGCGGGAGACATTTTTGTTCTATTTTGGGTTGCGTGAGCCGTCGCAAACCGACGATGGGCAATTCCAAGGTCTGGCGGAAGCACGTCACTTTCTCGACAGACTGATATTTAACGGCGTTTGCGGCATAGAAATAGCTGCTTAGCTACAATAAAAGATGAATTTACGATTAAGAAAAACATGAATTTTACTAATTGTTTGTTGCACAGCAGTTGAGAACAGCTTTTGCCGCAGCGATATTCCGGTTGCACAGTGCAAAATATCAAATGCTCGGTGCAAAATGGGGTTATTGCACGATGCGGCCCGGCCACAAAATATCTATGGACTTTTGATAAAAAGTGGTACAACAACGGGTCAGTTTGACAACTAATGTTGCTTACATATACACGTAGTATATATCCATGCAATATAATGAAAGGTTCTAGAGCCTACGCCATAAGAAATCAAAAATAAATTACCTTCCCTACTACCGTACTACGTGACTTAATTCAGAACCCGCCTGTCCCAGTAGCCTACATCCCACGAAACAATGAGACGTCAAAACAAAAACAATCCCCCTGGACGGGAAATTCTTTCGGATCACATCCAGGAAGGACTCCACCAAGCCGCTGAAGTGGCCCCCCGATTCAACGCTGCACATGGAGCTGGGTCCAAATTTAACGCCACTTGAGTCCTACGCATTCTCGAATCGCGCAATGATCAGCGATTTTGAAGAGGTGTGGCAGAGAAAAAGAGGGAAATTAAACCCGGAAAATTGGAAAAGATGTTCGCTGATAGAGTGGTGTTGTGTGATGAGATTAGCACGCAATAATCCTTGAAATTTCACGGGCGGTTATTATTAGAACACAAATGGAACACGAAAAGATGGATGAGGCTGTAATATCAGTCTGTCGGGAAAATAATGAGCGCAAAGTCGCTGCGCTGATCATGTCGCTGAGGAGAAAAGCAATTTGATTTTGCGGTGACACAATTCATTTCCTCGGCGCCACAGAGTGCTCATTATCTTCCCGAGAAAACTAGTCCGTTCTAGAGTCGTTGGAGTGATTTTTGGCTTTTGAACTGGGTATAAAAAGACAGGGTGACAGCGACAACCCAAAAAAGTATATTGCACGGTGCAAAAAGCAACAAATTGCACAGTGCAAACTGTACGTTTTCTCACAGTGCATGTCGCAGAAATCACTCCAGCAACTTTACAAACGGACCAGTAAAAATATAGGAATTTTAGGGAAGCACTGATTACAAATTTGTGCGAATAGACTAAAAAATAATTCAGTGGCGGACCTGATCCAGTGGCAAAAAGCCTACAATTTTGCATCCGGGTAGCATCAAAAAATGTGGCAAAATACCTCCCTCTCCAACCGAAAAATGCTCTTTTTGTGAAGGAAAGGCGCGCCCTTCAATTTTTCAGATACAGAGGGAGGCGTTTTGCCATATTTTTTGATACCTCTCGGGTGCAAAATGGTACGTTTTTTGCCACTGGCTCTTGAAAAGATTAGGAAATTGGACTTTCCAACGTTGCTTTCTATGCACAGAGTACGGCCGGACGTGGCAACGACACGAACACCGGAATTGACAACGTGGACAATTGGAATGGAAGAATCAGTTGGTCGGAACGCGAGCCCAGCGAGCGGTCGGTTGCTGACGAGGAGTTTTGGGAGAAGAGAACTCACGTGGCGGTTGTATTTTGTGGTTTGGTGTTTGTAGTGTTTTGGAGGATAAAAGTGTTATTGAATACTTGGTTTGGCATTGATTTGGAGAAGGGTCAAGAGGACCGATTGGTATTGTGAGGTGCTTTCGGTGATCGGGGATACCGGAATACCACCTATTTGGCGACCACGCCGTCGAACACTCGTCTTCGGTTCGTGGATCGATTGCTCAAGCGTTTTGCCCCTGAGCAAACGGATTTCTTCGAGTTTTTCTCGTTGAAAGTCCGGCAATCGAACTCTCGATTGTGATTGTGTCTTAGCCGGTTTGGCAACGTGAGCCGGTTTGGCAAAGTGAGCCGGTTTGGCAAGAATAATTGGAGCGGATTTCTTCGAGTTTTCCTCGACGAAAATCCGACAATCGAACTCTCGATTGTGGAATCAGGAGACCAGCTTTGGTTATACCTGATCTGTCAGAGCCGGTTTGGCAAAAATCTGACGTTGTGAGCCGTTTTGGCAAGAAATTTTCGTGAAAGTTTGGATTTTGTTACCTAATTTCACGAAGGAGCTGTGAAAGGCGGAAAACGAGCGACCTTTGGAAGCCAAGGTAATCCGTGCTGTGAGAGTGTAATAGAAGGTAATCTTTACCCGTTGTGGAGCGCATTTTCTCCGACATTTTCGACAATTTCGACCCCTGGTCTAGTGCAATATAATTGATACCTAGTCGGCCACTTATTCAAGAATATTCCTGATTATTGAGTGAAGTGAGACTATTGAGAGCGAGAATAAGCTGTTACGGCCCTCTATTTGAAGAATTTTGACGTGAAATTTAGATTTTTACGATTTTAGATATTGTTTTAGGTGAACTTGACGATTTTGACGCAAGAGACGTCTTTGAGAGGATTGAACTACTTGGAAATTGTGTGGGAAAGCTGCGTTTGGTAGATTCGTAGGCTGTGTTAGTGATTTCTGTGTCGTTTGGACCTATTTAATCGTTGTTGATCTAGAATTTTGATCTTGTTTCGTGAACTTTGAAATTTTGTCGAAGTCCTAAGAATTTTGGTTGTAATTGATTATAATTTTTTGTGAAAGAACAAAGAGCTCGTTTGAATTGTGTTACTGAAGTTTAATTTCAGGATAACCGTAAAATTTGGCCAACATATCAAGTGTAATATCGAAAAGCCAGGCGGACCTAGTATAATATCGAGAACTACGGGAAATAAGGATAAGTTGATTGAAAGTTTGTTGTTCCACCTTTAGATAAGTGAACACAGGTGAATAAGAGCTAGAGTTGTGCGACCGACCTTGATTTAGGATATTTGTTACCTAAAATCCTTCAAGAATGCCAAACCCTTCGTCTTTTAAGCCTTCTACTTCTTCCTGGTATCCTCAAACCTTTCGTGATTGGGATTCGCGGATAGAAAAGACCGAATTCTACAGAAAGAGCATCAAGAAAGCATTATCAGACCCAAGCATCATGAGTACATTAACATCTGAACAAGTTTATCTCCTCAGAAATGGAAGGATGGCGTATGTAACAGGTAATGAGAAGGAAGAGTTTATTTATGACTTTCTTTACAACTTCCTGTTCGCTACAGAGGGAACAGACATTGAATATAAATTCTATGCTTTGGAGAAACGACTTCGAGGCCGAATATTGCAATTTTATCACGCCCTAGACAAAGATGAGAGAGCTTTTGGCGTTGATATATGGGAACCCCTGATGGACGAGTTTGCATTTGAAAAAGAAATTCAAATCGACCACTACTCGGCATCCCCTTCGTACGTGTATGGTCAAATTATGATTCGCGACCCTCTACCATCCCAAGATGAAGCTTTTAAGGCATTCCAACTTCTGAAAGAGCACCCGTTGGACATGAAAAAACCAGTTCTACGCTGTAATTACTGTGACAAACAGAATCATGTCGAAAAGAATTGTTTTAAAAAGAAACGAGATCTTCGTTTAGGCTCGAAGATGATGCCAGAACTCCAAGAACAACTGCAAAGTGAGATATCTCATTCTGATTTGAATGACTCTCCCTCCTTTACAAATGAAAGTCATCTGGGATCAACACCAGGTCGTGATTCGGAAGGAATTCTTCCATCAACGGATACTGCTGAGGATAATTGGATTGAACTCTTGCAATGTTATCAGGAGTTGCCACAAGAAAATGGGAAAGAGTTTGATATAAAAGACGTTGAGACAACAACTCAAGAGCAAAGTCAGGGGGCAAAAACTTGTGATTTAGACCAAAATTTCGAAGGCAAACGTGAAGATCGTCCAGAGTGGGAGTATGGAGATTTCGAAACGTTATTCGACGAACCAGAAGCCCCGTCATCGCGTCTGATAAAAGTGAATTATCAGACGGATTATTCCTCAGAACTATCGAAAAGCGTATTTATGACATGGAGTAAGAAGAAAGTCAAAGAAGATATTGATTTTATGGATGTTCTAGACGATTCTCTCTATCATCATTGGATAAACGAAGACGGTGTTGAAAAGAAATGTTTCGAAATTGTGGACAGTCGTCAAAAGGATGAGTTTCAGAACGATTTTGAGGACTTGGAAGAATCGCGATTTTATGAATGGATGTCAAGCTTTGCGTTCCACGAAAATGTTCAATTGTTGGATAATAGAACAGATGATAAGAGCTCTTCGAACTCATTTCTGCCGGCCAAAGGTTGTAAATTCAAATTTCTTCCAGAAAATCAGAGTTTGGATAACAGCTTAGAGGACTTCAACTCATCTGAATTATCGAACTACTCGCGAATCGAAGGAAAAGGATGCAAATTCAAAGGGTTATGGAAGGATTTTGATCACATAAAGTTCTCATGTCACGAAATAATGAAGTCGGGCGGAATAGAAAGGATGGAAAAGACTATAAAATCGGATTTGGGGTCGATTATCACCTCATCTTATCAGAAAATCAAAGGCAAAGGCACAAAGTTCAAGTATTTGGGAATTTTGTTGACCAGTACGGCAAAATCAATTGCAAATCGTTGGATGCTTGTAGAAATATCGTATTTCATTGAAGTATTTTGTCTTATTCTGAAAGAATTTCTATTTTTGGTTCGGAAATTCACTCTGTATTTAGTATGTTCCGGGAAAATTTCAACTTATACTACAGTTTTGGATAGATTCCAGAAATCCATAAAATATCTTGGAACGCCGGGACGTCGTTTGGCTATGTAGGGGGGAGAGCCAGGGGTATTTAGGATATTTTAGGGATTTTCAGGAACCTTCTTTAACTTTACTCTTCTTTAATTTCAGGTCTCGTCTACGTCTACTTTCCAGATCGATCACGCCGAACCAAGCTCAGCCATGACTGTTCCGAGGCAATCGTCAACCAGCAACGTGCCAGTTCAACGCACCTGACGTCGGGACGCCGTCAACTTATGGGAGGGGCGAGTACGGCCGGACGTGGCAACGACACGAACACCGGAATTGACAACGTGGACAATTGGAATGGAAGAATCAGTTGGTCGGAACGCGAGCCCAGCGAGCGGTCGGTTGCTGACGAGGAGTTTTGGGAGAAGAGAACTCACGTGGCGGTTGTATTTTGTGGTTTGGTGTTTGTAGTGTTTTGGAGGATAAAAGTGTTATTGAATACTTGGTTTGGCATTGATTTGGAGAAGGGTCAAGAGGACCGATTGGTATTGTGAGGTGCTTTCGGTGATCGGGGATACCGGATTACCACCTATTACAGTGCGGAACTAAAAATAGGCAAAATTCACGGTGCAAAATTGGCGTTTTTTGTGCACGATGTGGACCGCGATAAAAGTCCATGCACATTATGAAAATTCTAATATAGCCTGAAATATCCAAAGAAACCTTTCGAAAAGCTTATTCTTACTCAAAACCTGCAATATCCTAACATGTGACTCGCAGAGACAAACAAAAAATCACACAGTTCAAGAAAATTCACAGGCCCTAAAGATCAAAATACCACCCCACTCACAACGTTCTCAACTCCCCCAACGTCCCAACCACACCGTTGAACGCCTCAAACCTTGGAAACCGAAGAAAAAAGGAGTCGAAGTGAGAGGGGGGAGATTAGATCCAGACGGTTCCCCTTCTTCGCGCGTTCCTCCCGTTTTTGGTCGCGGACAAACAGTCACCGGGACATGTTCAAGCCCAAAGGTTGCTAACCGCAACTCCTTTGCGGTTTCGGACCGGATTTCCGATCTGACTTAATAAACACGAGGTTACGGAGGCGACGACCGGAAGCCTTCAGTGGGAGTGGTGGTGGGGTACGAGATCGATGACGTTGGAAGAAATGGATCGCAAATTATAGTCCGACGGTCAGGAAATTTCATAAAATTTTTTTGTAGAGAAGCAACGTTGTACGGAGGTTAATTTGAGAGGAAAAAATGCCGTTAAAAAGGTTCTTTAAGAACGACAACCAAGTTCTCTCAAATCTACTTGTATTATATTATACATACCTGCCGACAAGAGAAGACATCCAAGTGCGACGATCAGCTTTATTTTAAATTTTGCACACATGTGCATATTTTATATTCGTATTTAATTTACTTGAAAAGTCTTCGATAAACCAGCAGATGCAAACTCAACTCACGTCAAGATTTTGTCGCTCCACGAGTCTCTCTCAGCACGAAAATTTGCGTACCGTGTCCACTACGTTTACTCTTCTTCATAGGTACGGACGCACCGTGCATCGAACCATCTCCGCGGCATAGGCTTTTTCCAATTGTCGCCGCTTCGCCCAAGCATTGGCACAGTGCAAACGGCTTTTTCGAGGTTCGCACTGTGCGAAAAGGGAAATGCACTGTGCGTTAGCGACAAACGTGGGGCAAAGTGCAAGGCGCACTGTGCAAAGCAAATAAACAATACACTTTATGAAAATACCAATACATTTTTCCAAAAGTGCGTAGACTTTTCGCCGCAAGCTTTCCGCACAGTGCATTTGACCTTTTGCACTGTGCAAGTGAAAAATAGACGCGGCGCATTGTATATGTATGTGTATATCGTATTTATACATTCCATTCCAACGTTTCGTCTCCCCATCTGACAGGAGTCTTCAAAAAAAACGAAAAACTTTTATGCATTTCTCCGCTGGGAATTGCGGCGTTTCGTGCAAGAATTTCCGCGCGACATTGCCACATTACGCATTCTTTTCTTGTTTGACGGGCGGCTAATTCGCATGGATAATGGGGCCAAATTTGCATTTTATTCCAATCTTCCGAGTTTTTAAACGGATTATTTTTTTTTTGGTGTTTAAAGTGCGACGCTTAGATTTTTATGAAACTTTGGCATAAATTCAGGATATTTTTTGTGAAGATATAAGCGAGATTCCAGGCTTGAAATTTGCTGAAACGAGTGAGATTTTTTTGGTTGAAAGTTGGAAAAATGGGTAACTTGTTTGCGAATTTTAGCATGAAAAGTTTTGAACTTATATCTACCGTAGAGTGGAATGTTTCCATAAAAAATCAATTTTTTCCGCACGAAACGGGCTGAGATATGGCCAAAAAGTGTTTTTCTCTCTGACCGCTCTCCAGATTTTTCGTACTCTCTCGGCCACAAAGACCATTAAATTTCTCGGCTGCCCCCGCAAAGCGCGTGTTAAGATTTTCAGGAATTTATACGTGATCTACACACCAAAGTGTGTGTAAAATTTAAAGAAAGTCTGAGTCGCACTTGGAGTACTTCCCTTGTTAACGTATCCGTTTTATGCACAGTTTTTGTGGGCGGAAAAGATAGAATATTCGTTCAGTTCTTTCGTTGCATGACAGTCTTTTTTAATTGGATCTAATTAAATATTTTTTTCATAAAAACCCCGAGAACGGCGCGGCTAATTTGCGGCAATGTTTCGAGTCTTTTTTTGAATATTTTTTTGATGTCTCATATTTTTTGTCTAAATAATTCGGAGCTTCAAAACTTGTCACGCACTGATATATATCTATTCACTTCTAGCGGGACTAATAGGTCGCTGAGAGATGCGCTAGTCGCAACGGATAGATTTTTTTAGAAAGTTGTCGCAACTTTAACAGGGAATTTTTTGGTTCACAAAGGAAGTACTCCAAGTGCGACGCTCAGATTTTGATGAAGCTTGGCACAAATTTGGAATAATTTTTCCTAAAATATATGCGAGAATCCTAGCTCGCGCTTTACAGAAACAACCGAGATTTTTAGATCGAAAGTTGGCGAAAATTTGGCCCTTTTTGCCATTTCGGCACGAAAAGTTTCACGCAAAAAAATCTCTATTTCCAATTTTACCTTATGTTTTTCGTGGCGTGCCATAGAGGGTAACGTCTCCACAAAACATTATTTTTTTCCGCACAAAACTAGCAAAGTTATGATCAAACAGTGTTTTCTCTCTGACCGCTCTCCACGTTTAGTATGCTCTCTCGACCACAAAGATCGTTCAATATCTCGGAGGCGCCCGCAATGCGCGAGCTAACACTTTACAAGAATTGATACTTAGTCTGTTCTGGACGTGTGTGCAAAATTTAAAGAAAATCTGAGCGTCGCACTTGGGGTACTTCCCTTATCAGATTTTAACGCGGTGCAAATTTATTATTTTTCTAAAACATGCGACACTCCTATCTCGCTGTTTGCAGAAATTTAGCGTTAGTTTCACTGAGAAGAGAAAGGTTGCTGCAAAAAAAAAATATTGTCAAAAATTGGTCTCTCCGAATGTCGTGCACTCTCTCTTCGGAAAGAATCGTTCAATATCTCGGTTTCCATTGCAAATGGCGATATAAAATTTTCTGAAATTTATATATGTCCTAGGCGCCACTTATTAGAAATTTGATTTTTGAGTGTCACCTTGGCAGTAAATTCTATTTTTTTCGATCAAAAAATATTGATTGTTTACATTCGAAAAATGTAATCTTCACTTGCAACATGCTCCATAAAATTCTTAGCATCTTTTTTTTCCTATGAATTAGCCCTTCTACAGCCCAAAATGACGTCCTTCCTCCCATATTTTTACCTGTCCCTCCTTTCTGCAGCTCCCTCAACTTCCGCTGCAACGTATTTCCCTTTTCTCCACCCTCAACCTGCCCAATTACCCCCTTAAATTCCTTGAACCTGCACTACCCTCCCCTCAAATCCATGTTTGCATCTTTCCTCGCCTCCGAGCATATTTATAAACCGTTTATGAGCAGCAATATCCCCTTAGGGTGTTTCTTTTTTCCCATTTTTTGTTCGCTTTTCCGGTGCGCCATTCTTATCGCTTTTGTATTGCGAAATCTGCGAAAATAACATTGGAAACCGAAGCCGGCTTCATACGAAAAAAAGAAGTTTTTTCGTGCCGGAGTCAAACGGATAAAAGATTTAAACTTTGTTCGCATCGAGACTCCGAGGGCCTTTTGGTCCCGAAATTAGGCGGTAATTTTACGGCTTCAACATGTCATTTGTTTATGCGCCATGGCTTTTGGGATTTTTTGCGGGGATAAAGCGTGATTTTGAATGGATGACTGAGTCGTTTGTTTGTTCGTAGTACGGTCAAACCGCTTGTAAAATAAAGTTCAAAAGGCCAAAAGCTACACATAATAGAAGGGCTTCTCTGTGAATGGGCCATGTTAGCTTACAAGGGAAGCACCTCAAGTGCAAAGCTCGTATTTGCTTTACATTTTACATATACATCCGGCATAGGCCACATATGATTCTCTAAAAACTCTAGCTCGAGTCTTGCAGGTGCAGCGGAGATATTTAGCGATCTTTGCGGCAGGGAGAGCGCGCGAAAGCCGGAGAGCGGTCAGAAAGAAAACACCTTTTGTTTTTTTTTTTTATTCTTTTTCTTACTGCTGCGTACTTTGAAAAGACTATTTGATAAGCAGAGACGTCGTTTTCTGAAGTTTTAGGTGAGGTATTCAACGATCTATGCGGTTGAGAGAGTTCGAGAAATGTGGAGACCGGTCAGAGAGAAAAAAACGGCTTTTGGCTATGCCTTTGCCAGCTTCGTGCGGAAATAGCTGATTTTTTGTGGAAACATTTCTTTCTACGCTAGACATAAATTTTTCATGTTAAAATTCGAAAGAAAAAGTGTTACATTTTTTTTGACTTTTGAACTAAAAAATCTCGGTCTTATGCTTGTTAGGCGTCTTGCATATCTCTTAGAAAAAATATTCTAAATTTGAGTCAATTTTTATCAAAATCTGAGCTTTGCACTTGAAGCACTTTCCTCGTATAATAAAATTGGTTATTGAGGCCTCAGAACTGGCTTGTTATGGACAAGTTTCAATTTACAGAAAATTTAAATCTGCGTCAAGTTTAGTTATCAATTAGCATGCAAGTTTTTCATAGTACATATTTCATTCCACTGTATTTTCTACTATTTCCTCCATGCTTTGAACCGGCCTGACATGCCCTTAGTTGACCCCCCGAACCTCTAAAACACATGATACATGTCGTTAGGCAACAAAGCAAAAAAATATAAATAATTTTGTCTTCCGTAATCGTCTTTTCCCCCCAGTTAACAACGTTCCTACATCTCTTTTACCACCCAGCTGCAATATTTATCGCTTATTCCCTAAGCGGCTATTGACAGGCCATAAATCCTCTAATATTCATCAAACTTTTGCATGATATATTATATTGCTATGTAAAATCATAAACATTTTTTTCGTACTGCTGACTTTTGGTTTGGGTGTCAAGAGATGAAATTGGCCAAGTTTAGGCAATTTCGCGTCTCTTCGGGGCCGTTCTCGTATTTCCGTTTTGATTTCCGTCAAATCTTCGAAACTTCTTTTTTGGGGTTTCGGTTTTATAGAAAAGTTTCACAGTAAATTTGAAACGGGATTTTCTGAAGATTCAGTTGAACTTTGGCTAACAATGGAAGTACTAGTCCGTTCGCCAAGTCGCTGTGGTGATTTTTGGCGTTTGCACTGTGCGAAAAAAGTCAGAGTGCAAGCAACGGCCCAAAAAAGTTTGTTGCACGGTGCAAAAAGCAAGAAATTGAGCAGTGCAAATTAACTTTTGTTTTTGCATAGCGCAAGCCGCAATAATCCCTCTAGCAACTTTGCGGAGGGGCGAGTATTCCAAATACGACCCTCTGATTTTTTCTAAATTTGGGATACATGTTGGGCCTAGACCGTCTATCAATTCCTGAAAGTTTTAGCTCGCGCTTTGCAGGGGCAGCCGACATATTGAACAATTTTTGCAAATGATAGAGTACGCGAAAGGCGGAGAGCGGTCAGAGAGAAAAAAGAACTTTTTGGTCGTATCCTTGGCAGTTTTGTGGGGAAAAAGTTGGTCTTATGTGGAAACATTTCCATCTACGGTAGAAAAACGTATGAAACATTTCATGCCAACATCCTCAAAAAAAGCTCAAATTTTGATCCAAAAATCTCCGTGGTTTCTGCAAAGGGCGTTCTAGGACTCCGGTATATAAATTATTAAAAATTATTCTAAATTTGTGCCAAGTTTCATCAAAATCTGCGCGTCGCACATTGAAAGCTTACCGTGAATTAACACTTATTTTTAAGCTTTAACTTCTTAACTCCCCCTTGCAATGTCAATATGCATTTTCTTCTTACAGGGCATCGATTCTTCCCTTCAATTTTCGAGACTTTGGAGACAATTGGACTCGCGAAGAAATCGACTTTTCTCTCGCCCCGCAATTGGGCCCAAAAAATGTCTGAGCATCAACAGTTGATGTAATTTGGAGGCCATGCGACTGCCAGCCGGCCATGCAATATGGCTAGCGTTGGAAGTTGCGATCGTTTTGGAGACGGCGATACGGGTCAATGGAATCTATCAGGTGAGAAAAAAAATAAAATAAAAAAATATTGTAATTTTTTACCTGAGGGATGCTGTCTGTCGGGAAAATAATGACCAATTTGTCGCATCGAAAATCGCATCGTTGCCGAGAAAATGAATTGTGTCGCGGCAAAATCGAATTGCTTTTCAGCGACGAGATTTTGATACGACAAAGTGTTCACTATTTTCCCGACAGAGTAGTAGCAATATCACCGCAAAATGGTTTTAAAATACGCTATTATTTAATTCAGCTATGATATTTTTTACTTTCAAGCGTTTCAGATTACGCCGGAGAAACCGTTGGAGTTCAAGATCCAGAGTTGTTCGTCGGATCAAAATCCAATGAGAGAGGAGACGATGCTGGTTGGTTTCTTGGGATTTTCACAGTCGGTTTGCGATGTTTGGGAAAAACGAAATTATTTTCTTACAATTAGCTTTTATGACCTAGGCTAGCGGAAAAATAAGTGTATATTTTCGAGGCCGAAGTTTTCGGGTCAACGCAAAATCGATCCATACGTGGCGTAGGGCAGTCAGTTTTCATGACCGTGAGCTATTATCACAACGAAAAATTCCCTAATCGACTACGCTCCTTATACCATAACTAGAAGCCTTTTTAACCTTTTTTCAGTTCTTCCCAACCAACGTCCGTTACTGCGCGTCAGTGCGAACGACCAAAAACGGAGTGTCTTATGTCAGAGACAAGGGTAAAACCTCCTATTTGAAGCCAGTCGTCCATGTCACCATTCACGAAATCGGATCGCCACATGAGTGCGAGATCGAGTACATTGTAAGTACATCCCTGATTTGTACTTTACGCAGGTTTTTGCCTTCAGGGATACGGCGGAGAATATCGAATATCGCCGGACCTCGGATTCTACAGCACTTGTTCGAAACCAATATCAAAATATATAAATGAGCTTGCCCTGGGTTCGGAGAACCCGCAATTCAACATTACAATGAGTTCCTGCCCCATTCACAGCCTGCCAAGGAGATATAAGGTGGGCAATGCCGGCTCGATGACACTTAAAATTGCTTGCAGAAGTGACCCATGTGCAACACTCAATTTTTTTTAGGATTTTCAAGGCACAGGCCACATAGCAAATCCTAGAAGTTTTAGCACGCGCTTTGTAGAGGCAGACACGATGTTCTGCGATCTTTGCGCTCGAGAGAGTACGTAAAACGCTAAGAGCGGGCAGAGAAAGGATCACTTTTTGGCCGAATCGTTTTCAGTTTTTTCATAGGAAAATTTGATTTTTGTTGAAAACATCTCCACAGTGGAAAAATTATTTCTCTCATGGGCAGTTCTCCGCATTTCGCGTACTTTCTCAACCGAAAAGTTCGTTGAAAATCTCGCACTTGCGTTAGCCAAATTTTGAGTGGTTGGTGTGGGTGTAGTCTAGACAGGTCACGTATACTAAAGTTGAGAAAAATCATACCTTCAGGGACCTTAGTTTTCTACCTTGCAGCTTCTACCCGACAGAATCTCTCATATTTCGCTGGAAAACAAATAATTTATTAATCTTTCAGGACTACCTCTCTTGCGATCTTGTTCGCCATCGCTGGTATGAGTTGACTTTCCACAGTTACATTAGATACGAGGTTTTCCATAAAAGGAAGTACTTCCAAGCCTGGTCCAACCATTCCACTGTTTTCATGTTCAAGCCGGACAATTTCATTGAAAGAACGGGAAATGAATTGGATTGGCTTCAACGACTCATATCACTCGAGGCTACGTGAGTTTTTGAGAATGAAAAGATTGAAATTTTTTTAAAATACGGCATTGGTAGCATATGTGTGAAAAAAATATGCTTTTTTACATTTGTTTTTTTTTAAATTTTTGAAAATATTTTTCAAATTTTTCAATTTATACAGTCAAAAACACTGCCAAAAAGTCCGATATTTGATCCGAGTTGATGATGCCTGGCCACTGCCAATCACAGTTTTTATCGATTATCGAATCCGCGAAGGGAATTACATAAAATACTCTCAACATTTGGGAAATGGCACAATTGATCAATGGTTTAGTGGAAGTTTTGCCATCCGGAAGTCGGATCGAGTCCAAGAGATTTGCGTTCAAGTGAGTTGATTTTCAAGGGAAGTAAATGAGTACCCTCTACTTTCAGCTAGTCTGGCGTGGCTCGCGCAACCGTTTCCGCCTTTGCCGAACCTTCCTTCAACCAGGTGAATGTCCGTTCCCACCAAGTTCCGCGTCCTTGCCAACGTTCTCTGTATTGCCTCTACTTTCGGCTTTTGTCTTACCGCTTCTACATCCCATATAATAATTTGTAATATCCGATCTTTTTTACTGCCATTTTCGTTGTGATTTTTCTTTGAAAAATAAAATTTTATAAGAAACTGTATGTCCATTTTTTCTGCCTTTACCAATGACAGAAAATTTCAATTTAAATAAGCCAAAAATCAGAAAATCTCTGTCAAAAATCAAGACTGATTACGACAGAGAAAATCCACGAACAGGGTATATAAGCCCAAAGAAAGCTGCTTCAAATCACTCAACTTGTAACCTCCTCATCGACCTTGTAACACCGTTCAATTTGGAAAATGGCCTCCAATGCTTCTACTCCAGCGACTTCCACTTGCTTTGAGGAAGTTGTCGACATGCTGGAAGATAAACTGGTGGAGTTGACCGATTCGGAAAAGATGCGACATGATGAAACAGTCGCTACCATTGAGGAATTGGTCGACTCTTTGGAGGAAACATGGATCCTCGAATTTCACGAAGAAGATGAAGTTTCAGAATTAAGATCAATGATCTTAACAATGATTCATAAGTGAGTTTATTAATTCATGTGAAAATAAGATGCCCGTTTTAATACATATATCTCTAAATTTCTGTTTTTTTTTAGTGCTGCCAACAAACTTTTGGTGCGCTCGGAGAAGACGCACCTTGAAAACGACGTATGCGCAATATGTCTTGAAGAAAAGGCCCAAGATCCTGTTTACTGCTTACAATGTCTCAAAATTGTCAGCTGTAAAGGCTGCATGGTAGAGCTGATCCAAAATGGGAAAGACGAACACTTCCTGAAATGCCTCAGATGTCAACGGAAAAGTCCCACCGAATTACCATTATTCGACTGTGTGAATTTGTAATGTATATTTTTAACTTAATATGATATAACTGTACAACATTTTAATTTTAATAAATTCTAAAAGATAAAATATTTATGATTTTCTGACAATGGATATATAAAGTACATATTTTATAAAAATACATCTCCGCAAAGGCCTCAGGAAATCTACGCTTCGAAATTCTTTAACCCAGCCATCAATCCCTTCATTTATTCGACCCCTCTCTCAATGTCATCGCTTCCAGAAGTTGGAAACGTACTTAAAAGCCGATGCGGGTAGGTAATATCTCTTAATTTATGTTGGCCTGAAGATCAATGGCTTAATGGGAGCGGGAATGGGCCAACTCCCAGGGGGGTCCGCACCTGTTTTTATGGGCTTTCAAGTGAGAATTTATGGATTTCAACGGCCGCTGTGCTTTCTTTTTGTCAGAAAAGGATTTTTTGGAATATCAAAACGTAGGCATTTCACTATCCGTATTTTACAAGAACTTCTCGGCAGTTTTCAATTTCTTTTCTTTTGCCGCCAAGTCCTTCCATTTTTCCTCCAAAAACAATTGGCCACTTTTGCGCCCCGACTTTAAATATTTATCCGCCCCGAAATCCCATTAAAAGCCCAAATTTTGGACTGTTTACCCTGCCATAAATATTTATCCGGAATGGTGTTTGCAAACGTCGTTACAACGCGCCCATTATTCGTTATCTTTATGGGATTCGCCCAAAAAAGTTCAAAGGCTGGACGCCGACCGCACACTTGCTTGATAAGCGCGGCCCCCATATAACGACACTTTTTTATGAAAGACACTTTTTTCGCGGGCATTTTTTTGGGAAAAGGGCCGAAATTGAGGGGAATTACGTAATGGTTGGGTTACTGTAGGAATGAACTGTAATGGAAAGGAAAACAAATGTAAAGAAGTGAGTTTGTGGCGAGATTTGGAAAAATCAGACCAAAGTAGAACTTTGGGGGGTGCGACGCTCCGATTTTGATGAAACTTTGCAAAAATTTAGGCTAATTTTTTATAACATATTCGAGAATGCTAGCTCGCGCTTTGCAGAAGCAACCGAGATTTTTGGGTCGAAAAATGAAAAAAATAGGTCAAAAGTCAACATTTTTTTGCGCATTTTGGCATGAAAAATTTTATACCTCTTTAGTATAATGTTTCCACAAAAAAATATTTTTGTCTGCGCGAAATTGAGAAAAATATGGCCAAAAACTCAGACTGCTCTCCGTATTTTGTGTGCTCTCTCGGCGGAAAATTTTGTTGAATATCTCTAATAAAAATCTGAGCGTTGCACTTATCGTATTTACTTGTAAATACCATCTCCTGCACACCAGTTTTTTCTGTGACCAATCTCCGCATTTCCCGCGCTCGCTCGGCTACAAGAATCCTTGAATATCCGCGTCTGTAAAGCAAGAGCTGTAATGTTAAGTGCTCAATACAATGCTTATGTAGACACATCAATATCAATTTTTTTATGACTTGTCATTTTCTACCAAGCCTCTTTTTTTGATCCAAAATAAAGTTTGAGCTCTGTTTTTTTTCACCTTCACTTTTTATAAATGCCCAAAAGTTGCGCAGTAATCGGAATCACCTTGAAAGTTCAACGGTTTTCATAAAGAGACGAGCGAGACGTTCCAGGGCGTGAGCGGCCTATCAAAGCGCCATTTATTTGGCGGGAAATCTTTGATCTGAAAAAATAATGTGATTGCGCAAGATCCGAAGGAAAACTTTTGATTCGGAAGCAACATTTCAACTTTTGGCTACCGGCCGAGACGGTCGGATTCTTTTGACAGCTCTTTGATTGAGATTACGGTAGAAATTGATAGTGACGAGGGCAAACATTTATTTTTGAGGTATCCCTTCTGGCTTTATGTAAGCATGAGTTGGGGAGATCGAAATCTGGCGAACATCGAGACTACTCTTTTAAAAGGGAAAGTGCACTAACTGCGACACTTTGATTTTCATTAAATTTTGGCCTATGTAGTCTGTTCAGTCAACATCCACGTCCAAAAAGTTTTAGCTCGCAGTTACTTGATGCGACCGAGATATTTAGCAGTTTTTATCGACGAGTGAGCACGTAAAATGCGGAGACGATCAGAGAGAAAAACGTTTTTGGGCATGTAGCGACTTTGCGAAGAGACTATCAGCCTGTCGGGAAAATAATGTGGATTCGATTGCCCACTATCACTTTTCGACGGCTTGCCGCGGCTGGGGATTTGGTGGTGTGACAAGGCGAAATTTTTTTCTGCGACAAGGCGACATTATTTTCCTGACAGACTTATAGTAGCATTAACCTCCATAATTTCATTCTATCGAGAAAATAATGAGCACAATGTTGCTGCGCCAGCCACATCGCTAAAGTGGAAAAATTTGATTTTCCCACGACAATTCATTTTCTCAACGGCAATCGATTTTCGATGCGACAGAGTGCTCATTATTTTTCCGACAGATTGATAACAAATTTTTCCAATATCCATTTTTTTGATTTTATGCAAATTTTTTTATTCGATCGTCTGTAATTCCCTGCCTATTAGAACAGAGCTATTTTCATGGTTTTCATTGTTTCCATTCTCCTCCAAAGATTATGTCCAAACCGGTTATTCTAATCCAGCATTTCTTACGCATACCCCTTCAAATGGGCTTATCCCCGAAACCCATAAATAGTGGACCGTTTTAACGACACCTCCGACGATCCTCGAATGCATGGCTCTCGGCCGAGCCATAAACCTTCTCCATGGCATTAAATTATGTGGTCGGAGAATTTATTTTCTTGCCAGAAAATTTGCATATTCTCTTGTTTTTGGAGTTAAACCTCAAAATTTTGATTTTTAGCACGAAAAGTTCAAAATTCAGCTCTAAAATCTTGAGTTTCAAACTGGACGGAGTTGAAATCTTCTCCAATAAAAGCCCACATGTGTCCTCGAGATGGGCTTTTTTACGCCGCGGGTTTTTCTTCTACGGGTTTCTTTAGGGCTCATTTCGGAAATTGGGATTTGAAAATTTGGGAAATGTAATTTTCCGAGAGGAAATTACAGTGAAAACGGGGAATGAGCGAGAGTAGATGGGGGTATTTTCAACTTGGAAGAGGAGCATGAAAGAATTTGGAAGTTTTTTTTAAAGCGGTGTTGATTTTGGTGAAGATTGGGGAAAAATTTCGAAAAGTTTTCTGGGACAAACAAGAGATTTTTAGGCTTCGTTTTGCCGAAAAAATAAGAGTGAAGACAGAAGATTTCGGAGGAAAATTTTGAAAATTTTTCGAATTCACTTTTTTTTGAAAAAGAGAGTAAAAATCGAGAAATTTTATGGGTCGGCGAGTAGGAATCGAAATAGCTTTCAAAATTTCCATTTTTGGAGTGAATTCCGAGTTTACTTTTTTTTCGCCTTTTTTTGGAGTAAACTCAGAATTTACTCGCCGAAGGTGCCGGCGAGTAAATCCAGAGTTTACTCCCGGGGAACAGTTGACCCCTGGGCGCAAAAATTTTTTTATCTGCGTTAATAATTCGCGCCAAACTTTCGAAAAATTTTGCCGAATCCTGACTGGGAGGCTCCAGTCAGGATTCGCGGGGTTCCTGACTCTTCGTACAGTCAAAACTTCCTGACTGTGGTCCATTCAGGAATCCCGCGATTCTTGACTGGGTGAGGGGTCAATAACTGTTGACTAGGACGAAGAAATAGGGAGAAAAAACGAAGAGAACGAGAGAAACGCGCGCTATTTCGTGCTGTCTCTGCCTCTCAGCGCCTTCTTTCCGTTTCGCGCTCTCTCTCTCTTTTCGGGAGAAAGAGCGAGAGAGCGCAAAAAAGGAGAGAGAGAGCGAAAGAGCGGGAAACGAGGAGAGGGCGCAGAGAGGCAGAGAGAGCACGAAATAGCGCGCGTTTCTCTCGCTCTCTTCGTTTTTTCTCCCCGTTTCTTCGTCTCAGGTGACTGGGATGTCGATTTGGAGGCCGCCCAGTCAAAAACATTCCTGACTGCAGGAATCGCGGGATTCCTGACTGGGAGGCACCCAGTCAGGATTCGGCATTGGAAGCGAGCAAAATCCAGATTTACTCGCCGCCATTCGATTTCTCGGCCCCGGCGAGTAAACTCCCAGTTTACTCCCGAAAATCAAAATTTTTTTCAAATTTTGGAGTAAACTTCGTGTTTACTTTTTTTTTGGCATATTTGGGAGTAAAAAAATTTTTACTCCAAAATCGAAAAAAAAGTGAATTCGAAAAATTTTCAAAATTTTCCTCCGAAATCTTCTGTCTTCACTCTTAAATCAAGATTTTTTTTTAGCCTAAAAGTTGGAAAAAATATGCTGACTTTATGTGAGTCTATCCATAAAAAATATAGCCTCGTTTCCAGCGGACAGGACAACTTTTCGCAAAAAAATTTTTTTTTTGTTCTGTTTTGAAAGAGATGACCAAAAAGTTTTTGCGCACACATAGGCCACATACCAATTCCTGAAAGTCTTAACTCTCGCTCTGCACGCGCATCCAAGATATTCAACAATCTTTGCAGCCGAGAGAGTACGCAAAATTTGGAAACGCGGAGAGCGGTCAGAGAGAAAAGTATTTTTAGCCGTGTCTTTGCCAGTTTCGTGGGGAAAAGCTTGATTTTTTGTGGAAACATTGCTGTCTACGGTAGAAAGAAGTACGAAACTTTTCATGCCAAAATTTGCAAAAAAAAGTTTTAAATTTTTCCCAATTTTCGTTCTAAAAATCTCAGTCATTTCTGGAAAGCGCGAGCTGGAAGTCTTGCACATTTCTTAGAAAAAATATTCGAAACCTGTGTCATCAAAATCTGAGCGTCGCACTTGGAGTATTTCCCCCGTCAGATTCGGCCCGAATTTTTATCAAGTCCTGAACGTTGATCCTAGGATACCTAAAAATAAAAAAATAGTATAGTGTTTGGTAAAATACGGCAGTCCCCATATACTGTTTTTATTATTTTTGTTATTATTATGAGTGTTTTCCTTGTTAGGTGACTGTAAATGTACTGTATTTCCAACATCTCCACCTTCTCCCCTCAATCTCCTCGCCGGCCCTCAACGCCGCTGATCGTTGTCATAAATCCCAACGCTCGGTGGGGGATTCGTCCGGCTGATTTTTTATGCCCACTGCCAGTAAATTAACACTCCCCCAAAACTTGGATTTATTTCGCATTGTCAGTGGGAGCATATTGTGTTTGGGATCAATTTCCGGGAGATTTATGTCGTTTGCGGTCTCTTTTTGAGGTCGCCTATAACAATGGGGCTTTCATATAGCAATTGGTGCCGGAGGCTCTAATTTGTGCGATTTCTGGATGGTTTTGGTGACAAACTTAGAGAGTATATAAAAGAAAAATGAGGGATTTATAGGGATATTTGATTTAGAGGGGGTGGCAAGTACAGTAAGCTATAATTTCTAGGTATTACGGTAGGATAAGCTACAGTATTCTTACAGACGAAGCGCTTAAAGTGTGACTCTCAGATTTTGATGAAACTTGACAAAAATTTAAAATGGTGTTTTCTAAGACATATGCAAAATTTCTAGCTCGCGCAATGCAGAAACAAGCGAGGTTTTTTGGTCGAAAGTTGAACAAAAATGTGACATTTTTTTTTGCGAATTTTGGCATGAAGATTTTCATACCTAGTTATACTGTGGAGGGTAATGTTTCGACAGAAATTAAATTTTTTCCGCATGAAACTAGCCAAGATATGGCAAAAAAGTGTTTTTCTCTCTGACCGCTCTCCGCACTTTGCGTATTCTCCCGTAAGATCGCTCAATATCTCGGGTACCACTGCAAAGTAAAGGCTAAAACTTTCCGGAATTGAGGTATGGCCTACACCTGATGTGTGTGCAAAGTTTGAGGTAAATCTGTGAGTTACACTTGAAGCACTTCCCTTGTCAGTAAAATCGGCCGAAACTTAATTTATCGCCATTTAAATCTCCCCTTGCCCCAGCACTCCCTATATCTTCTCTTGACCGCTCTAATCTCCCCCATTAACACCTTTCTTTATTCGGAAAGCCCGCATTCCTCTGCCCCTCACATTACCCAACGCGTCAATAAAAGTGTGCCATAAAAAGGTTACGCATCCATTTGATGTTACGCATCATAACATCAAGCCCTCTTTTCTTCCGCCTTTTTCGAATCAGAAACCGAAGCGTCAAGGTCTTCTTTTGATCGTGTGACCCATGGTCAGCAGTGATGGGGAGGTGTTTATGGCTTGAGGTATACGTTGGGGTTGGTAGGGCTGGGTGTTGTCGTATTCTATACTCTGGATGATCAAGCCTTGGAGGGCTTGGAGAAATCGTGAAAAATCCGAAGTTGGAATTCCCATTTCGGCCGCGTATCGGGCTTTGATCTTTGAGGAAGCTGAATTGACAGCGCTATGAAATTTACAAGGGAAGTAATCCAATTCCGACGCTCCGACTTTCTTTAAATTTTGCACACAATTTGGACATAAGCAACGTTTCATTTCGTATCTTTGATATTATCTTACGAAAAAATAATTTTTTTGTGGAAACCTTACCCTCTACGGTGGAAATATGCATGAAACTGAGCGTCGCACTTGGAGCACTTCCCCTGTTAGTGCCAAAGAAGGAAAATGAAGTGTAAATTCGTATTTGATTTTCTGAGCGGTCATTAGTTTTGAACAGTTTGACTTGTAGACCTAGATTTAATAATTTTTTGAACTTCTTACTGTACTTTTCTGGTATCAGCCTGTAAACATATTGCAGTATATGTAATGAAAAGCCAAAGGAATATTTCTGGACTTAGATTGCGCTGGGTCAAATTTAGTAAAACCTTGTGTCGAAAGGTCCGGCAACCCAGTAACGATGACGAGACGCTCAAGAGTCAAGTGATTTATTCAGTGGAAAGGAGGCCCTTTTATAGGGAAGCCCCACGTAGGAAAGTACAACCAAATTTGAATAAGTGTAGATCGTTCCTCGTGGGAAAATCCTCGAAGCTCGGTCGTTCCGCCTCACACCTTGAAAGTCCTGGGCGTTAAATCAACCGGCCAGGCCGGAAAAATCGGGCCAGTCCGGCCTAATTTCCGCCTTTACAAACCTCCTCCACAACTATACATATTTCAACCGCCTTATAAACTTTTCCAGCGTTTTCTTTACTTTTCCACCTTTCCAACCTACTGTCATCACTCTCCTGGCGTGCCATGCAACTGCAAATTATAGCGAAACCGGCTCGCTTAACCTGTTCTTGTATTTGGCTTTTCATTGCGCGTTAAGAGGCCATTAAACGGTCGTGCATTAAGCCAATTTTTCTTTTGTTTTTTCCTCCCATTCTAAACGCTCATTTGGATGGTGATGCAGCCATTGGAGGTGGATCGTCTTGTCATCGGAATTTCAGCGATTTTTGGCTACTTTCAGTCTATCGGGGAAATGCTCATTATTTTCCAGACATGCTGATATTATTTGTAGTATGTTGAACCATTCAGTAAAAAATTCCCAAATTTTCCGCCGAAAATAACATTTCCAGCCAAAAAGCCGATAAAATTCATAATTTCTTCCCGTTCTTCCGCTCGCTGAGTGTCTCATTGGCCATAAAATTTTCGCCCGATCCCCTCTTCCTTCGCTTACATAACCTTTTCCGATCTTACTCATGCAAACCCAGCAGAAGAATGAGTCCAAATGGTAATGACATTTTCGTCGTGGAATCATAATATCAGGGGAATCTTTACCAAGATTTTTGTGAAGACGGATGAGAAATTTGGGTTAGAAGATACTGTAATTAGTTGAGTGGGTTAATAATCCTTGTTTTCATCTGCAAAAATTCAGTCTCTTTGTAGCAGTATCGACAAAGGAATTGGCCGTTTTTGGCGATTGCAGCTTATTAGAGGGAGCCGTCAATTTGCTCCGCCAAAAAACGGCTGTTTTGGCAGTAGGAGAAGAGCGGTTTTAAGGACTTGTTTTGGTCTCAAAATATTGTTTTGGTATCAAAATATTTACTATATATTATTTGGGACCCTGAGAATATCAGTCTGTCGAGAAAATAATCTGGACTTGTCGCAGCCAAATGTCTCGCCTCAGTCGCGCACCAAAATCCCCAGCCGCGGCCAGCCGCCGCTCCACATTATTTTCCCGACAGACTGATACTAGTCCGTTCGCAAAGTCGCTGAAATGATTTTTGCAACAATGAAAATCCGTGCTGCGACTTTGCGAACAGTCTAATATCAGTCTGTCGGGAAAATTGTGGTCGGTTGTCGCAGCAAAAATGGGTGCGGTCGCGCGCCAAATTTCCAGCTTCGGCAGCCGTCGAAGCGATGTTTATTTTACTATTGAGCCTTAAATTGGCTCTCTAAAATTGTTCGTTATATAGAGCCAAGTTCAGTATTTTTTTTTTATTTTTGTTTCCGCTCAATTTTTAAAATACGGTTCTTTCCAATGTTTCTACAAATTATTTTTCACCGTTTTCCTCAAGCTGCAATTGAAATAAAAATGCATATCAAAAGCATTAAAATTCCTTTTTTTGGTAAGCGATCGCACTTCCCATAACCGATAATCTAAGTGGGTATACAACATGAGAGAGACGTCCATTCCTTTTACTGCGGCCTCTCTTTTGTATTTTTTTTTTTTTTTGATTCTCTTCCAAACCGAAAAACCCTCGCCCCACTTGAATTGAAGTTATAAAGAAATGGGATTTTCGAGGGAAACCGATGTTTTGGAATATGCAAATTTTACGGGTATTTGAAATTAGTTAGAATTGTAGTTTTTGAAAATGAAATTATGAGTCCTTGAGGGTTTTAGGTATTAAAAAATATTTGGATATTTTTTAATTTTCAAAATTTAGCATATTTATATTTTTTCTTGAGTATGCAAATTTAGCTTTAATTTTGATTTTTGAAAATGAAATTAAGATTCCTCGAGGCATTTAGGTGATGAATAAAATTATTCAATTTTTTCTTATTTTCAAAAATTTGCATATTTTTATGAATATTCAAATTTTGTTTATTGCAATTAGTAAAAAAATTATTTTTTTTTTAATTTGGCACGGTTTACATTAAATTTGTAATTCGTGAAATTTTCATACTTACTTTTTAATATGCAAATTTATGCAAATTCAAAAATTACTAATATTTTTAACCTTTTTTTTATTTCAATGCTTTTTACCCAAATTTTGCAAATGTTTACTTAAATTTTTCTTGGCTTTGTCTCCGAAAATTTGCATATTCCACCCGTCTCGATCCCATTATCCGACAACAAATGTGGCGCACATGTCGCGGCACCTGTGTGCCGTAAATCTCCGCGCCTCCGCTCGGCCTTCAAGGTTATGTTGTCTTGGACTTCATAAACTTGATACCAATCTTTATGGCTGTGGGTCATGAACTTTCACAGGGTAATAAAAGGGAATTATAGTAGAAAACTTGACCCGGTACAAGTTTTATTTTTGGGTGTTGCAAAGTTTTGGGCTTATTTTTTGGCCGAGCAAGCAAATTCAATTTTTTAAAAAGACTTGGCACTAAGGACCGTATTTTACCCTTTTTTTGCTCGGGAAAACTTTTTTGCAGAACTGAGATTGATTTTCTGGCACATTACCTGAATTTTTCACATCGCGCTTTGCAGAAATAACGAGGATTTTTTAGCAGGATTGCCAAAAAAAATTCAGCATATTCTCAAGAATTTTATTTTAAAAAAATTTATGGTGGTTACAATGTTTCTAAAAAGCATTTTCTCCTTGCCACTCTCTTGATTTTCCATGCTCTCTTGCCCGTCAAATTTGTTGACTTTTTTTTTATTATCGGCTCTCCATGCGCAAGCTTTTTCTTCAATTACCAAAAAAATTTTTTAGTAATTGATAAACAAGCTGAGTAGATCAAAACGTTAAAATTTTATAAAATTTTGAGCATTGGCTACGGTGCACTGTGCAGAAATGTCAAGGCTTTTTGACCAGTCTAGTAATAGGAAATCTTGTGCAACAAAACCAGCAATAAGAAACAATTCTAGCGGTTGGCGAGAGTCATTATTTATAAAAGGTTTTATTATCAGCTTGTCGAGAAAATAATGAGTAATGTCGCTACGCCAATCACGTTGCTGAAGTGAAACGAAATTTGATTTTGCCGCGACGCAATTCATTTCTTCAATTTTCGATGCGAAAAAGTGCTCATTATTTTCCCGACAGACCGAATAATGATATTGTGATATTTATATCACAATATCATTATTCGCGTATTTTACCGTCTATTTTCCCCTCTAAAAAGTTGTAAGACCCTATTCTCATCATCCCAATTAACTATACCCTCCTTTTCTCACCGCGTTTCCCCAAGCCCCAAATTTTAGCCAAAGGAATAAAAAAAAGGGGCGGAGCCCCGCTCAGAAGACCCTCTGTTTTACCCTCACTCGGATGCCAATAAAATTTCAGGCGACTTTTTTCTCGATCTTTGCCGATTCCCCTCCGTTTCCCTTCGCTTTCCTTTGCCTCCCACGGTATCCGAAAATGAGTTCTTAATTTCGATTCTTTTTCGCTTTTTCGACGATTTTTTGGGATTTTTTGCTGGATTAATTAATTGCTGGGAATTCCATTTTGTTTTTTGGGGTTTGCCCTGAGGGGATTTTTGGGTTTTGAAGATTTATTGAGTGTTTTTTGGGGGTTTTGTTAAAAAATTTGGATTTTTTGATTTTAAAACGGGAATTTCTCAATTTGTAATCTTTAGATTTTAATGTAACTTGGTGAAAATTTAGTATAAGATTTTTCACGGCGTATGTGAGATTTTTGACTCGTTTTTGGCAAAATCATTGACATTTTTTGGTTGAAATTTTTTTTATTTCTATCTTTTTCAGTTTTAAAATTTGAGCTTTGTTTATGAAGAAGAGTATAGCATTTTTGCCAACAATAATATTTTTTGTCTAAAATTCACAGGGATACGGCCAAAAAACACAGTTTTTCTCTAACCGTCTCTCCTCATTTTCCATAGTCTCTCGGCTGCGACAGCAAGATCGTTGAATATCTCAGCTGTGGCTGTTACGGGAAAGCTGAAATTTCTAGGGGATTAATGCATGTGCTATACACAAAATTTAAGGAACATCAAAAAAAAATTTTTTTTTTTTTTTGAAAATTTTTTTTTTTGATTTTTTTCAAAATCGCGTTGTTTCTTATTAAAAATTCCAGATCAAACAGTCAACAAGCTTTTTAGATCGACCAAAATACCCGTAACACCCGACCATCGACGACAATTACTACATGATCATCAATCAAATTCCATTCTTCGGCCTCGCTTTGGCCTTATTTTTCTTCGATTTAGCTAATTCTTCGATTTTTGAAAAAGTAGGCATTTCAAAAAATCTGGCGTATTTTAAAATGAAAAATTATTTTTGACAAACAAATCTTATTTTCAGGCGCACAAACAGCAATGTCAGCCAATTCACATTGACTCTTGTTTGGACTTGCCTTACAACAGCACCATTGCCCCAAAATCGAATATTTTTGGGGATGAACAGAGTGTATGTTAAAGTTAATTTTTTACGAAAAATGTTTCCATGACGTATTTTACAATCACAAAAAAAATTAAAACCAAAAAAAATTTTTTGTATTTCAAAATTTTTCGATTTTTCAATTTTTTTTTTTTTTTTTTTTTTGAGAAAAAGTATCAAATACGTATGTTTGAAGTGTAAAACAAGATTTTTCATCAAAAAAATCAGTTTTTGCAGCCAAAATTTGCAACGATAAAACAAAAAAAAGTTTTTTTCTGTTTGTCTCTCCTCATTTTCCGCACTCTCTCGTCTGCAAAAGATTGTTGAATAATTATCTGGGTCCTTTCTGAAAGGGGCTTGCTGAAATTTTCAGAAATTCGTATGTGGCCTATCAGTCTGTCGGGAAAATAATGTGGATTCGTCGTGCCTTGGAATCGCCCATCAACGCTTTGCGACGGCTAGCCGCGGCTGGAGATTTGGCACGCGAATGCGATGAGGCCAGACATTCCGTTGCGACAAATCCACATTATTTCCCCGACAGACTGATAGAAGATACTGGCTGTAAAATTTGAGGAAAATTCGGGCATTTTACATTGAGCAATAATAGCTCAACTAAATTTTTTGACTTTTTTGACCATTTTCTCAAAAAATCGGGCTTTTTTGTAAAATTTTTTTACTACGTAATCAATTTTAATTATCCTACTTTACTATTCGTACCAAAATTCAACTAATTCTTCAATAATTTTTTTTCAGCTAAGCGAACAAGTCCGTCATTTCAACCCACTCTTCAAAACCAAATGCTCTTCTCACCTCAAATTTTTGGTCTGCAGTGTTTTTGCGCCAATGTGTCCGCCGGAAATGCCTCAAGCGGTAACAAGTTGTCGATCCGTCTGCGAAGAGGTAAGGGACTTTTTAGTTGATAATTTCTTTGATTTTTAGGTAAAACGCGATTGCATGTCAATTCTGTCCGAATTTGATATCAAATGGCCGAGTTTGTTGAATTGCACAAACTTCCCGTTGGAGCCGGAGCTTTGCATGAAGCCGGCGGCAGCGCCAGCCAGAGTTACCACGCAGTAAGTTGATTTTGGACGATTTAGAACGCTTTTTGCGGGTCAGGAAGAAATTTGGAAAATTGCGAAAAGTTATGGATAATCTTTAGTTGAATTTGGCCTAGAAAAAAACCATAAGTTTTCGTGAATTTTTAAAAAATTTCAAGTTGTACCTGGAAGTGCTAAGATTGTTTCTACATACGGAAAATGACTTATTATCACTCTTTATTTGATTACCAACGTTTTACAGAACGATTTTATCATGATTTTTGACTTTGAAAAATCGCAAAAATTTTTTGGACAATTTTTTTACTTACAGAGTACCACAGGTTACACACTCCGATTTTCTTGAAATTTGGCACACGTGTCTTTCATAGACCAGACATCTATCCCTGAAAATTTTAGCTCGCTAATTCCAGGGACAGCCGAGATATTCAGCGACTTTTCGAGAGAGTACGCAAAACGCAGAGGTCAGAGAGAAAAGGAATTTTTGGCCATATCTTTGCCAGTTTCGTGAGGAAAACACTAATTTTTTGCAGAAACGTTACACTCTACCATAGAAATAAGTATGACAATTTTCATACTAAAATTCGCAAAAAAATCGGTATTTGAAGGCCTCGAAAATATCCAAATTTGATGTCCAAACTCAAAAATTTGCATTTTTCATTATAAAATACGAATCATCAAAACGTCTATAACATAAACAGTAAATAAATAAACTCCAGCTCAACACGCTCTCCAATCTTCAACAGTCGTCCGCGTCAGAACCACATCAATCCCATTCCGCATCAACTTCCCTCTTGTCCGGCGGATCTCCTCAATTTGGACCCAACCGATGCCAATTCGAAGTGCGCCCTCCCCTGTAATCGGCACTTTCTTTTCTCTCAAGTAAGTAGAATGCAATGTAAAATACGTCAGAGGTATACCCAACAGTCTGTCGGGAAAATAATGAGCACTCTGTCGCATCGAAAATCGCCGCCGAAAAAATAAATTGTGTCGCCGAAAAATCAAATTGCTGTTTATTTTAGCGATCGGCGCAGCACGTCAAGAAAAAATAAAAGAAAAACGGGCGCCCAATGAAAAAGCCTAGTATTTTTTTTGGCATTCTGCCCGGTGCAAATCCGTTTTTGTCCAAATGGTTTGCAAGATTTTGACATAAAGATTAATAGTAAATCACAAGATATTGATACCAATAGAAAGCTCGAGAGTTGCTTAAGCTAATAGAACCAAAATATACCCATAACATAGTATTTTGACAGTCTTCCAAGGCGAAGAAAACAACGTCTAAATAAAATTTTGTATCGACGATACCGAGTCAGAGAGAACTGGAAGGGGGTATAGGCTCCACGTCAAAAAAATCCTTAAACTATTCTTCGAGTATCTACATCGGTCTCGTCCCGCTTGATGGGACAGTTTTTTTGATATTCGGCCTTGAAATTTGCACTATTTTTAGCCTAGCTCGAACCGTGTTCAAAAAATGCGTCACGATGACACCCATTCAGAATGTGCCAGTGGTATAAAAAACAGTTGTATACGACTAGTAGTACTCCCTAGAGTTCCCATAAAAAAAATAGGTTAAACATTGTTGTTATGTGCGATTTGGATGACATATTTTATGAATTTTTTTTCGCTGTGAGAACCTTTGCAATGCCCGGAATTTCTTGACGTGCGCAGCGACATTGAGCTTATTATTTTCCCGACAGACCGAATGATATTTGTAGCTCCAAAATCAAGTTTATTTTCCAGGAAAAGAGCGAAATGGCGGAGCACTGGCTTTTGACCGGCGCCTTGGTGAATGTGATCGTCACTGCGTTCACATTTTTGACGTTTATGATCGACCGAGACAGGTTTAGATTCCCTGAACGGTAAGGAATTTTCGAGCTATGATTTTCTGAGCCAAATTGCCAGAGGCCTTGAAAAATCACAGTTTTTAAAAACTTTTTGTTTGTTTTCGACCAAAAAACTTTTTTTTGATGTAGCTTTTGGAATTTTTGAGTAATAAAAATGATTTTTGGCGGAATAATAACAGCTAGCAAGTAGAATAGAAAGCCAAATTTTTGAATGCAAGGACCGGATTTTTTTCAGAATTTTGGCATTTTTTGACTGAAAAAAATGAATTGGCTTTCTGCAAAGCGCGGGCTAAAAATCTCAAATTTTTCTTTGAAAATTCTTTCCTTATTTGAGCCACAACTTCATTAGAATCTACGCATAGCTTTTTCAACTCGCTTATGTAGCCCTAAGGGCATAGAAATCAGTTTCTTTCAACTATACTCCCATATCAGGCTATCGGAAAAATAACAAGCGCAATGTCGCTGCCCGTCTCTGAAATGAAAAACAATTTGATTTTGCCGCGAAACAATTCATTTTCTTGCCAGCGACGCAATTTTCGCTGCGACAGAGTGCTCACAATTTTCCAGACAGACTGATATTTCTTCAAACCTTTCCCAAGTTTCCTACGAAAACATTCTCTTTTCGGTCCCCCATTACTTCCCCCTCATATTTCAACGGAAGGAATCAGGCCATTAAAGCGGCGCGAAATATTTCACGCTTCAGCCGGAAAAGCAATGAAATTCATGGGTCAGAGGCGGTTGTGTTAGCGCCTCCAACTTCAAAGGCCGCGCGCGCTGATAAATGGCCGCAGCGAGCGAGGCGGCGAGGGCCATAAATCGTGCGGGAATTGCGAAAAAATTGACATAGACTTATTGCCGACAAGGTCCGACTGATAAGACCGACGGGATGTTACAATAGACGGAAAAAGAAGGGGACAAAATGAATTTTTGAATGAAAAACAAATGATTTTCGAAAAGATTTGCCTTCAGAAGCAGTGAAAACTTTGAATGACATACATTTCGACATTTTCTTATCAACAGAACCTGTCTATAACGAGCAGCTGCAAAGTTCGCAAGGGTCATTTTTACAAGGAAAGTATTCCAAGTGCGACGCTCAGATTTTTTTTAAGTTTTGCATACACATCGGCCATAGGCCAAATATCATTTGCTGAAAATTTTATATTACGCTTTGCAAGCGCCGCTATTCAACGATCTTTGCCAGCGAGAGAGTACGAAAAATGCGGAGAGCAGTCAGAAATAAAAAGACTTTTTTGCGGTATCTTTTCTAGTTTTATGCGGAGAAAATTTATTTTTTAAATCATTATTATCTACGGCAGAAATTGGCAAGGAACTTTTCACTATAAAATTTGCAAAAAAGTGTCAAATTTTCGCCAACTTTCGACCCAGAAATCTTAGTCGTTCCTGCAAGACGCGAGCTATGAGTCTCGCATATTTTTTATAAAAAATTATTCTAAATCTGTGCCGAGCCTCATTAAGAACTGAGCGTCGCACTTGGAGTACTGGCCCGGTAAACAGTGGTATTTTTCTGGAATGATGACTTACATAAATTTTTTGTTGGAATTTTTTTTTATTTTTTTCTTCCACTATTTTATAAATCACCAGATAGCGTCATCCGCAAGGTCATTCGCGCGTCGGAACAAATTATGTGTCCCTATAAAAAACATGACATCAGCTTCAACACATTACTCAAACCCCCTCAGAAAACATTGAACTTTCTGAAATTTATAGCTTTTTTAGCTAAAAAAAAACTAAATTTTTTGTCACGTCATCTAAAAAATCTGATAAGTTTCCAGATCCGTATTTTACATTGCGCTTTGCTCATTGACATCATCATTGCCGTATCTCAGCCGTTACTTTTTGACATACGAACAGACAGGATGCGATCGTATGCCGACTGGGAGACTGTTCTTGGTCCATGAAGGCCTTGACAACACAGTGTGTGTGTTGTCGTTCCTCTTCAACTACTACTTCGGAATGGCCGGCTGTGTTTGGTGGCTCATGTCGACGTTTATTTGGTGAGTGATGATTTGTGTTTTCTAAAGGATACGCCCTACGAACTCCAGCGTATTTTAAAATTATGTTTTTTTTTTGAGAAATTAGATTGAAAACGTTGGCAGACTGATTACTCATTGTCAGAATAAAATGAAATATCACCGTTAAGGTTTACATACACATACTTTTCCATATACGATGAAAGCGCCGTACAACAAAACCTCTCTATAACGAAAAAAATTTTTAGCACTTGACTAACAGTCTGTCGGGAAAATAATGAGCACAATGTCGCTTCGCCAATCGCGTCGCTGAAGTGAAAAGCAATTTTTTTTTCAGCGGCGAGACAATTTTCAATACAACAGAGTGCTCATTATTTTCCCGACAGACAGATATTACTATTTTCATAAAGTGCATGGGCATTTTCTCGCCGTCCGCACCGTTCAGAAAAAGCACCCAATTTGCACTGTGCATTCATATATTTTTTTGTTTCGCACCGTGCATTTGAAATATCGCTACGATGCATCTGTTTGTGTCCGTTGCGCGATGTAGACTTTTTCCAACTGGGCCGCCTTGCATTTGCACAGTGCAAAGGGCTTTTCTGAGGTTTGCACTGTGCGTTGGCGACAAGCGTAGGAAAAAGTTGAAAATGCACTGTGCGGAAGGTAAAAAATGTCCCTGCACGTTTATCAGTCTGTCGGGAAAATAATGAGCACTCTGTCGCATCGAAAATCGCATCGCCGCCGAGAAAATGAATTGTGTCGCGGCAAAATCAAATTGCTTTTCACTTCAGCGACGCGATTGACGCAGCAACTTTTCGCTCATTATTTTCCCGACAGACTGTTAAAGTACTAAAAAGAATTTCTGCTAGACTTTTGTTTCTGTAAAAATTCCAAAATTTGTCTCAATTCCCATGCGAAACAAAAACAAGTGGAATTGATGCACTCTTCCGGAGAGTCGATTGTTTTTTTGGATTTTTCGGGGAAATTAGATTAAACCGGGCCCTCTCCCGCGATACGCAACCATGAAGCTTTGGCCTCGAATTCGGATTCTAATCGAGTTTTTGCGAAACAAAAAATTTCTGGGCGTAATTACTGGAAAAGATGGCCTTGAAGCTTATTTGAAAAATGGGGAATGTCAAAAAAACAAAAAAAAAATAATTTTTTTAAAAAACAAGTTAACTATAGACAAAGAAAAAAACATTATTTTTCAGGTATTTGTCAACGGCAAGAAAATGGGTTCAGGAAGAAATCGAGAAGCGGGAAGTTTACCTTCATCTTGTGGCCTGGGGTCTCCCGGCGCTTCCATCAATCACAATTTTGATTCTTCAAAAGGTAAGAAATGGGGTTTAAAATACGATTATTTTACTTGCATTGTTTTTATAACGAAAGGAACGATGGCGGGAAGATTTGGCAGTCGAGAAGATATAGGCAAAGTTCGGGTAGACGACCGGTCAAAGGAAGAGAGGTTTTATTCGCACACAGACGGGGAAAAGAATGATACAGCCGCTCAATGGAAGCGGAAAAACCAACTGTTTAGAATAGGGAAATTGATCTTATGAAGACTTTGTCCTTTGATTCTATGCAAATTCGTGGAAAATGATTGGCGGTTTCAGTGAAGTCGCCAACATGCCCACTTTTCCTCTTCTTTTCTTGACCATGGGTTGACATCGATAGGGTTCTTCTGTGGCTGGAGGGTTCGGATTGGGTACATCAGGGCAAGAGCACACCATGAGGGAGTCCGGGTATTCATCTTCGAATGGCTGTCCATGTGAAAGTTCCAGGTCTATCAATTTGAATTTGCATTGGGTGCGTTGTTCCATCGGTAGTTGATTCAACAGAAAATTACATCCAGAGCGAGATGGGGAAGAGGAGAGAGTTTCGGATGGAATGTCATAGGGGGAATGGGGCTGAGGAAGATTTGTGAAACCAATATTGACCAGCGGCAATACCTGCCCTCGATCCACAATTTTCTTACGATGCCATTTACGATGACAAACATGGGGAACCATAACGAGATCAGATGGATTTCCAAAATTCAGAGGAGAGTCTTGGGGAGTAGAGGAAGATTTAACCAAAGAAATCACTGAGTTTTCCGAACCTGATACGATAGGTTGCGATACGATAGGGTGCAATGCAATAGAAGACGAGACGATTGGGTGTGAAATGATAGCGGAAGGCAATTGCGGAATTTCTTTGGGTCCATTCAAACGAAAGCTTCTCATTGGAACCTCGGGGATAGAGGATTGAACTGGGTTTGACTTTGGAAGAAGGGAAAGTGCTGGATTTGGAATAGGGATCACGGGTTTTGGAGTAGGGCTCACAGGAGTTCCGGACTCGCTCGGGGGAAACAATTTACCACAGAGAGAAACATGATGTCGACCGTTACAATTCGAACAAGAATGAGAGCACATAGCAACGATATGACCACGTTGGAGACAAAGAGGGCAGAGCCTATTCTCACGAACAATCCGCTGACGAGAATCGAAATCTTGGACGATCTGACAGGTAGCAGAATCATGAGGATCGGAACAGAAGGCACAATAAGCAGGAGTCAGGTTTGGATTGGGGAAAGTGGGATTGTCAGACCGAGATTGAGGAAAAGAACGAGTATCCGGATTGGCGGGATTGAACAAGGTTCTTGGCTGGGAATTCGAATGAAGGAATAAGGGGGAAATTTCTGGAGTCTTTAGAAAATTCTGCGATACTGCAAATTCGCCAAAACGGGAGGACATGATTCGAAAGCCTTCGGGGGAAATTTGGTCTGTTTTTTCAATTTCAAGTTCAGAGAAAGAGTCCTGACCGAAAACGAAGAGGATAGGGGACTTATCGGGAGGGGAAGGAGTACCAGTAAAGAACTGGTGGAGGTCGGGAACCGCAAGAGCTCTGAAGCTTACAATTGGCCCATTCTTGGATTTTAGGGGTACGGTTACCTCACGAGTTTCAATCACAGTTTTGACTCCACCTACGGGAACTACGGTTCGGGGAATGACAGGACCAAGGGGAAGACGAATTCTGGCACAAAGAGAGTATTCTACGAAGGTGGCATCGGAACCAGTATCGATAAAGGCTCTAATTGGATCAAGATGATGGTCGAGAAAGATCTTAGGAGACATCAAATTCTCGTACTGGTCAAGGATAACGCCTCTAATCTGTATAGCGGGAGTTGGGGAATTCTGAGTGGGTGGTACCGGTATTGGAGGAAAATGAGTCTGCGCCGGATTCCGAGCACTATTAGTACTATTATTAGGGAAAGAGGATCTCTGGTTGGATCGATTAGGGAAGGATGAGGAGTTTGGGGAGAAACGATTACTCGTGGAATTATTGGTAGTGGACATAGACTGATTCTGTGAGGGGAATTTCTGATAACACACCGATACATGATGATTCTTTTGGCAACACGAACATCTGGGGAATCGGCATGCCGCTTCCGAGTGATTAGACCTAAGGCAACGAAGACACAACCCTTTCTGCCTAATGACTCGCTGCCGCTGGGAAACTTCGGACACAGTACGACAGTCCTCAGAACGATGGTTTCGGAAACAAAATACACACGAATCCCGGGACTGGGCATTCTGTGAAGGGGGGAAGGGACGGGAATCAAAGTTCGAAGACTTGAAGAGATTGCGGGCTTCTCGACGATCGGATGCGTCTTCAGCTCGGAACTGTAATTTGTCGCGGGTTCTAACAATTACTCCTAACTCATTAATCACGTTCTCCACTGTTGGGGACAAGGAGGATCGATCAAAGGTCGCAACGATAGCTTCATGGATTTTGTACGGGAGGGAATCAAAGAGACAAGACAGGAACAAGCTTTCTTGGGCCTCAGATGCAGATTTCAGGATACATGCACTGAGATCACGGAGTTGGTAGTACCAAGCCGTAAGTTCTTTATGATCTCGGGGGACGGACAGTCTTTTATCTTTCAAAATTTTCATCAATCTATGAATTTGCTCATCTGAATCACCGTAACGATCTTCCAGTGATTTCAAGATGATAGCTAGACTACCTTGTCGGACGGGAACTGACTGGATACTATTCAACGGCTCACCACTGAGATTCGAAACAACGAAAGCGATAAGCGCTGTTTCTGGGTATTCCTTATTATAATTGATGACTTCATTCAAGAGGGCAAAAAACATGGGGAATTCTTCCTTTCTACCACTGAATCGAGGAATTTTCGCTTTTGAAAGTTCAAAGGCTAAGGGTTTGGTCGAGGAGGTATTGACTTGAGGAAGTTGAGGAACTACAGGTGGAGAGGGTATCGGGGGATTAATGGGGGGAGGACAGATTTGCGTAGGATTCAAGGAAATGGGACCTCGGGGGATAGGATTTGGAATGGTCAAGGACGTAGACGCAATAGTCTCTTCAAGATTGCCAATGATTTCTCGACAACTTTTCATCCAATATTTTATTATAGCCGAGAGCACATTGCGTTCAATTGATGCGAGAAAGTCGGTTACCAAACTGCCAGCCACGTTTTCCGCATGACAAAAGTTAGTCAAATTCAAAACTAAATCTCTGGACTTATTCTCTAAGCTACGTAACTCAGTCAAGGTCGATCTCAAACGGTCAAGGGTAACGGTAGGGGCGATACTGTAATCATTGAGTTGGTCTAGTGGGCGCTCGAGGTCTTGGAGGATGTGTAACAAATCACTCTCATAGAGCATGTGGATATTATGGCAAAGAACTATAATCTCTTCTATGGTTTTGTTCTTTCCAACACTTTTAAAGGTTTCGCGATCTTGAGTATCATTGACTAGCTCATCGCCATATTGGCTCAGATATTCAATATGAGTGTGCCAAGTGTCTTTAGAAAAGAGCGGGGAAGCCAAGATTTGGGAAGGGACTAATGTGATTGATTCTTGGGTTTTAGGCGAGGAAACCTCTTCGGGTCCCTGTGGATCGGTCATTATGCTTTACTGTAGTGCGGGGAGGATGATTATGGGATACGGCAAGGAATTAAAAAAAGGGAATTAAGAGAAGCTATGATACAAAAGGTTTTTTCTTTTATGTTTTTTTACAGGGAATATGTATGACGAGGGATATATACGAGAGAAGAGGAAGTTAAATTGGACAGTGAATCGAGGGAAGTCTAGGTGGAATACTAGAGGGTATGGGTATGGATTCACTACGAAAAACGATTAACTTCGGGGAAAAATGGAAATGGGTAAGGGGAAGGGCAAGATTATGGTCACGAATACCGCTTGTTCTACGGATAGCCGCAAGCGGGGCTCTAGTGGGACTGGGATTCAAAAGGGGGGAATCCGGGAAAATTACAAGAGATTGTCCAGTCGGGGAAAATTGACTTGGAGAAGAGGAACAAGAGGAGCCTAGAAACTTTACTAGGGGAATATGATAAACGATAGGAAACGAGAAAATCGATACGGCAATGGGAAACGAGAATTTGCCTAGAACCTAATTTCTAGTCTAGGGAAGGGAAACGAGAACGATAGCACGATATTACCTAGGGTAACCTGCCCTGGCTCACACCGAACACAGGGAGGGGCCGGGGAAGAGGGAACTGAAAGACAGACACCGGCTGGCCAATCCGGTGGTAGACAAAATACGATAACGATACCTTTATTGCTCCGAGAACGACGATGAGGCCCGGTTTCGATCAGGCTTGAGCCCCCATATAAACGATTTAGACAATAGGTAGACGATAGGGGAATATTTATTGGGCCAACACGAGAAGACAACCGCACGCGAATGAGCGCGAGACACCGACTTCTGAGAATAGGGGAAATTGATCTTATGAAGACTTTGTCCTTTGATTCTATGCAAATTCGTGGAAAATGATTGGCGGTTTCAGTGAAGTCGCCAACAGTTTTTTTTGTAAAATTTATAAAAATTTATGCAAAACATCATCAAAATCTAAGCGTCGCATTTCGAGTACTTTCCCTGGAAAATAATATTAGTCCGTTTGCAAAGTCGCTGTAATGATAAGATGACGCACTGCGCAGGAAAGTCAGGGTGCGAGCGACAGACCAAAAGCCTATCTCACAGTGTCGTAAGCAGCAAATTTCACAGTGCAAAATGAACTTTTGTTTTCTCACAGGAACGGACCCGTAATCCTCCAATGGTTCTTTAAAAAGTCAGGCCAAAAAGCTAGGTCCAAATTCAAGTAGCTTCCAGTCAAAATTATGCACAAGAAGTTGCAAGAAAACCAATCATATTCATGAAAAAATTTAGTTGAAAAAAGGTTCTTTTAGGCATTACAACGACCCTTGGGACCTTCAAAAACTATTCATGATTTTCAAAATTTCAGGTCGACGCCTCAGAACTGATTGGAATCTGTTCGGTTGGAAACCTCAACCCATACACCTTGATGTCTTTCGTCCTGATCCCCAGACTTGTTCTCGTGTTCTTTGGAAGCTGCTTTATCATTGCCGGCTTCTCCAGTATGTGCGGAGAGAGGAAGTCGTTCAAACGGAGGGTAAGCCAGTTTGTGAGATGGTAAAATACGCGGAGACAAGTTGTCCTATAATTAATAAAGCACATAGGCTTGACTACAATAAATTTTGCTCGATTACGGAAGGTTTTAGAGAACTGGTACGAAAAGTCTGTCGGGAAAATAATGAGCACTCTGTGGCATCGAAAACCGTATCGTAGCCGAGAAAATGAATTGTGTCGGGACAAAATAAAATTGCTTTTCACTTCAGCGACGCGATCGGCACTGCAAAATTTCGCTCATTATTTTCCCGACAGACTGATAAGCACTTTTCAAAAAGCAAACAATTAAAAAAACGCGTTTATCTTTAGGGAACAGACACTTCAAAACTGGACACCCTCCTGTTCAAAATGGGTTCATTCTCCACCTTGTACATAGTCCCAACACTGATCCTATGTCTCTGCGATGCATATCATGTGTTCGTTCTGACCAGATGGTACCCGACCACAGTGGATTGTAAACGAAATGGTGGGGCGTCACACTGTCCAAGGGCCGAGCAACCGCATGCAGAAGTCTACATGCTGGCTCTGGCGATGAGCTTGGCCAGCGGGCTGGCCACAGGACTGTGGATTTTGAGCTCAAAGACGTTGAAGTGGGTTGACTTTGATTTTTGGATATTTCGGCCTGATGTTTAAGACTTCTTAGAGTCGCAAGCTTCGCCACAACAAAAATTTACCCGATTTTTTCCAGATCCTGGCGTCGAGTCCTCTGTTGTGGCCATCTTGAGGACGACCCAAGCTTGGACAAGCCTCTGCTCATCCCCACGCAAACTTACGTCGCCAACAACCAGCCTCAACAGCATCCGCTGATCACCCAAGTGATCCCGAATGCGAACGGAGTCAACCATTACATACCGTTGTCGGTGATGACCAATGGCCAAAGCAGTAATTTGGGGAGCTCTCGGCAGGGCTATCACATCAATGAGCATTGGAAAAATTTGAATGGACTGTAGTTATTAGAATACTACGAAAAGTATTATAGTATTGACGGGAAATTCAAAACGTTTTATTTTTGCTTTTTTTCAAATTAATATTTTCGTAATGTGCATGGACATTTGTTTCGCTTTTGCACAGTGCATTTTGAACTTTTTCCCACGCTTGTCGCCAACGCACAGTGCATTTTGAACTCTTCGCACAGTGCAAACCTCGAAAAGGCCGTTTGCACTGTGCAGATTTTTGAGCCTAAATTGCAGCGACGCAGTTGAAAGAGCGCAGATCGCGGCGATATTTGCAATGCACAGTGCAAAAACCAAAAAAAGTGAAATGCACTGTGCAAAATTAAGGTTTTTGTGCACGGTGTGGGGTCCGACAAATGTCCATGAACTTTATGAAAATACTTATTTTTCTATCTTACATGTCTGTAATACCAAGGAAGAGCCTCTGTACAACGAACAACAGAGTTTGCCTATATTAGTCGTACCATAAAGTGCGTAGACTTTTTTCGCTGCTTTTTTTAAATTGCACAGTGCAAAAAGTTGTTGCGACGAAAAGTCTGCGCACTTTATGGAACGACTAGTATGAAACGTCAGAGGTCCCAAGAATCAATTTTTCCCAAAAAAAATCTCTGCACAACGACGCCTTTCTATAACGAATGCACTTTTTAACGTTTTGTTATTTGTTGTAGAGAGGTTCTACTGTAAATAACACCCAATTTTCAGCAATTTTCCCATTGTATGCATATGTATTGTACTATCAGCTATCCGAAATTTCTTGCCATTTCTCGATATCAGTCTGAACTCTCGTTATATTATCCATGGACTTCCATTGCATGGTCACTCAAATTATGGTCCCAGAATTTTATAAGCACCTTCCAAATTTTTGGTATTACCGTATCTTTGCTGTATTCACATCAAATATTTTGCACACTGATATTTTTCACTCTTGATTGTTCGTGGTGTTGTCGATGCGACCGAAAACGATCAAATATTTTACGGGTATTTCTATGTAAAAAGATTTTTTAATAAATACGAAATCGAAGAAGCTGGCATTAATGGGTGTGACATAATCTTTGTCACAAGTGTATTACAATTTTATTACCGCCTAAAAAACATCTTCAATCAGCAAAAACGCATCGTCAAGTGATAAAGGAGTTATGCCTTAAGACGCCTTTGTCATGACAATGAAATTTTAATTGCTAGGACCCTCAATTTGGGATAATCATTTACGGACTGCACAGAGAATTTTGATCAATTTGAAATTTATTACATTTTTATTGCGGTATTCGAGAAATTATGTGATTGTGGCGCCACAGAGGGAGTCTGAAAAAGTATTCACAATCGAAGTTGCCGGGCCAGGTCAAAGACAGTTTGGGTCAACGCAAAGTTGGTCGATATGAGACGTACAGTGAGGGACCTGATCCATTGGCAAAAAAGGTACCATTTTGCATCCGTGAAGTATCAAAAATGCGGCAAAATACCCCTGTACAACTAAAAAAACTCGGTTTTGAAAGGCGCACCCTTTTCCCCTTTTTCACTTGGAGAAGGAGGTATTTAGATGCATTTTTGATGCCTCCCGAATGCAAAATGGTACCTTTTTTGCCAATGGATCAGGTCCGCCACTGTAGGCCAGGTGAAAACCACAACAAAGGCTGCATGGGAGCTACGGGGCCCGGCAAAGCCGGCGGACGCTCTGCGAAGCCGGTAAAGATAAGGTGAAAAAGTGTTTTCTCTCTGTTCGCGTACTCTCTTGGCCACAAGGATTTTTGAATATCTGCCTCTGCAAAGCGCGAACTCAAACTTTCATCAATTCATAGTCCCATACCCGGTGGCAGCGCAAAGTTTATCGTCGCAATTAGGCATGGCTCCGGGCCGGGCTTTCCAAAATTTTCCGGCCCGGGCCGGGCCGACTAATTTCTCGGCCCAACCCCGGGCTTCGATTTTCAGGCCCGGCCCGGCCCGGGCAGGCCCGGTTTTTTTGAAATCTGAGTTTTGCCCGGAAAAAAGGGAAAAATTAGCTTTTTCGACAGAATTTTTCATTTTTTCGAACACAATGCTGATAGCGAACGTAAAGTGACCCTATTTGCCACTCGCCCAATTAAAAAAATGATTTTCAAGTCAATTTGAAAAAATTTTCAGAAGTTCTAAAGTGCGACCTCATAGTTAATATGCTGGCAAAAACATGAAAAATTTTCAAAAATACGCAATACGCTTGTAGGTTTTTTCAAATCCGATAAAAGATCTGTGATAAAATATTTTTGCTAAAATTTGGGTGACTATACACAAAATTTTATGATTTTTTGTAACCATATGGTAAGACAATTTATGGCGACTTAGTAATTTATAAAAATCGTCAAGCGGCAATTGCACTATGTATAGGCTTTACTAAATTATTCTTTACAATTTGCGAAAATGTGCCATAGTTTCCCCTTCATTTCCTGCTTTGTTTCTTTCCAACCTAGTACAAAAATTTTCCGGGCCGAACCGGGCCGGGCTTTCCAAATTTTCCAAGCCCGGGCCCGGGCCGGGCTTGGAGATTTAGGCCCGGCCCGCAGGCCCGGGCCGGGCCGGGCTGGCCCGGTTTGCAGCCATGCTTAGTCGCAATGCAAACACTTCCATTGTTTAACAACTTTAAGGTTATTTGTATTACTCAAAATTGTAGTTAAAATTTAAAATATACCCTAAGTTATTGGCATTTTCCTGGATCTTTTCTTGAATACATCTATTTAAAAAAACCCCAACAAATTCTCCCTCAAAAAAATATTGAAAAAGATAAGACAACAAGACGATAAAAAGTCAACTGATAGCGCACGAAAAGGCCTCTTAAAGGCACGGCTCATCGTTCAGCCTGACAAGAACTCACAGCTCACCTCAAGACCTTCGCGTCGAAAGGGCGAGGGCCGGAAGGACGGTATTTTAATACAATACGCGTTCATTATTGTGCAATCGTTGATAAACAAGGACTATGGATCTGACAGTGTTGAAGATTTTGCTGCTGGTGGTTATGGCAATCGTGCCGTTTGTTTTTGCACTCATTCCGTTGAAGGTAATGTCAAATGGGGTTTTTTATGTAAATTTTAGGGACTTATATCAGTCTGTCGGGAAAATAATGAGCGCTCTGTAGCATCGAAAATCACATGGTTGCCGAAAAAATGAATTCTGTCGCTGCAAAGTCAAATTGTTTTTCACTTTAGCGACGCGATCGGTGCAGCGACGTTGTGCTCATTATTTTCCCGACAAACTAATAAGTTCTCATTATTTTTCCAACAGAGTATAGACAGGGCTGCGCAAAATTCAAGGTCCAGGTTCAAGTCCAATTTCTATAATTTTTGAATCCCATTTCAAGTCAAAGTTCAAGACCATTCAAAGGCTCAAAATTCAAACCCAACTCCCCACGGCTTCTTTTTTTGCTCTTTCCTGCAATTTTTTTCCCTTTATGTGAACCAACTGATCAATTAATTTATGCAGGAAGAAAATACAATTTTCTAACGCTATAAAAATCGATTTCCTTATAAGGAGTTTTTGCGTCCAAGTACTCAAAAATCAGCCGCCAAATTTTCCGTTCAAATACAGTCGAGGGACCTGATCCAGTGGCGAAAAACGTACCATTTTGCATCCGGGAAGTATCGACAAAATGTGGCAAAATGCTTCCCTCTCCAAGTGAAAAAACTTTGTTTTGAAAGGCGCGCCCTTTCCCTCAAAAAAAAGAACGCTTTTGAAATCGGAGTTTTTTCAATTGGAGAGGGAAGCATTTTGCCGCATTTTTTATACTTCCCGGATGCAAAATGGTCCCTTTTTTGCCACTGGATCAGGTCCTCCACTGTAAAAGATTTGCACAGTCAATATCCGTTTTTTTACTACATACAGTTCACATTATTTTTGACCATGAAAATTGTGACTTCAGGTCTATAGTTTCCTCTCCCAACCCAGTGAGAGAGTCCGTAAATATGCAACCCGCCTCATCTCAATGCTGTCCTGCTTTTGTGGTGGAGTGGTGCTCAGTGTGTGCTTGATAGACATGCTGCCGGATGCACGGTAGGACGAGCTATAAGCTCAATGAATACCTGCTTCAGAGAAAACTGGGAAGAGGCGAAAAAGTTGATGGAATACGACAATGACTACCCATATGTCGAATTGATGGCTGGGATTGGTTTCTTTGTTGTGTATTTCGTGGAAGAGTTCCTTTGTCAAATCTGTGGATTGCAGCACAGTCACGATGATGAGGGAGTGGATGAAATATTGTCGTAAGTGGCACAAATTGGAAAGTATTATGTATTGTACGAAGTGTACTGAACGTATGGCATATCATTATAACAAACCCTTCTCTGCCTAGGTTTTATGACAAACCTAACCAATATGAACTTATCAAAAAGACTTGAATGGTTATCTAACAGTGTGTGTTGAGTATGGGAGATTTCCTGCGTAATAAAAGTCCTCAAACTAACAATTCAAGAGCTCCAAGTGTGACGCTTAGATTTTGATGAAACTTGGCAAAAATTTTGAATGATTTTGTCTAACGCAATTAGCCTAGCTTGCGCTTTACAGAATAAACCGAGTTTTCAGATCCAAAGTCGGCAAAAATACGACAGTCTTTGGCCGATTTTTGTGTGATAAGTTTGACGCCATTTCTACCGTAGATGTTGTGTTTCCTGCGTACTTTTTTGACTATAAATATTGTTGAACATCTCGGCTGTTCCTGAAGAGCGTAAGCAAAAACTTTCAGGAACTAGCACATGGCCTATGGCCAAAATGTGGGCAAAATTTAAATAAAATCTGAGCGTCGCACTTTGAAGCCTTCTTTTATAAGTTTGACAAAGTCAAGTGGACCTTTCGGATAGATAGATCTCTACGAAAAACAGCCTATTTTAATATCACAATACTACAGTATTGATGGTTTTTACATCCCTTTCCAATCCATACATTCTTCAGTCACGACTGCCATGACTGCGAACATGACATCGAAAAACCCCTACCTCCAAAAGAGCCATCGACAAGCCCGAATCCACTCGCCGTTTCCGGCATCTCAAACGTTCTATCATTTGTGCTCGCGCTCAGCGTGCACTGCGCGTTGGAAGGTTTTGCATTTGGAGTGCAAAACACAATGGTCTCGGTTACGTCTCTTTTCTTCGGCATTATAACTCACAAGGCGCTGGTGGCATTCAGCTTTGGAATGAACTTGGCAAAGCATCTGAGCCATCGATTAATTGTGATATTGATTTTGGTATGTGTGATCTCGTTGGCAAGTCCGATCGGAGGCTTTGTTGGAATTGCAATCGAAGTGAGTCGAATTTTTGTACATAAAAGCACTTAAAAAAATTGGCATGAAACTTCGCGTGTCAAAATTCGTAAAAACGAGTTACATTTTCGCAAAATTAAATTGCCTTTTCACTTCAGCGACGCGATTGGCCCAGCGACATAGAGCTGATTATTTTCTCGACATATTATTAATTCCCCACCTTATAAAGCCTTCCATTTCAGAATTCTCAAATGGATGAGAAGGCAAGACATATTGTTACAACAATTTTGAGCGGGTTTTCCGTTGGAACCTTTATTTATGTGGCATTTTTTGAAGTAAGTCATCTTTCCAAGGCCTTTATATGTAACGCTTTTCATACTTGTAGATTCTCGCACCCGAGCACGCGAATAAACAACCGCCGTTGATGAAATGGGCCGCCTGCAGTGTTGGATTCTTCAGTATGGCCGGATTCTTGGCTTTTCATCAAGAAGAATAAACGGGATTACTTTATTTTAGCTACAAAAATTGATTGTAATGTGTATAAATTAAAGTTTTTAAAGGTCGTTTTCTCAACGGAAGGGGAGTCTCTCAAATCTGGCTTTGTTGGCTTCACAAAATTCCTTGGTCAATTCGCAGCGCCAAAACTTGCAATTGATGTAACCAATGGTTACAGTTGTTTCATGAGCCAGGTCGCGGAATGGTTTCGAGTAGTCTTCGTAGGCCTTCTGAAATTTCGTTTTTTTTTGCGTTGAACCTATACATGAAAAACAACCATTTGGCTAGCTACACATACAAGTCGGAGGGGTGATTTTCGCGGCATGAACCTTGCGAAAGAGAAAGGACTGTGCGATTTCTTGTTGTTTGCGTCGTCCAATAAGCTTTCTTGGGCTGAGGCTTTACCTGTGTAAAGCACTTTTTAGCGATTTTAGCGACCCGAAACCACCGCAGATTGCAAATCCCCAGGAATTTTTTCCCGAGTAGTACAAACTTCAAAGCGATCCGCATGTGTTTCTATATTAAACCAACTCCCCTATAGTTCATTTTATGTTTTAATATATATTTGAAAAACCTCACATCGCACGCCTCTTTGTTCCTCTTGCTCATTGTGTTGCAAGTCCCTTGACTGATGTTCCACTTTTGCAGCGAGATGTAGCTCATACATTGAAAGTATACCGTCTGTCTTCCGTAGACCACAACGGCCACAGCAGCCACAAACGCGATTAGAAAATACAATTTCATGTCTGATTTGAATTCATTTCAAAACTTTGATGGTTTATAAACCAGCGTTTTTAATAATGTTTATATTGGGCATGTTATTGTATGTAATCAACGCGATATTAAAAATCAAAAGTCAAAGGCAGTAAGAATTTAAATTTTATTTTTGGGGAATTGTCGCTGTTATAAGTCTAATATTAGTTTTTAAACCGCAATTAGGAACTTTTATCAGTCTGTCGGGAAAATAATGGGGTTTCTTCCCGCTTTGTATCGCCCATCATCGCTTTGCGACGAATAGCCGCGACTGGAAATTTAGTGCGCGACAGCGACGAGGCGAGACATCTTACTGCAACAAATCCGCGTTATTTTCCCGACAGGTTGATATAGGATTTTTAAATATTCAAATTGGACAGCAGTTACGTACAGAGCGGCCGCTTGAAGCTTCCTTTCTCTTTCATTGAATTTCTCCGCCGAGACTCCGCCGATTTTCCGAAAAACTTCACAGTATATTTCTGGACCTGAGATTCACTATTTTCAACCGATTGAAAAATTATCAGTCTGTCGGGAAAATAATGAATAGGATAATCCTAAGTTGTACTAGGCGGGCCAAAAAGTCTTGACATGTTTTCGCACCGTGCGGGCGCATGTAGCCATGGATCCGCAATCGGTTGTAAATGGCGGCTCTCAGGGCCAGATAAGCCTAAATTTTAGGAAAATGTGTTCAAAAACCTATAACAAACATTGTTCCTCGAAAAAATGTAAAGACTTTATTTTACCGACCATAGTAATAAATATGAATTAAAATACGCCGTAGAGAAAGAAGTCGATTTTTTAGCACCAGCTTTCATCAAATTCCTCCAATTTCTCATCAAGTTTGACCTTCTGCATGGAAAAGCTCAGCTTTCCATCTTCAGTTCTCACTTCATTTCTTGCATTATTGATCCGAGTTACGTTGAAGCCATCGCTCACAATGTATTCTTCACTCGATTCGCCCTCAAAGAGACTGGCAGTTTCGAGGGTAGAAAATTCAGAATCAGACGCAGACGTAGAAGTCATCGTTTTGTCCCGTTGAAGGCGCTCTTGTCGTTGTTTGAACCAGTATTTATAGGAGGTGTGGGGCCGGATTCGTGCATTCAAATGGAGATACATTCGGCTCTGAAATGAAAGGGTTGGGAAGAAAATACGACCTCACGTAAAGCCATACCTGTATATAACGTTTCATACGTCACAATAGTAATTTTAGGCCAGTCTTTTAGATCGAGATTTTTAGGTCGAAAGTTGAAAAACCGAGAATTTTTTTTGCGAATTTTTCCATGAAAACTTCCATACCTATTTCTACATTAGAGGGTAGTGTTTCCACAAAAAATCAATTTTTTTTTTTTTGTACAAAACTGGCAGAGATACGGTCAAAAAGCAAAATTCTCTCTGACCGCTCTCCGCATTTCCCGTACTCTCTCGGCAGTAAAGATCGTTGAATATCTCGGCGGCGCCTGCAAAGCGCAAGCCAAAACTTTCAGGAATTGATATATGATCTATGGCTGATGAGTGTGCAAAATTTAAAAAAAATCTGAGCATCGCACTTGGGGTAATTCCTTTGTGAATCAAACGCGTTCAGACGTCCGAAGAATCAAATTTTGCCAAAATAAATCTCTGCACAACAAAGCCTTTGCATAGTAAATATATTGTTTGAAGTCTTCAAAGAATCTAATCCAAATTTGCCCCAAATTTCGCTTTTTTAAATTTTTTTTACATACCTTCTTGATCTTCTGCTGCCCTCCCACTTTCTCGTTTCTCCAAAACTTCTCGCATTTCCTCTCAAATTCTTCGATTTCCTCCTCGTTATCATCGGGGAGTTCGGATTCGAAGGGCAAATCGGAGAGATTGTCAAAGCTTCCCGAACTCTGGCTTGAACTGGTTGCTGAATTTTCCGGTGAGGAGCTCTCAGTGGACTTCAAAATGGATGAACTCACGAGGATCGAGGAGACGCTCATGAAAAACTTTTTACGGGAGTTATGACCGGTCGGTTTGGAAATGGAATAAAAATAGAATACGTTGAAATTTAGATGAAAAAAAATTTGAATATTCAAATTTTGGTGAATAAAAATAGAGAAAAATTTTCAAAAAAACCACCAAAAGCCTCAAAAAGTATCCAAATCCTTCAAAAAGTATCCAAAAATCTGATCATTTTAACTCAATAACAACATAACAATCAACATCAACAAAAATTTCATCAAATCCTCCATCCAAATTACTCCTCGACCGTCTCCACTTCGTCTTTTGGATCAACAAAGTCCTGTTTGAACACAAATTCCTTGGCATATCCGAATTTTGGTATCGAGCAGCGCTTGGAGCAAGTGTAAATCAAGACCGTCGACCAGTCTATGGATTGCCCAATGGCGTCGACTTCCATTAGAGATATGAGATGAGGCATTAATTGGAATTCAAATTCTCTTGGGGCTTGACAAAGTTCGCAAGGAGGGATTTCGCTGGGTTTAGGGGAATAATCACTTGATAGTAGGGGTTCAGCTCCTCGGGCGTACCTGGAAAAGGGTTTATATTATTTTTTGGAGTCTTTAAAATCAATATCAAATAGAATTAGACCCTAATCTTAACAAAAACTACGACTTTTTTCCAGTCATAAAATTTTTTGGACCTAAAATAACATAAGCCAAAAAACCTCAAATTTTGACATCCAAAACAACTAAATTCATTGGTAAAAGACGCCTAATAGCCTTTACGAAACATAATTCAACTATTTACTGCTCCAAATAACCATTTTCTTACCAAATTCACCTATTTTCGCACCCCAAACACCTTTATGAACCTAAAACAATATCGTTCAGAAAATCTCAAATTTCATTTAAAAACTTGGTAAAACGCTGCCATCGTCTTCATAAAATCTTAATTGAGGTATTTCCCATCTTTATCTGCAACACACACCTACCTCCTCGCAAAAAATCGAACTTATCCTACCCCATCAACTTTTTGTATCTAAAGTAATATAACTTCATATTATCCCCAAAAACGCCCTCCAAACCCCATAAAACCCTCTTCAACACCTACCTAAAGACCTGTTCCGGGTTGTCTTGCACCAAATCCGTAAAGTATTTGTATAATTTATCCTTCTTTTCATCCATTTCATCTAGCTCCTTCCCATCAGCACCAATTCCTTTTTCTTTCATTTCTTCCTGAACAATCTTCAACTTCTCCAACTGCTTAGATTCGAATTCCAGATTCTCATCCATTTCCTCGTCTTCATCATCGCTGTAGTCGTCAGGATCGAATGCAAATTCTTCGTAGGTCGTCATTTGAAGGGCATATTCGGGAAAAAGAAAGGTGTTTTCTGATGGATTCGTGACTGAAATGGACGAATTAGACCAAACAGCACTTTACTCAATATCTTTTCCAATCCTTTGGACATAATTTTAAACATCCATTCCACCTAAAATCCAACAAAAATAACAAAAAATCTCACCTTCGCCTTCAGCGCACTCCGCTTTATGCCCTCGAGTCCAATCGAGTATCTGATGGTCCCTCCCACAATACCAAGCTTTATCACATTTTGAACATCGACTAGCAGCTTTCAAACCACAAGTTGAGCAGGTCTTGTTGAAGGCCTTCTCGTTGAAAAATGGATCTTCAACTTCTTCCTCTCCCGGGACTAGTCTTGACTCGCCGGAGTAAAAATCGTTCTCTCTGGGCAACTGACATCGAAGCACCTTCAAATTCGAAGAATTGTTGAGCTGTAAAGAAAAATTATTAGGAAAATTATATTATCCATGATACCTAAAATAGATCTTCATCAAGTTTATAAAAAAAATGAAGAAAATCGCCCTTTTTTAGCGAATTTGCCTAGTTCTAAAATCTCTAAGCTTCCAAACTCTTCTCCACACCCTTACCTTCGAGCACTCCGGATTTCGGCATACGAAAACATACAAATACCGATGAAACGCATGTTCGTGATCAGCCGGGTCCGTGGCATAAACTTGAACAACAAGAGCCATCGGTTTCTCACATATCTAAAGACAAAAAATAGACAAATATAGGGGTGGTGCGATTTAAAATTTTTCGTCTTGACTGGCAAAAACCCCCGATTTCTTGGCTGTAGGGCCTCCAGCCAAGAATTTGATATTCTTGACTGAAATTCAGACAGCAATGTTTCGTTTCTTGACTGCTTGCTTATTTTTGACTGTAAACCAGCCAAGAAATCAAAAATTGTTGTCTGAATTTCAGACAGCAAATTCTTGCCTGTAACTCAGACAAGAAATCAAAGATTTCTGTCTGAACAGTAGACAAAATGTTTCTGTTCAGTCAAAAAGAAATTGGCTGGCAACTCAGCCAAGAAATCGAAGACTTCTTGGCTGAAGTTCAGCCAAAATTTCTTGGCTCAGCCAAAAAAAACTGACTGACATTCAGTCAAACTATTTGACTGGGAAAAATTTTTTGTATTGATTGGCGTTGAAAAGCGCAGTAAATTTCATGGTATTTAATAAAATAGCGAAAGATCAAGATTTATCACATAATAATAAAAAAATTGATTATGGCCTTAAAACTTGGCAAACGATATAGATCTTGTTTTAGCCGAAACAGCCTAAAACAAGGTATAGTCAAGCGCCATTTGCCAAAAATCGTGAGGAAACTATACGTGTCTGTGCTTGGGGCTTGATTCATTGTTGTTTTCAACGGAAATGTGGACTTGAAGAAGTTTTTTCGACCAAAAGTTATATTGCACATGGCAAGTAAAACATTTTGAAACGTCAAAGTTACCTAATACGCTCCCTTTTGACATCAGGAATTGACCAGAAAGCTCATGCAGCACGAAACTTGTCTCCTCGAACGGGTAGTTTAGCTAAAACCTCAAAAATCAAACAAATAGTACTCACAATTTGTTTTCTTCTTGGACGTGACCTTTCTGGGTGAGAAACTGGAATTCCAATGGTGAACGGGACAAGGCAAGTTCCATTTTGTTGTTCCACAGGTCTCCAAAGGTATTTTTGAGCTTTACCTGCCGGTACCCGAGTTATTTGGCAGGAAACATCTAAAACACGGAGAAATAAAAAAGAAACTAAAAAAATTAGCTGAAAACGCGTGGAAATTCAAGTGTCCAAACAATAAAAACAAGAAAGGAGCACGACATCGTGCATTTTCGTTCCTGATTGTGTTTGATCCCAGCGCGAAAAAATTCCCATTTTCGGCCAGAAGTTTTCGTTTTTTTTGCATGTTTCGAATTCTCGCGTTTCGTGAGATTTCCACGTTTTTGACAGGAAATGTTTTGAACCTGTTGTTATTCGACCAGTCATTTTTTGGCCGACCTGTCCACTTTACCCGCGTTCAATTTGTAAGTTGATTATGCTTTTCTTTTCTTTTAGGTAAAAGTATGTTATCCAAGGCCAAAAAATGATGGCTTTTGTCTTTTTTCGCTAGGGACAAGAGAAAAAACGGGTAAAACTTGGAACATCTTTATGTTAGCTATTTTTTAGATCGTAAACTAGAGGTACTCAGTCGATTTCTCTCGAGCCTTTTATTTTCTGTCGAATTTTACCTAAAAAAGGGCAAATAGAAGTGAAAATAGCTTACCTGTCGCCGGGAAACATTGTTTATGCCTAAATTACAGCACGTAATCTACGAACCTGATGTAATACAGCTCCCTTCTGAGATGTGCGCTGCAAACAACTTCTGATTGGACCCGTCCCTTCAAAATCCAACGACCCGACCGCAAGAAAAATAGTCCAGCATGTTGTCTACAACTGACAACCGGCGCATCAACATTTGGATGAACGGGTATGAAGCCACACTAACGACAGTTGTAATTTTTTCCGGAATACATACGAATCTCATTTTTAGGGCATCTTGTTTTGTTTGAAATTCAGAAGTTTTATCCAAAATCCAGCCAAGAAATCGAAGATTTCTGGCTGAGTTTGAGTCAAAATATTTTTGCGCAGCCAAAAAAGCCTGGCTGAGATTCAGACAAACAAATTCTGGCTGAATTTCAGCCAAATTTGTTTGGCTGAGCCAAAAAAAGGCTTGGCTGAAAGTTCAGCCAAGAACTCTGAGATTTCTGGCTGAATTTCAGCCAAAATTTTTTGGTCCAGCCAAAAAAAAATCGACTGAAATTTAGTCAAAAAAAGGGATTTCTTGACCAAATTTTGGGCAAAAATTTCTGCCTGAATTTCAGCCAAGAATTTCAAATTCTTGGCTGGAGGCCCTACAGCCAAGAAATCGGGGGTTTTTGCCAGTCAAGACGAAAAATTTTAAATCGCACCACCCCTATATAAATAAAACTCACTTCGCATTGCACTTCTGTTGCCTTTGGAACCGTCGTCGGATTCAGCCATGAAGGTTTTCCACCAATTTTCCCAATTGGAAGATAAATAGATTTCAGATGAAACCGTCGGTTTGGCTCGATTTTCTTCGGAAGACCAAGATAAACTAGTCTATTCGACATTTCAGCCTGCTTGAAATGTATTTTAGGCCGAAACTCTCGAAAAATCCACCATTTTTTGCGAGGAAAAAGAAAATAAATATTTGTGACACTTCGTCACACTGTTATTGGATTTTCCAAACTTGGCCAAAACAATGAGAAATGAACAAAAAATAAGATGGAAACAAAAGTAGAGAAGGGATAATCGACCAAAGAGATGATTGATTTCGATTATTTTCAAATTTCACCATAAAAAATATTAACTATGATGAATGAGTAAAAATTGGGTAAACAATACATAGTGGTTACAGATTTGCCTTATTTTTTGTGTTCGGTGGGCTAAAACAGTAAGTACGGCTAGGTAATGATCGTCAAAATCAATTTTGGTCGTTTTGTTTATCGACCAAAACGGATTTTTGGTCGGCAGCCTGCGCCCTGGCCAGTTGCAGACTGCAAGCGCAAAATATGGGAAACTGTAGAAATGACTTATTTTCTCATCCAAATGTAATATAGCACATCAAGAAAAGTCGGAATACTTCAGTTACAACGGTAAATTATTTTAAAAACACCGAATAATCGATAAAATGAAAAATTCTTACCAAAGATTGCCGTTACATACAATAAATTCGTTTTTTGCCTTTTAGAATGCCAAAGGCAATCTCTGAAAGCAAAATCGATAACTTGGCTGTGAACTGGGCAATTTATTTTCCGTTTGGCCCGGAGATTCTTGAGTTTTATCTATCAATTATCACCTTATTTTTTAGTTTATATATGAATTTATAGTGAATTTTACGGCTCCTCTTTATTTTTCCTTCAAGATCTCTTCGTATTCGCTTATTTACGGGTAGAAAGTTTAATTTTGTGATTTTTCATAATCGATTTTGAAATAAATTTTTATTATTTTAGACCCATCAATTCAATCATGTGCTGGTTCTTCTGCGTTAGTTTGATTGTCACGATCGTCAAGGTGGTTGTGGCCGTTGTGGGTCTACTGTTTCTATGCGGATTGAAGGAGTATTGAGCATCCTTAGCCAGCAATATCCGGCAATAATCTCACTTTATTTGTTATATTATAATATCCTCATCATATTTGTTACTTTTTTGGAAATAAACAAAATAAATAATAATTGAACTGCAATTTTTTTGACTATGATGAGTGGGAATTGTAATGCTCAATTGACAGCAACATTAGCATTTTCACAAAGTGCCTGGACATTTGTCGCGGTGCGCACTGTGCACAAAAGCCCACGATATTTTGCACTGTGCACTCATCTTTTTTTGGGTTTGCACTGTGCATTCGAAATATCGCTGCGACGGAAGCTTTTCTCATCTGCGCCGCAGCGGTTTTGCTCAAAAATGTGCACAGTGCAAACGGTCTTTTTGAGGTTTGCACGCCGCAAAACAGGGGTGCGGCCCAGGACAAAACCAAAAGTCAGCACGGTGCATCATCGCGCGAAAACCTCGCCGCAAATCTTTGAAACAACGGGGTTAACGAAGTCAGAAAGACTTCTCATAGCTCACAAAGTCTCAGAGCGTCAGCAAAAATTGAAAATTACGAGGCGTAGAAAATTTATGCTCGTTTTGGCAGAGCTGAAAAATGAAAAAAGGAAATCAGAAGCCGTGTACGGGCCACTAAAATCGAGCTTCAAAATTTTATTTTAGAAACTACTGACAGACTTTCTCAACTTAATCACTGAAACGCCTATTGAAAACTTAATCATTGAAACGCCCTATCTCAATTCCCCGGGTCATTAGAGTGATGGAAATTACAAAAAGAGGCCGGACTGAGTCAATATTAAACAAAAGTTCAATAAAGCTGACAATTTGGGAGTCTCAATGAATATTTCAAAGGTTTTCATTTTGACAAAACACATTCGATACTGTATAAATTATGGGTGAAGACTCCTTATTAAAGTTGTAACATTACATTTTGCCCTATAAAAAAGGCAGAGCTCATACCTCTAAATCACAAAAATGTTTTTTCCAACCGCAATTCTACTGCTCGCTGTCTGCCTGTCGGCGGAGGTTATCGAGTTGTGGAACTACCGCGCAAGCGGTGCCCAAACCTGGCGGCGGCAAGCTGAACGCGACTTCAATACGCAAAACTTTCACTCCGAGCTCTACTTCTACAAGTTCCATCCCACGTTCGGGATCAGCCATCGATTCCCGGGCCCTACCAATCGGACCGGCCCGCATATCATCACCATGTCCGGGACGATGGGACCCTGTAATTGTTGGAGGGTAAGTGCAGCAGATGCTCTGTACTACTATAAAGTGCGTAGACTGTTTGCCGTGACGACGATCGCCAAAAAGTCTTGACATGTTTTCGCACCGTGCAGGCGCATGAATTCGGCGTTGCGACGAGTTGTCGCGCGATAAAAACTTGGCGGGGTGCGAAAAAAGAGAGCACTGTGCGTTTTTTACCCTTTTCACAAGGAACGTACTTCTATGGGGTACGGAGTTACAGGTCGAGACATATATCAAAAAAAAATCGCAAGAATTTTCTGATTCAGAATATGTAAAAGTTCGCTCATTAATTTTGGTTTGTAAGGGTGAAAAAATCCTCTTAAGTTTTCTCGCAACACCAAGTAAATGCCTTTTTGACCAATTTTTACCGAATCAAAAGCTTTGCTTTGAGCTAGAATAAACCCTGGCATCTTGACAAGCCTTAAAATATCAAATTTGATTAATATTAAACCTTAATTATTAGTTCCAATATAAAAAAGGGGCACTTGTGTGGTATTGCGAGAAAAAGTTCAGAGGATTCTTTTCACCCTTACAAACCAAAATTAGGCAGCTAACTTTTACATATTCTGAATCAGAAAATTTTTGCGATTTTGTTTGCTATATGTCTCGACTTGTAACTCCACACCCTATAGAAGTAATCTCCTTGTGAAACGGGTAAAAAACGCACAGTGCGCCCTTTTTTCGCACCACGCCAAGTTTTTATCGCGCGACAACTCGTCGCAACACCGAATTCATGCGCCCAACATGTCAAGACTTTTTGGCGCCGTGAATTTCAATTATCGCAGCGCGACAAGTCTTTCGCGCGACGGCGAACTGTACAGACATGGGAAAATGTCAGAATTTTTTTTCAAAAAATGGACCTCTGCACATGAACCCCTATTTGTCGGCATCGTATTGATTTCAGACCGTACATCATTGCCCTGTCCCTCCTAGCAGAACGAACCGCCTTTTCACAGTGGATATTGTCTACAACAGCACCACGGTGTGGGCCAGAAGCGGTAATCCGCGCGTCGTTCGCTACACCAAGATAAAGGTCGATGGAACTTGGGGACAGACGAATTCGAGCATCGCACCTGCTCTCTGAACCAGCGTAATAAAATTTTATCTTTTTTAAAAAGTCGGGAATAAATAACCATATAATATTTTGGCAATGGGGATTAAAATATACACATAAAGGTACCCTATGCACAAATTTTTGTACCCTCAAATCGATTATCCTGAATGTAAAGTATTGATGTGAGATCCTACGCGTCCTCCGGAATTTCATCGTCCGTGTTTTGGGGCTCTTCCTCGCTGTCTTGGATGACCACTTCGTCCTGAAGGGTAACATAATTCAAACGTAAAATTTTACGTAATAAAAACAAAAAATCTCGTATAATCTTTGTCCATTATGTCAAATCAGCTCTATATTTTTTAATGAAACCCATAAAATATTGTCCGACCAAAAAAAGTTACAAAAAAATCAAAAATTATATTCACCATGACCTAAATTTCAAAGCCCACAATTTAAAGCTACATTATATAAAAAAACCGTTAATTTCCTATCTAATTAAACATAACAGACTCTATATTTTCTTTTTCCTTCTATAAACTTCCACTTCACCAAAAGAAACAACCAAAAAAATCAAAAATTATCTTCAACATGACCTAGTATAATATCCCTCCAACTTTTCGACCTAAACTCACATTTTCCCCATCGTTTGTGGTGTCCACCTCCTCCACGACCGGATTACTATCTTCTTCGCTCATTTCATCGGGCCTTTCGTCCGATTCGGAGTCCAATTCAACATCATCTCCTTCGGTATCAGCCGTGTCCATCGTATCCTGATTCCTGTCATCAAATTGGACGTCCTCATTCTCTTCGATCTGAACATCTCCATCCTCCTCAAAGTGCACATCATTCTCCGGCTCAACAACTTCCAGCTCTTCATCTTGACCTTGTTGATCTTGACCTTCTTGAACTTGCTGCTCTTCCTCTTGGCGGCCAACTTCGGGTTCATCAACGAGTCCATCAACAACAACAATTTCTTCATCATCACTGACCACCACTTCTTCTTCTTCGTGCTTTTGTTCTTCCATCTGATGATCTTCATTGTCTTCACCTTGTTCATGTTCAACAACATCTTTCAGGTCCAAGTCTTCATTCTGTTGTTGGCCACCGTCCTCTTCTGGCTTTTCCTGGCCTTGAGAACCTTCACTCGAGAAGCTTCCATCAACAACATTCACTTCTTGATCTTCATCTTGTTCTTGATGCGCGTTCAAAGTGGAATCGATGAAATTGATAATTTCCTGATCCTGCGATGCTCGTAACTCTTCTTCAGCCGAATTCTCTGCCTCCTCAGCTTGCTGTTCGTCATCAACCACTTGAATCTCCTCTTCATTTTCACTATTTTCCACCGGGTTTTCTTCAGCGACCTCTTGTTCGACGACATCTTGGGAATCCTTTGACTCCTCTTGAACCTGCTGTTGAACAGCCTCCTCCTGAGCCTTAATTCGAACGTCTTGATCCTGAGAATCGTCCACATTAACATCTCTGTCAACATCTCCTTGACTACCCATCGAATCGTTCCATTCTTTATCTTCACTTTCTTGATCATGTTCAACTTCAAAGATAGCCTCGCCACTCGCCATATTCCCTTGATCTCCGCTTTGTCCCACATTTAGGTCCCTGTTAGCCGCAATTACCGCCATTTCAATTTCTTTTTTGACGCTTTCCATCAACTCTTTCTCTGCTTTTGCGTTTTCTTCATCAATTTCGGGGCAGCTGGAAGCGGAGGTGTTCAAGGCGTTTTCCTTGCTCTCTGCTGCTCCTTTTTCTTTTCTTTCCAAAGCTTTTCTATCATACTCATCTAGTCCTTTAAAGATTTCGTCAATTTCCTCCTCAATCGAGAATTCTTTGCCATTTTGTGGATCTTCCGGATGGTGTGTTGTAGATGCAAAAAAGTTATCGCCCACCACGGTCAGGTCAAGTTCTGATTGAGTGAGGGTCTGAAAAAGATAATCTCAGGTCTAACAGTTTATAAAACATTCGTTTGAATCTTTTTTTCACCATCAAATTTCGAAAAAAATCGATTTTCTGCCAAACCTCTCCAATTTCTTCCCATTCCCGCCACAAAATCTCAATTTTCTTCCTTTTAATCCGCAAAAAATCGCCAAAATTTCCCCTTCCCCAAAATTTTACCTTATCAGCATCGCTCTGATCAGCTTCTCTTGCCTCCCGTTCTCCAGATTTTCCAGCACCAAACCGATCTTCACCATGAAGCTCCTCCTCAATATCGACGCCTTCAGTGGACTCGTAGAACTTCTCAAACATCTCCACAGTCTCCGGATCGTTTTGCGGTTGCTCTTCGTGGTCCATTTTGGTGAGATCGATCTCGACTTCATCTTGAATTTCAAGTTTCATGCGTTTCTTCGACACTTCATCCACGGCTTCGTCAGAAGCTTTGATGACCGCTTGCAGCGCTGTGTTTTTCTCCAGGGCGTCTTTGAGTAATTTGCGTTTTCTGGGTGGAAGGAGGACATCGCGGAGTTTGTCAAAGAGAGCAGAGAAGCGTTTGCTGAAGAATGCTCACAATTGTCAGAATTTTCACAAAATTTTTTAAATCCCCAAAAATTCGAACTTCAATTAAATAATTTTTACAACAAAAATTTTCAAATCCTCTAAACTACTTTTCTACTTCGTAACCTCCCTTCAAACCATCAATAAACCGCCTCAAATCATCGAAAAAATCAAAAAATTTCCAAAAAATCTCCAAAAATTTTTTAAAATTTCAAAAACCTCAAAGTTTTCTTGCGCAAAAATCCCTTTCTCCCATCTACTACCCTCTAAATACTCTACTTTTTCTTTTTTCCATTTCTTTAACCAAAAAAAACAACCAAAAACCTACCCATTTTTGGAATTTCCAGAAAATTTCTGCAGAATTTTCAGCGTTCTGGGCTTTTCCTCCAGTTCCGTCGCCGTATTCTCCACCAAACTGAACACACATTTCACCACGGCCTCATTGATCTCTTTCTGTTGTTCGTCCGAGCCCACACTGTTCTCAATGTGCATTTTTCGGATGACCGACTCATCGGGCAAGAATCCGAACATCGACCGGTCGTATCGTTGAGGGAAGTCGAGATGGGTGGTGAGTGTTTGTGAGGGTCTTTCATGCCTGAAAATGGCCTATACTCCCTGAAACCTCCAAAAGATCCCACAAAAATCCGGCCTTTTTCGAGGCTCGCCTACTTTCGCACCGTGCAAAAACACCGTCACAAAAAGATGGGTGGGTGCAAGAAAGCGGGGCCTCTGTAACGAGTGCTACACCAACAACATCAATGCACACGCCAAACTTACTCCGCTTCCATTTCCATGTTGGGGTCGGGGTTGTTTTGTTCGGTTTCCTCCTCCTTCAATGAGATCGCCAAGTCCTCCGGTTTGAACGTTTCGACCTGCGCTCCTTGGGCGGCATCAGGTCGCTCCTTCTCTGTGGTCTTCTTGAAGTTGCAGATTTCGCAGTGGATATTGTTGCGGAGACCTGGAAAAAATATTTTTTGACACAACGGCAGGTCTGATCCAGTGGCAAAAACTTTAGAGATTTTTTGGATTTGCAAAATACGGATATGAAGTCAACTTGGTTTGGATACATTGGCCGACCTGATCCAGTACAAAAAACGTGCCATTTTGCATCTGGGAAGTACCAAAAAACGCAGCAAAATACCTCCCTCTCCAAGTGAAAAGACTCCAATTTGATAAGCGCTGAGTTTTTTCACTTGGAGAGGGAGGTATTTTGTTGCGTTTTTGATACTTCCCCTATGCAAAATGGCACGTTTTTTGTCACAAAGTTTCGATCATCAAAAATTGAAAAATAAGTTCATACCCAAAAAAATGTCCCAAATAAAATCTCAGCCCATGCTCGACTATTAAACGCGAATTCCAAGTAAAATCATCGGCCAAAAATTGCAAAATCTCACCTCCAATTCTCGAGGAGCCTCTTCCAAACGGCTGGACCGGACTCATTTTTCCCATGGACAACGGAACATTCTCGGTGTAGCAAATCTCCACATGGACGGCATTACTGACGAAGAACAAGTAATCGGGACCCGGAGCGCCTTCACTCTTTGGGACCACCCGGAAAAACGGGTTGCTGTAGAGGTCCAAGGGCTTGGCATTTCGCTTGCAGAAGCTGAAATTGACAGTAAACAAAAATAAAAATATCTCCAAATACCTTTCAAAGGTATGTACTATCGTTGATGACAAGTTATAGACCAACAAAATTGGTCAAAGTCCTCAAAAATTATATTATCCATGATGATATTACCATTTAAAAATCCTCCTATCGAATTAAAAAACGAAGAAATAAAACACCTGTAAGGCAAAGTAAGGTCATTTTTATAACTTCAGTGTGATTAGACCAAAATTTCTCAAAAAACTGTGGACCTCATCATGGATAATAGAATTTTGTTGTCTAAACTACAAATAAATTTTCAGAAAATAATAAAATCAACTCCAGATTACCAACAAGCTCTCTATTTTGCCATTGGACCATCAAAATCGGTATTTTAGGTTTCGTGGGCACAATGCCAAACTTGGCGGCAATTTGAATTTTCAAAATTCCTAGAAATTCCCAAAACTTTGTAAGCTCAATTTTCAACCCCACACGACCATTTTTAGACAGGTTTCAACCCTCCCGCATCCTTATTTCAATCCTTATCACAAATTTTCTTTCCGGTCCTCCTGATCCCCTAAAACAAGGTAAAAAATCGTCCAAAACTCACTCATCCGGATGGGATCCTTTCTGACAAATGACGACAGTTACATAATGCGGCTTGCTGTTGCAGTAAAAGTCGCAAAAATAGAGGTTCACAAAGCCGGGACGGATCAATTTGTCCACGGGTATGGTAATTCGCACATCTCCGAAGGGACTGAACGCCGGCAGCTTGTTGTCAATCTTCTCTCCGCTGAAAAACAATCCTCGCAGCTTGCCGTTGATGGGCGAGGCTCTGTGGCCATTGTCGTCTTTGATATATTTCTCCATGATTCCATTTCGATTATTGATGACGTCATCGAAATAATGGCGCGGTTTGCACCGATAAAGCAAGGTAAAGTTCTGGAGCGGAGTGTCACCGATGAAACGACGGGCCAGCTCGTATAATTCGCCAATTTCATCGAGGTTGAAGACTGAAAATTCATATTGTACTTGGTCTATATTACACATGACGTGCTCTGCCAAAACTTGATTCTAAATCCAGAAATCAAAAAAAAAATTTTTAACTGACCTGCTCTAAAATCAATTGTATTCTGAAGATAGGCTTCTGTTGTTCCTTTTTTCATCAAAGTCAGCTTGAATTTGTAGTCATGACCAGGGATCGTTTTTAGACTAACTTCGTTCAATTTTGCACTGAATCTCTCACTCTTGACCATCGATCCACCTTGACAACTGACCTCATAGCAATATTCAAAGTCCGCGGCAGCTAAAAACACAAAATTTATCAATGAAAATTAAAATTTTCCTTTTATACACCAAAAGTCAAGTAAATCAAGGTTAAACAACCCCAAATTCCCTTACAGAGCTTCGCAATTGGCCACCATTTTACTGTGCATTGTCTGGAAGATAACTCCACATCCAGTTTGATCTCATCTTTAGCGTTAAAATTTTCAAAACAGTCGTATCTTTTGTAGTCGTCGGGTCTGTTCTCGCCAATGCAATTTCGCTGATTTGCGGCCATGTTTGCGCTTGGAGTCTCGAAGTTATCTGAAGAAAAAGACTTCTTGAGGACTGCACGAGCTATACAGGACATTTTTTCAGTGATTTCAGGCGGAAAATCTATTGTTTTTGATATTGTTTTAGGTCTTGAAGATGGATGTCGAAAAAAGATGAATGGTAGCGTAAAGTACAAAATTTTAGGTAGCATCTTAACTAAAGGCAAAATTCACCTGCTTTTTACCAGCCAATATATACTTTCAGCTACAGATCGAAAAATACGAAGGAGAAATTGCCAATTAATATTATCCATGATCAAAAATCCCTAATCTCCAAAAAAACTGCTAAAGGACTGAAATAAACCTCTCAAACTAGTCCGAAACCGTCTTCACAATTCTCACGTCGATCCTGTATCCCTAGTTGCACCTAAAAGTCAACAAAAACAAGACGAAGACAACTTACCAGGGGGAAAATAATTCATCAGAGGTCCGTTGAAGACTGGCGGACGGAAGATAGGAAATTGTGGCCGAAAAGGCCCCGCACCCATCATCGGACCTGGACCACTCGCCCACACTGGCCCTCGGAGACCTGGAGGTCCCATCGGCGGGGGCTGCAGTGGCGGCATGCCGGGTCTTGGAGCATTACCTCCAAATCTAAAACAAGGTAACTGAAATTACGAAAAAAACTTCTGAACCACTTCTATCATCAAAGACAGGTTGGCCACTTACTCCTGAAAGAATCTCCGGCCACTGGTGCTGTTGTTTCCATAATACATCCTGAAAAAAAAGTAAAATAATACAAAATTCTCTTCGAAAACAATGATTCAGCTCGTCAGATTGTTTTTCAGACAAATTTATGCAAAAGAAACTGCTGATCGTGTTGATAAAAGAGCCGAAATTGTTTTCTTTCCGATCTAAAATAATATCTGCGATTCGCGTGCTGCGCCCTATTATTTGCAGTCTGAGTTGACATTTTATACGATCCATGGTAAATTATCGTTCCTTGGGGGGAATTTCCTCGGATTGAGAAGGGAATCGACGAATAGGTTGTTAAAAGGTCAAACACAATTAAAAATCATGTTAGGTTGGACGGAAAGGAAAGTCCGTACGATTTTTCTAAAGGCACTGCCTTACACTTGGCCACCCGTCATTAGCCAATTGTTTTACTGCGTGACATGACAGAACTCAATGATTTTTTTTTCAAAAACTCGCTGGTGAACTATCGGAGCAATTCGTAAAATTCAAAAAAAAAATTAAAGCAGTTTTATAGTCCTCCTTCTCTAGGGTGGAAAATGGAGCCTCTGTATCGTTCTACTAGTTTATGAAGCAATCGATAAGCATTTTTAATTCTCAGCAAATCACACGCATTTCTCTAGAGCTATATATTTTTGTCAATTTTGCCTCTTTACAGCTAACCCGAAGCGTCTATAATCCGGATTACTCATGTAGCACGTAAAGGGCTACCCATGTGCCTCAATGAACCTTGTTATATAGACAGACCATCAGCAATGCGCGGAGTAATAGGAAAACATTTTTAAGCAGGGCCTTTGCTGAAGATATGGTTGAAAGAGTATCTATTATTTTATGCAACAGACTTTCTTAAGAGTTCCAATTGTGGTTAACGTAGTCTGAAGGACCACTAGAAATGGCCTGCAGAGTTTTTTTGTTTCAGCAAAAACGACTTGGAAACTAGAGCTTGCATTCCGCACCCCACCCAAAACTACCCCAAAGCAGAGAACCTCTTACAATCATGTTCGTTTTGGCCGAGCTAACGACTGGCACATATCACATAAATCTGCACGCTGTACTCTTGTATATACTACTAGGTATCTACGGCGGACAGTCGGTCGTGGCGCAAACAAAAAATAATTTCAAAGTTGGGTAACAAATCGCACGCGTACGGACTTTCCGTCCAACCTAATACGATGCATGGTAAATTATCGTACGTTGAGGGGAATTTCCTCGGATTGTGAAGGGAATCGATGAATAGGTTGTCAAAAGGCCAAACACAAGTAAAAATTCTAGATTTGTTATTTTCAATATGCAAAATTTTCAAATTATTTGCAGTCTGAGTGGACATTTTATACGATGCTTGGTAAATTATCGTACCTTGGCCAAGGCCTTGGCGGGAATTTCGTCGGATTGTGATGAGAATCGACGAACAGGTTGTCAAAAGGTCAAACACAAAAAAAATCATAAATTTTTTTTTTCATTATGCAAATTTCACAGATTCTCAGAAAAAATTTCGGTCTCTTCCAAGCGTCATTCCGCAAGGTTTTCCATTCACAGAACAGTCGGGTCGGACCATGAGCAAGCCCGCCACGCCGGAGGTGAAGAAGGATCCATCGACGGAAGAGAGGCAGAAGTCGTTCAGGAAGCGTGTGGATCAAAATGATCCGCCAACGAAGGACGTGCCCTTGCCGAAGGACGGTTCGGCTTCCAAGGAACTCAAGGAGCCGGTCAGCACCGGGGGGACCCCTCTGAAGAGCGCGAGGGTGAGCTGGGGTATTCATGAGGCTAGAAAATCCATGAAATTGTCGGGTTTTTAAGAAATTTTTGAGATTTTTCGCGGGTTTTGGAGCAAAATCATCAAAAACAGCCCCGAAAAGGCCTGTAAAATCCCTACTAGCCTCCTGTAGCCCCCTAAAAATCTAATTTTCAGGACTTTACAAAACAGCCATTGAACTTAAAAGCGCTGATCGCCCAGCATTTTCAAGGCCCTCCGTCTCGAATGGACTACAATATTGAGGAAATTTACGAGGTTCTGGACAAGGCCAAGGCCTCGTTTATGAAACAACCGTCCCTGTTGGAGATCCGGCCCCCGATGAACATTTGTGGTGACATTCACGGACAATTCACCGACCTTATGAACATTTTCAACGTAAATTTTTAATCCTTTACAGTACTCCAAATGCGAAGCTCAGATTTTCTTTAAATTTTGCACATATGCTGGGCATGGGGCACATATTAATTCTTGAAAGTTTTAGTTTGCGATTTGTCGGCGCAGTAGAGATATTGAACAATCTTTGCGGCCGAGAGAGTACGCGAAACGCGGAGGCGGTTAGAGAAAAAACTTTTTTTGGCCGTATCTCGGCCAATTTCGCCGGGAAAAAATTGATTTTTTTTGCAAGGATTACGTTTTACGGTAGATATTTAGGCATAAGACTTGTCATGACAAAATTCACAAAAGAATTCATTTTTTTTTTAATTTCGACCTAAAATATAAAAAGATTTTTGGGTCTTTTATGTTGGATTTATTTTTAATTCAAACTGAGAAAACGTCGTATTTTAGTCGGTCGGATTACCATATAAAAAGAGCTATCTGTTCTTGGGCGATTACGTGGACAGGGGACGTCATTCATTGGAGGTGATCATGTTGTTGATGATGTTTAAGATCCGATATCCGGACAATACGTTCCTGCTCAGAGGGAACCATGAACTCAAGAACATCAACAGGTGGGTTTTTGGCTATTTCGTGGCTAAATTTGAGGGGTAATTGGGGTTTTGTTGTTAATCATGTTTAAGGTCAAAGAAGTTGATGATGACTAATTTTATTCTCAGATTTGGCTGAAACTTGAAGTATATGAAGCTAATAGCGCTATAAGGAATTGAGGAAAATTTTAGACCATTATCTACCATAAAAATTGAGTTATAATCAGTCAAAGTTCGACCCCTCACTTTTGCCTAGTGTAATATAAAAATGTGAATTTCAGGGTCTACGGGTTCCGTACTGAGCTGCGTTCTCGCTTCCGCCTTGAAGGCGACACCGTCTACGTCAAGTTCAACGAGGTCTTCTCCCACATGCCGCTGGCCGCGATCGTGGGCAAGAAGATTTTGTGCATGCATGGCGGACTTTCGCCGCTGCTGAAGACTCTGGATGACATTCGCCGCATACAGCGTGGAAAGATTACGTTGGAGAAGGACTCGATCGAACAGGACTTGCTCTGGGCCGATCCCGAATACGGAGTGAAGGGATTCGAAAGGAACGAACTGAGAGGGATCTCGTATTACTTTGGAGCGGATGTGGTGAAGGATATGTGTAGGAGGTTGGACATTGATGTGGTCATTCGAGCTCACCAGGTGAGGAGAGAAGCCTGAACGGGAGATTTCGTCTCTTCGTTGAGTTGTGGTCGAAAAAAATTACATTATAATAGATATACAGTGGGGGACCTGATCCAATAGTAAAAAATGTACCATTTTACATCCGGGAAGTATTAAAAAATGTAGCAAAATACCTCCCTCTCCAACGATTGAGCCCGAACTCTCTCCCTTTTTGTTATACGATGGAAAATTTTTTCAAATTGGGAAAAATTAGGTGAGATCAATTTGAAAGATTGTTTTGTCGTATAAAATGTCACGCCTAATTTTTCGCAGTTTTCAAAATGAGGGGTGTTCAAAAAAGGGGAGTGTTCATTCAAGAGGGAGTGTTCAAAGTGGGGAACCTGAACCAGTCGCAAAAAACGTATCATTTTACATCCGGGAAGTATCAAAAATGTGGAAAAATACCTTCCTCCCCAACTAAAAGAACTCCGTTTTGAAGGGCGCCCGCTATTTTTGAGGGAAAGGTCCCTTCAAAACGCAGTTTTTCCACTGGGAGAGGGAGGCATTTTGCCATATTTTTTGATACTTCCCGGAAGCGAAATGGTACGTTTTTTGCCACTGAATCATCTCTGTCACTGTACATCTGTTATCATTTATTTTTACATTAATTTAGGTGGTGGAATACGGATACGCCTTCTTCGCGAACCGTTCACTTGTTACCGTCTTCTCCGCCGCTCGTTATCATCCGGACACCCCCAATTATGGCGCTGTTGCTCAGGTCGGAAAGAACTTGGAGTTGAGTTTCATGCAATTGAAGCCGAAAGAAGCCAAAGAGCCGTGCACCACCACCGTCCGGAAGAAGCCTATTCGCACTATGGATGACGAAGAGGAGGATGCTCCAAAACAAGCCAAACCACAGTAAACTTTCTCCTCCCTTTTTCCTAACTGAATAAAATTTTCGATTCCTTCGAATTACCGAGTGTAACAGCTTTTATCGAGCAAACACAATCAAATTAAAAGTCTGCAAGTACGACTTTTTGAACCTCCGATCTCGGCCATGTCTCACTATCTGTGGTGATATTAAACCAATACAACACGTCCTTGCCTGCCTGCGGAAAAACGACCTTACTCGACCATACCGCGTTGACGTAAAAGGTGCGAACGTGTTCGTTGGGTTCCACATTGCACATTCTAGCACCCTAAAATTTGTGTTTTTGGTACACTAGTCCGTTCGAAAAATTGCTGGAGTGATTTTTGCGACATTCACGGTGAGAAAAGCCACAGCGCAAGAGACATCCCAAAATAGCCTATTGCACCGTGCAAAAAGTAAGATATTGCACAGTGCAAAGCGAACCTTCTTACGCACAGTGCATGTCGCGAAAAACCGCTCCAGCAACCTGATCCAGTGGCAAAAAACGCACCATTTTGCATCCAGGAAGTATCAAAAATGTGGCAAAATGCTTCCCTATTCAAGTGAAATAAAGGCGCGCCCTTCATCCTCGCAAAAAGAACGGGCGCGCTTTTGAAATCCGAGTTTTTTCACTTGGAGAGGGAGGTATTTTGCCACATTTTTGATACTTCCCTGGATGCAAAATGGTACGTTTTTTGCCACTGGATCAGGTCCGTGACTGTATCAGTCTGTCGGAAAAATAGTGAGCATTCTGGCGCATCCAGCACTGCGCAGTTTCTTGCCTTTTGCACCGTGCAATAGGCTTTTTTGGGCGGTTGCTCGCACCCTGCCTCTTTTTGCTCAGTGCATGTCGCAAAAATCACTAAAGTGACTTTGCGAACCGACGATCAGCATGTCGGGAAAATAATGTGGATTTGTCTGAGCAAAATATCTCGCCGTGTCTTCAGGCACGATAAATCGACACTACAGTGGGGGCTGATTCAGTGGCAAAAAGCGTACAACTTTGTATCCGGGAGGTATCAGAAATGTGGCAAAATGCTTCCCTCTCCAAGTGAAAAAACTTCGTTTTGAAGGGCGCTCCCTTTCCCTCACAAGCGCGCGCTTTCGAAATCGGATTTTTTTCACTTGGAGAGGGAAGCATTTCGCCACATTTTTGATACTTCCCGGATGCAAAATGGACGTTTTTTTACCACTGAACCAGGTCCCCCACTGTATTTTCCCAACAGACTGACAATTTGATATTGCTGCAGCACAGTACGCAGCAATGTACACTTATTCTGCATGAAAAACATGTCGAAAATCTGACAAGGGAAGTCGTTCAGATCGCAAATGAGTTGAGCTATGGGACCGGTATATTCTGATTCTCCATATTCGAAAACGGTAAAAGCTAAAACAATTTTTCCGTCTGGGCCCTGGTTTTCGAGAAAATCGACCGTAAAGTTTGACCGGAAAAAGCCCCGCTGAATAGTCCTCGCTCCGAAAGACCTTTGAATCAAGAGCCAAATGGCGGAGGGCGAGTGAAAGCGCTCTCAAAATTCTTTTGTCCGGGATGCCGGGGAAGGTTCGAGTCCCGCTAGGAGCAAACCCTAACTCATAATGGTTGCAAAGCAAACAAAAATTTTTTTTCCTTTCACATACTTTGGAGAAAATATTGAAATGCATGTCAAATAGGCATATTTCTGCGCTGAACTCAAAAATGAAGTGTTTATTCCTAAAAAACTATTTGATCTGAAATTCTTGGGGTACACTTCACCACAAAAAACTAAAAAATTTTTATTTTTTATCATTTTCAATATCAAAGCTCTTTGAACATGGGTTTGAGCCTAGCGGGACTCGAACCTTCCCCGGCATCACGGACAAAAGAATTTTGAGTGACTTTTCACTCGCCCTCTGCCATTTGGCTCTTGATTCAAAGGTCTTTCGGAGCGAGGACTATTTAGCGGGGTCTCCGGTCAAACTTTACGGTCGATTTTCTCGAAAACCAGGGCCCAGACGGAAAAATTGTTTTAGCTCTTACCGTTTTAGAATATGGAGAATCAGAATATACCGGTTCCATAGCTCAACTCATTTGCGATCTGAACGACTTCCCTTGTGAGTTTCACCGCTCAGTCACCTGTCACGTCAATTCCGACTGAATAAACCTACCCTCCGACAACGTGTTGGGCCTATATGGCCGGATATGGCGATGGTATGGTTGCCAGGCTTCACGTATTTATGCTCGCAACCAAACCGTGGAAAGAGTCGGTAGTATTCGGGCTGACCGTGCAGGGTGTCGAACAAGTGCTCGAAATAGGTCCTCCATGCTTTGCCTTTGGGAGTTCCGGGTAGCCAGGTTTCAAATTCGCCCTCACGAACAACACAACTCACATGTACAAAGAGCAGAAAGAAGAGGAATTTCATCTCTTTACAGGGCCGGTACGGCTACTTTTGAATAGTGATTTTTACGGCATGGGAAACGAAAAGTCAAAAAAAAAAAGGTTTTTATCAATAATTATTACTGCGAATCTAGAATGCCACGATAAGCCAGAATATCACAGTAAGCTTTTCAAAACGGAAGTTTTGTGTTCTTCGTACATATCAGTCTATCGGCAAAGTATAGTGGCGGATTGTCGTACCAAATTTCCAGCTTCGGCTAGCCCTCCGAAGCGATGATGGGCGATTGCAAGGCGCGACGACCCGCTACTATTTTCCCGACAGACTGAAATGTACGGAGAGGACAAAACTTCCATTTTGATGGGAGCTTACTGTGATATTCTAGCTTACCAAAGGCACAGCTCACAAAAATAGTCTTTGAAGAAATAAATTGGCGTGCGGAGGTCCTCCCCGTTGTTATAGGTATACTACTAGTCGTTCCAGAAAGTGCGTGCACTTTTTTCCGCCTTGTTTTGCACCGCACAGTGCAAGTTTCGTGTTCCCCGCGCGACGCGATCCTTTTCGAAACATTTTGCACTGTGCAATTTCTAAAAAATCGCGCAGGCTCCGTTGAGAAAAGCCTGCGTCGCTGCGATATTGCAATTGCACGGTGCAAAAGGTCAAATGCACCCCGCAAGAAGGCATTTTGTGCACAGTGCGGCCCACGACAAAAAGTGCACGCACTTTCTGGAACGCCTAGTAGTCCGCTCGTCAAGTCGCTGGAGTGGTTTTTGTGACATGCGCTGTGAAAAAAGTTGTTTTCGCACAGTGCATGTAACAAAAATCACTCCAGCGATTTTACTAGCGGACTAGTATACCAATAACAACGCGAAGGACTTACTGCACGCCAATCTATTTTTTCCAAAGACTATTTTTGTGAGTCTGAGTTTTGTGAAAATAAAGAAATTTTTTTTTGAAAATTTCGTTTCCCAAGCCGTAAAAATCGAGATTAACAAGTAGCTGTAACGGCCGACCCTTTAAATATTGAAATTTTTCATCACAAAAACTTTTGAATTATACATAAGTCCACTATATATGGTAATTTGACATTAAAAAAGCTTAATATTGACCCGTAATGTTTCGATTTTTAAGTTTTACAATCAATTTTGATTACAATTTTAACTGCGCCATATTGTATAAATTACAAAGATATTTCCGTTAATTAAACTTTCCACACTATAAAGAAACTAATTCTAAGTCATTCCCAAGTAATAAAGGCTGATTTTACAGTAAATTTTTTTATCGATAATCAAATTTGAAGGATCGATTAAAAGCGAACTAAAACCAGCCGTATGAAATTTCATAAATTTATATTTTACATTGTCATCGAGATTACTTTCTTCTGCTCACCGTCTCCAGGGTTCTCCACATCAAATTCAGATGCTGAGCGATCGGTTCAATATTCAGGCTGACATTCTAAAAGTAAACATTGGATAAGATGTAACTAAAGTTGCCGTTTACAAGAGAAGTACCCAATTGCGACGCTCAGATTTTCTGTAAATTTTGTACACACTTTGGGCATAGGTGCGTGCTCTAAAAATGACCGAGATTTTTAGGCCGAAAGTAGGTGAAAATTCGCCAGTTTTTGGATGTTTTGCATGTAACTTTCCATACATATTTCCACGGTAGAGAGTAATGTTTCCACAAAAAATCAATTATTTCCACGCGAAATTGACAACGATATGGCCAAATAGTGTTTTTTTCTGACCGCTCTACGCCTTCTGCGTACCCTCTCGGCGGCGAAGATCGTTGAATATATGGGCTGTGTTTTATAAATTTTGTTTTTTTCAATCCAGCCCAAAGTGGCAAATTCAGTTCAAAGTCAACCTTGGATTAAAGTCCGGCGGATCTTGTTGATAGGCTTGACTCAATTTAGCATTTTTTATGCTTGCATTGGACAAGATCCGGCGGACTTTAAGTCCGAGGTTAACTTTGAACCCAAATTACCGCTTTGAGCTGGATTGAAAATCAAAATTTGTAAATCTCCCATATATTCAACAATATTTACCGCCGAGAGATTACGCAAAAGGCGAAGAGCGGTCAGAAAAAAGCACTATTTGGCCATGTCGTTGCCAATTTCGCGTGGAAAAATAAATTTTTTTTTGGAAACATTACTCTCTACGGTAGAAATAGGTATGAAAAATTTCATGCAAAAAATCCAAAAACTGTCGTATTTTTGCCTACTTTCGGCCTAAAAATCTCGGTCGTTTCTGCAAAGCGCTAGCTAGCCTCGCTTGTCTTACAAAATTTTTTTTATAAATTTGTGCCACGGTTCATCTAAATCTGACCATCACACTTGGAGTACTATTTTACTCCCCCTATGAATGTAAATTTACCTCAGTCTCCTCCTTCTCAGCCTTTTTGAGGAGCCCAATCAACTCAAACAACATCTTCCTCTGACTTCTACATTGTTCAATCCAATCGTTCTTCGGGTCCGCCGCACGGTTTCCTTTCATATATTGGACTAGCAGGTTGGAGATCTCGTAAACCTTTCCAAGAATCGAGATCAACGCCGCAATGCCCATCTTGGTTTCGTCTTCCGCTTCATTCGGTGGATTCTTCATCAAAGTGTCGTCCATGTTGACGGAGACATCGGATGAGATGGTCTTGGTGGTATTCCTAGACAGGTACAATATATACAGTTTTTGCATAAAGTTCATGGACATTTTGTCACGATCCGCACCGTGCACAAATAAAAGAACTTACAGTTTGCCGGCACTCAACGACTCCTCCAAGAATTTCTTCTCCGTCGGCACGACGTTTTCTTTCTCCAATCTAAACACTGAACAATTCAAACAAAATTTACATACGGTTTTCCTTTGTTGAGAGCCATATAACACTTGTCCGCTTGTTCCATTTCTACCTCTAGTTGTTGTAATTCCGCCTCCTTCTGCTCTTTGTATTGCTCGAAATGGCCAAGAATGGCTTCTCTTTCGGTCCTCTCGAATTCCAAGGCGTGTTCAAGTTCATTCCTCTCGTTCTAAATCAGAATGAACTTATTCATCATGTACAATATACATTTCTCACTATTCATCAAGCATAATATAAATTGTCTCACATTGAGTTTGTCGATTCGCTCTTTCAGCGCCTGAGTTTCAAGCGAATGCTTCTGTTCATTGCTCTCAATCACATCTTGCAAACGCAGAATCTCCAGCCGATTTCCTTCGAGGATCTGTTTCTAAAAGCCAAAAATACAACAAAAATATTGGCCTTACCTCAGCGCCAGTTCCCTCAGACTCCAAAGAACTCAGCCTATCCAGCAACTCCTGATTTTTCCGAAGCAATTCCTCATTCTCCCCCTCCAGTTCAACGTTTCTTCTCTTCAATTCTTCAGCTTCCTTGGAGACCTCGGCCTTTTCGACGAGCTCGGCGCTGTTCGCACCTCGGAAGGAATCAATAATATCATAAATAACTTGTTTGATCTCGCTCAAGGTATCCACGGCATTTCCCTGACTGTCACCGACATCCGTACATTCTTCGAAGGCCAATGCAAACTTCTCGACCGCGAACAAGGTGTTGATGAGGTTGTGACTTTGTGTGGGGAACTCCTCCAACGAGCACTCCTTACCTAAAACAATATAAAAACAAAGGATGGAGTGGACTTACCGGAAAATACAAGATCAGCCGACATCTTCAAGTCAGAATTCGGGAACCGAAGATTTTTTGGAAAAAATCTTTTTTTTGCTGTTCAAATAACATTTTGGCGCTAAAAAAGTTTTCGCTGCGGGACGCCTGAGGAAAAAGATAAATTTTGACCAAATGAAAGGTGTGATATACCATTGGAGAGCCGTTAAAATTCTAAGCCTTTTGGAGTCGGGTTTACCACACCAATCTTTAACCTTTCCCGAGATACCACCGATTTTCGACATTTTTTTTTGCTTTCTTGAATTTCATCATTAAGATGACGGAATTTCTGGATATGGCTCCGATATTCATTATCAAGAAAAAACAGACTCTGAGGATTCAGTAGAAAAAGAAATCTTGACATTTGGCCTAAAACTATAAAAGTTATAGCCGATTCAAGTAGGGCTACAAAAATGTTGCATCCTGCATGTTTTTACGCTGATTACGTCACCACAAAGTCCATGAAAATTTGAGTTTTCTGACCTCCAAACTGTGTTGGCAACAAACTTTGTCGCAGTCAACCCTCAAAATTATACGTTCTCCGTCAAATTCGCACGTCCCTTTCGAATCATTTGATCTCGAACCTCCATTATCTCATTAGCTAATGGAGTTACAGTCCATTCGCTGTAACAAGCGGTTGGTTTGAGGGTATAAAAGTGTTGTTTCAACCCCCTTCCCGTCTTCGGAAATGCACGGCCGAATAAATACGGTAGTCTTTGATTTGGGAGGGGTCCTCCTCCCGGCTCCATTCTCTTTCTGGTCCGGTAAGAGAATCAAAAAAGAAGGAGTTTTGTTTAGATCTGGAGAAGAAATGGGGTCTGAAGAGCGGATCCGTTGGGAAGACGCTGTTGTCGCCTCAGGTCAAGCCAAGATTCGATGAATTGGAGAGGGGAGAGCTGACCTTGGAGGACTTCAAACCTCTGTATACTTACTTTTACAACAAACAAGTAAGTAATTGGAGGTATAGTAATAGGGGGAGTACCCCAAACGCTCAGATTATGATGAAACTTGGCGCAACTTTAGAATAATTTTTTCTCAGGCATATGACAGCTTCCTAGCTTGCGCTTTGCGAAAATGACCATGATTTTTAGATCGAAAATTGGCAAAAATGTGACACTTTTTTGCCAATTTTGATATCAAAACTTTCATGCCAATTTCTACTGCAGAGTATAATGTTTCCACAAAAAATTATTCTTTTCCGCACGAAACCGGCAAGGATACGGCCAAAAAGTTTTCTTCTCTCTGACCGCTCTCCGCCTTTCGCGTACTCTCTCCTCCGCAAAGACTGTTCAATATCTCGGCGGCGGCTGCAGATTACGAGCTAAAATTTTTCGGAAATGATAAGTTGCCTATTTCTGATAGTGTGCAAAATTCACGAAAAAATCTTTGCGTCGCTCTTTGCGTACTTCCTTTGTAAAATATGTAAATATTATGATTTGTTCAGAATGGGACCAATCTTGCTTCCTTACCCTGTCTGGATTGGAATGCCCCTGTGTTTGATACGGAATGGGTGCCCATTCTGGAATTCCTGAGAGCTCAAGGCTACAAAGTTTACTTGCTCTCCAATAACTGGTATTATGATCGGGCCAGAAGCGCCCCGACTCTGCCAATCAACACTACTCTGTTTGATGGGGTATTTGAGTCTTGCCGATTACAAATGAGAAAGCCGGAGCCGAGAATATTCAAGAGTGTTATGAAAACGCTGAACCTGCAACCGGATCAGATCTTATTCATCGATGACTTGGGAGAGAACCTCAAGTCCGCAAGAGCACTCGGTTGGAACACGATCAAAGTAGGTGACTTAAATTAATGTAATACAAATTTTAGTGCGTAAACAGACCGAGTACGATCATGGAGATCGAGAGACATCTCGGAATCAGCCTTAAGAATCATATTTCGGGCGCCGTTGATGAGGAACGCAGTAAGGAATTAAACAAATATTAAAAAGTATGTTGTAGATGCCCAACTGGATAGTCGAGCATTGCTATCGTACCTTCAACGCAAATACAAATCACAATCAACCAGTTTGACTGTTAAGCGATTTGTTCATGGTCAATCCAATCCAACTTTTTATATCAAATTTGATGACAAAGAATTTGTCCTGAGGAAGAAGCCGGTAAGCGGAAAGGCTGAAGATCAAAAACAAAATTCTGTTTTAGTCCGGTGTCTTATTGCCATCGGCTCATCTCATTGACCGCGAATTCAAAGTCCAAAAAGCCCTAAAAGGTCAAATCCCGGTGCCGGAAGTGATTGATTATGTTGAAGGGTAAGTGAACACAGCAAAATTCAAGTGCTCTCAGTGTTCTGGACACTCCATTCTACTTGATGAGCTATGTTCAAGGGCGCATCTTCACTGATTATGAACTTAAAAACATCCCCAAAGACCAGAGGAAACTTTATTGGATGGAGTTGGTGAGAGTTTTGGCCAGAATCCACGGAGTTAACTATAACGCGTCTGGCCTGCAAGGCTTTGGGAAACATAGCGATTACCTTGAAAGAAATCTCAAGAGATGGTATCATAACTACCAAGCAACAAAGACCATGGAATTGAATATAGTGGATCAGCTATATGAGATGTTGATTCGGAAGATCCCCAAAGATACGATGGTTACGCTGATCCATGGGGATTTCAGATTGGATAATGTCATCTTCCATCCAACCGAGCCCCGAATTATCGCTGTTATTGACTGGGAAAACTCGACCATTGGCGATCCGATGACGGATCTGGGGACGGTTCTTATCAATTACTATCACGATGAGAAGAGCGTCTTCCCTTCCGTTAAACCCATATCTACACTGAAAGACAGAGGTCTTCTGGAGGACAAAGAGCTGTTCCAGGTGTATCGACAAGAGCTGGCACTCTCTTCGCAACGCACTCCCAAATGGATGGAGCTGGGCGTGAAGAGCGACGAGTGGAACTTCTACATCTCGTTCCTTCTCTTCAGATTGGCTGCTGTGTGTCAAGGAGTGTATAAAAGACATCTCATTGGGCAGAACACGGCTCCCAATGCTCAACATTTCGGCCATTTGTCAAAGAAACTGTTCGAGCAAGGCTATGTTGTCCTCAGGCAAACTAGTTTTGGCCAATTTCCCATAGTCCCATCAGCAATGTCCAAAAGAGGACAATGGTTTTACGAGAATGTCAAGGAGTTCATGGAGACTGTAAGTATTTGCAAAGGGTTTCATCAGGGATTTTCAGGAGATTCTTCCACGAGAACAAGAGTTTATTCAATGGTTTAACAGCGATAAATGCTTTACAATAATGCCACTGGTTGAGCAACTCAAGGCCAAGGCGAGAGCCAAGGGTCTTTGGAATCTGTTCATCCCGCCTTACATTGACCCTAAAGGCGAATTCGGCCAAGGTCTGACGAATGTCGAGTACGGGCACATCGCCGAGTTGATGGGAAGGTGCATGTACTCACCGGAGATTTTCAACTGCAGTCCGCCTGACACCGCGAATATGGAGGTAAGCGCTTAGTACAATGGTATTGACGTCTCTCAGGTGTTGGTGAAATACGCAACTCGGGATCAGCAGAACAAATGGTTGAAGCCGTTGCTGGATGGAGAGATCCGGTCCTGTTTTTCGATGACGGAAAAGGATGTCGCCTCGTCTGACGCTCTGAACATCCAAGCTCCGATCTACCGAGATGGGAAGGGAAACTTTGTGATCAACGCGAAGAAGTTCTTCACTTCCCATGCATCCCATCCGAACTGTAAAATTTGCATATTTATGGGGAAAATTGAGGGATGGCAAAAGAGGAATGTGCATGAGAGACAAAGCGCTGTTTTGATCCCGATGGACACGCCTGGAGTCAAAGTGGTACGACCGCTCACAATATTGGGATCGTATGATGCACCGGGTAATACAGATTGTAATTCTTAATCATCTAGTTTAGGTGGCCATTGTGAGATTTTGTTCGAGAATGTCGTCGTGCCCGAAAGTAATCTTTTGTTGGGAGAAGGTCGCGGATTCGAGATAGCCCAAGGCAGATTGGGGCCTGGCCGGATTCACCACTGTATGCGGTTGATTGGCCACTCGATGAGAGCCATTGAACTCCTCAAGGAAAGGGCGCTTTCTGATCGCACGGTGCAAGATCACAAGTTGATGGATTTCCAGACGGTTCGAATGGACTTGGCCCATTCTCTAATCGAGGTGGAACAGGCCAGACTACTCGTCCTCAAAACGGCGCACATCATAGATACGGTGGGAGCGAAACTGGCATTGAAGGAGATCGCCATGATCAAAGTTTTGGTTCCTCAAGTGGCCTACAAGATCATCGACCGCGTCATTCAGATCTATGGGGCTGCCGGTCTCACGCATGACTATCCTCTGGCCGGACTATTCAGTCGAACTCGGAGTTTAATGATCGCCGATGGCCCGGATATTGTGCACTTGGAGACGGTTGTAAAGAGCGAGATATCAAAAATTTAGATTTAACGTTATTTAATGTGTTGAATTTTAATTACCGTATCAGAAATATTTTACATTAACACATTGCCGGAAAAAATCGTATAAATACTTTATTTTATAGAATTTTATGCGTATAAATACTTCATTTTATATAATTCACCGCAAGTTTTTATAAAATACAGTCATATTAAGGCAACAAACATTACGGAGGAGCACAGTAGAATAACGGTAACTCCGTGGGGCTTTTCCGTTGACATCTCGGGCATTTCACGAAGTGTCCGCTATGTCGGACCAGGTCGTCCGTGCAACCTTTACAGCTGACAATTTTCAGGCATTGTATGCAGTAGACGGGATTCTGGGCCTTTTCTTCGAGACAGATCGCGCACATGTCGTTTTCAAAGTGCAGAATCTGCGCATATTCCAATATTTTGTTGACTTCACTGAAAAAATGAAATGTAAAGGTGTGAACGAGATATAAAGAACATGTTATTTCCTCACACGGAACTGGACACGAATGAATAAACTCACAATTGAATCATTTTTAAGATCAACGACCTTAATTCTGGTAGTTGATCGACCATGTCATCGGGATATAGGATTGTCCATGTCTTGTGTAGCGTCCCATTGAGTTCCTGAATTTCAACGACTGTTTCATCATGACGTTTCCTATCAAAATCAGTGGGCTCCAAAACTTCTTTTTCCAGCTTTTCAATAGCCTTCTCGATCGCTGGAGTAGACGCGTTGAAGGCCATTTTCACAAATTGAAAATCTTCGGTACGGTGGGTTACAATAAACGTTGAATGATTTGAAACAGCTTTCCTTTGCTTTATAGTTGCATTTTTTCTGTCATAATCTTAATTTCCGCGGCAGAATTTTTCTGTGTTTGGCTTTTTTTCATTGGAATTTTCTGCTATTGGTCAACGCAGAAAAATTAATCGGCATTAGCTTTTTTAACTGCGTCGCCGCGAATTTTGCAAGCGCGATACACAATTGCCGTCTACATAATTTTGAAAAAACGTAGTACATTTGTATCCTCTCCTCTATTTTAGAAACGTGTAAAATTTTCTATTTTGAACGCAATATTCTCAAAAGTTTAATAAAACTAATACATAAAAAATCAATATAACAACTTTAATCGTCCCGTCCCTAAAACCGCTCTACTATATTGCATAAATTACAAAGTCATATACCACCGTGGTTGAATTGAAATTTTTCATGCTATAAAAAGTCGCGTCAAACACAGCTTCCTCAATCCACAGTAATGTTCATTCCCGTTTTGCTATTGTTCTTGGTTGTCTGCGCTTCGGCTTTCGTCGAGCAGTGGGATCCCAGGACAAGAATGTCGCAGGAATGGCGCAAGCAGGCAGAGCGCGACTTCAACCTGGGAAACCTGCATACCGAGCCTTATTTGTACAAGTTCATTTGGTTCGAGATCCACCATGGAACGGCGGGGAACAACAGGAGCATTTCACATACCATTAGGATGAACGGCAAACTGGGACCCGTCAATTGTCGGAGGGTAAGTATCGTGGTAGAGTTAGAAATGACTCTCGCTTGTTTAAATTTTTTTCGGCCGGCCCAGTTAGGCCCGCTAGGGAATTTTAGTATTACAAAAATTTGTTTGACTAGACAATACAACAAGAAATCTTAAGGACAACATGAAGTGCAGTTCTCCCATAAACACGGTATCGAAGCTTATGAATTTGGGCATCGAATACGAAAGCACTACGCTGAACGCAGTTAATGGACAGGTTCACTTGCGTTCCTACTCGGTCTGGAAGGACATGAACACTTGGTGAATCAAAGCCCTAATATTTCTCATTATACAAAAAAAGTTAATTAATAAAATTTTTTGGGAACTCGCAGTCTAGACTATCATATCTTTATTACCTAAAACACGCATAATTTCCAAATTCAATCTACTTTTCTTCCTTTTCCAGACGGATCAGTTCCTTGACGCCATCGTACATTTGTTTGACGGCTTCGACCTCCGACAGTCCTAGTCTGGCCTTGTTGGAAATGTCGTAGATTCCGCCTTCGGATTCCGAATGTTCTCCATGGATTCCTCGGACTTGAAGATTCAGCTTTTCGCAAATCTCTTTGAAATCTTTCTTGGCGCTCAGCTTGGGGAGTTTGATGTGGACGGAGGCGCGGACTGTGGAGCCGAGATTGGTGGGGCAGAAGGTGAGCCATCCGAGACGGTCGTCGCGGGCGAATGGAACGTGCTTTTCAATGGACTGGAACACAAAAAATAAGAAATTTCAGTCATACTATTTCATTGAAATTTTGCCAACAAAAAGTTTCCTAGAAGATCAAAAAAACTTTTTTAGGTACCCATCGAAAAGTTACCCTTGGTGTACCTACTTTGAAAACTTGACAAAAAAAATTCTTTTGGGTTAAATTCAAGCTAAGTTCGTCAAAAATATTTGTGGCACCTTTAGCCTTCTTTTACAGCCCATTATCCACCATTATGAACAAAAAATTATATTCACCTTGATTCCTCTGATCAGTCGATCCAACACATTTCCGACATCACTCCCGTTCTCCATTGAGATGATTCTCATGTGGTCCTCTTCGTTGACCCAGATCAAGAAGTTCTTGGCGTTGTTGTGGAAAATTCCTCTTCCCTAGAATAATAGTTATATTACTCATCGAGCATCACCTAAATTCAGCAAAAATAATATCCAAATCTCTTACTTTTGGCCAATATTTGCAAGCATTGGCATGCTGAAGATGTCTATCGCCTTCCTTGAACAAAAAGTGATCGGCAATCAGTTGGTTTTGGGTCGCCTTGCTCATTCCTTCCAATGGATAATACGTCCCCTTGAGGTCCTCGTCCTTCACCTTTCCCAAAGCGGTCTTCACCTTCTGTTGCATGATCAAATAGTCATCCGAAGTGAGCAATGGGTTAAAAGGATATCCCTTCAAACTTCGACCACATCGAATTCTGCAAGAATGATATTATTTTAGCCATCAAAAAGAAGAATAACATAAATTTCTCCCAGAAATCACTGAATGATGTGCCTAAAAACCAAAGAAACAAGAGAAATCAATTACCTTGTGGATTTGATATATTTTCCTTCAGGATCAAGTGGCGGAAACTCTTTTACTCGACCTTCTCCCAAATCGACTGGTGGCTGTTTTTCCGACGGTCCAAAGCCATGATAGTCCTCAATGATCTTGTCGAACAACGGTGCAAATGTTCTGTAACTCTCAGAGTCCGGCGCATAAACTCCAACTCCAGCGTCCAAATTGTAGACTCCAGATCGAATCACATCGTATAAAGTTGCTCCCAGTTGAGTTTTCTTGTATTTGAGCTTGTCAACAATGTCTTTGGTAAGGTGTTTTTTGAGCAATGACTTCGAATCGGATTCTTCCAGCTTCTGGAAAGCCTCTTCGATCTTCTTCACACCAAAAGCATCATTTTCATCCCTTTGTTGATTGATCATGTGAATTTCGCGGGTCTGAAAAGTTATTTATAGTCTAGAAAGCAAGTACGGTTGTCAGACAGTCCATTCCTCCTTATACTAGTTCAAAATCTCCCATATTTATACACCATACATACAAATTTCAAAAAACCCATATGATCACCAGGGATAATATAATTTTGATTAAAAATGACCATGGACGAATGTTTTATGCCTCAAAATCGTTTTTAAAACAACAAACACACCTCTATCTTCCTAATCGCACTAATTTTACCTAAAAACAAAAGTAAAAACAACAAAAAATTAAACTTACAAAGTTATAGCCATAAACCGCTCCTCCGCCCCCAAGAATTGCTAGTATGCCACCGGCTACACCCTTAGCCAACGACATCTTGGTCGGCAATCGTATTCGAGATCTTGTACGAGCTCGAAAAGACAAACCCGATCGGGAAAAATAAGAAAAGACCTTTATTTTCTGGTGGCAGTTCGCGCCCGAGGATTTGCACACTGCGAAATATGAGATACGGAAAATCCGCGGAAATCGGAAAATAGACAAGATGTAAAGGTAATCGAGAGGTTGGAATAGGCTTCAGCTGACCCAATACATTCTTATATCACTGATTTTTATGTAAAAATCGGTTTTTTGGCGGAAATTTTGGGGCTTTTTATCTTTTGTCTACTACAATAATATTATACAATAATATATTATAAAGGTGTCGTAAATTCTCTGTTTCGGTACTTTTCATACGCCGATTAGCATGTGTATTATTTATAAAACGATGTAATAAGCTGATTTTCCTCGTTTTTTTGATTTGTTTATACGAATTTTCCATCATCTTCCACATCCGAAATGAAACAAGTGTTTACAAAATTTTCCCTACTAAAACTGATTTTATGATTTTACGAAATGTCTAAACTTGAAGCCTCTAGGGCTGTGCTCTTCACCAGGGTAATAATCTTCGCGCAATTCGTCAATTTCCTACTGATTTTGGGGGTCTACATCAATGCCTACAACAATTTGCAGGTAAATCCGAAAAATTTCGAAAAAAACTACAGTGCGCGACAAAATTATAACCGCACTTTAGAAATTGCTGTAACTTTTTTGGTTGTCAATAGAAATGTGTCATATTTGGCTCCAATATGCGCTAGTGTCTCACGAATCATGTGCCAAAAAATTATTTCGGGAAATTTCCCCAATTTGGAAAAAAATTTGAAAAAACCCAAAATTTTGATGATTTTATATGCGACAAAATTATAACCGCACTTACGAATTTGGTGAATTAGCCTAATTAAATCAATGAATAACAATAACTAATGTTTAGTTACGTTGCCTGAGGCTTCAATAACGTCGACTGAATAGCCGGGAATATTCTGGGCAAAGTTTTTTTAGCCTCTTCTGGCCAATATTGTGCCAGAATCGGAAAAGTGCCTATTTTAGCTCAGGTAGGCCATTCGGACAGAGTTTGCCAGCAACTAACTGAGTAACTCAGAAGCCTATAACACATCTAAACGTTCTGGGAAAAAAGTTGCGCCACTGCAGCAGAGCAAGGGCTGATATATCCGCCGAGTTTCCAACTCCAATATCCCTTGGGCTCATATAAGCTAAGAAATAGGCCTCAATTGTAGCAGTAAAGCTACGCTGGAGGTTGTAAGACACAGCTACGTCATCACTGAGCGTCGTATGAAGTTGTGGCCTCAGCTGGCCGGGTCCACGGCAGAGCGCGGCCGAGATTTGCCAAGGTGACATTGGCAAAACCTTGAAGATTTTATGGCCAAATGATGTACCTGACGGCTTCACACATGGCCCACATTACAGACGTATAATCAGAAGAGAAACGCATTATTTCCCGCGCCGTAACGTTTTAGGTGGCTTGCTGATAATCTTTCGGCGCATTCGAAGTAATGCGCCTCAAATAAGTATCCTTGAGTACTAGGGAGTCTTAGGCAAGCATCGGGTAACGTATTGGCAACCAGACTACACGTAAATGCAGGGCAGGGCTCGCGTATACCTAAGCTGGTCGACAAAGCTGTTTATTAAACGACAAGGAATCGCTATCCCGGACGAGCCCATGCGTTCCTTGGATTCAAATCCGACAGAGAACATGTGGGGCTTCCTGGTTTGTTAACTACACCGCGACAACAAGCATTATGCTACAGTAACTGAGCTAAAATAGGCACTTTTCCGATTCTGGCACAATATTGGCCAGAAGAGGCTAAAAAAACTTTGATCAGAATATTCCCGGCTATTCAATCGACGTTATTGAAGCCTCAGGCAACGTAACTAAACATTAGTTATTGTTATTCATTGATTTAATTAGGCTAATTCACCAAATTCGTAAATGCGGTTATAATTTTGTCGCACAGAAAATCATCAAAATTTTGGTTTTTTCAATTTTTTTCCAAATTGGGGAAATTTCCCGAAATAATTTTCTGGCACATGATTCGTGAGACACTAGTGCATATTGGAGCCAAATATGGCACATTTCTATTGACAACCAAAAAAGTTACAGCAATTCCTAATGTGCGGTTATAATTTTGTCGCGCACTGTATTTTCTAGTCCGTCAAATGCGGTAGAACTGAGGATGTTCGTAGTAAACGAGCTAGTGGTTATGTTGATGACGCGAAACCGGTGGATTCGTTGAATGAATGGGCGATTTTAATCGGAGAACAGACCATAATCCCGAAGCATGTCTTCGAATTGTCTTGTGGACGAGTTCATCGCTATTGCAGCGACAAATCAATGAAGCTACAAGGCTTTAGAGGTCCTCCGGGGCCTACAGGAGCTAAAGGTCCCATAGGGCCTCCGGGCAGACGTGGGCCAACCGGCTCAATTGGGCCCTTAGGGCTTGTGGGAGATGCTGGCGAAGTGGGACCTCCCGGACGTGATGGCCGCTGTAATTGCACTTTCCCTGAGCTCTATGTCCAACGAATCGCGGTCCCAGGTCCACCAATCATCCAGATCCAAGAGAAAATCGTGCCAGTTCCGGTCGTAGTGGTTAATGAAGTGGAAGTTACAAAATTAGTCCCATTCGAACCAACTCCCCCCGGATTCGGCCCTCCGGACGACTGGGAGCCCGGCATGCCAATGCCTGACAAATCCCAAACCAAATGGCTGCCGCGCCCCACAACTCATTCACCTTATGGCCAAACCAGAAAGAAGCTAATTGGCCCGGGAAGGAAACGGCCACGGCCAACCAAATATCCACCAGCTCCAACGGTCGATGAAGGTAGATTGGGGGTTTTTGGAGGGTAATGGAGTGAGTTTTAGGAATCAAATTGTTGAATGAGTCGGTATCGATGAATGAGACCATTTTTAATGAGACTTCAACAGAGCCAACGCCCGAAACTTACACGGGTTTGCCGACACTGGGCTATAATCGAAGAGGTAAGAGGAGGCTGCTTGACACAGTGTAATGCTTAGCAAAAAATCTGATTTCTATGTCTTTAGGAGTTCTTTAAGGAAGCCACATTATATATATTTATATATATATAGTTCTCCTAAGAGAGGTACCTATGATTTTTAGGGCATCTTTTGTCGGAAGGATTGAGATTTTCAGGCTGAAAAATGCTGATATATTCACAAGGGAAGTACCTCAAGTATATACTACTCTCAGATTTTAATCCAGAGTGGCACAAATTGAGACATATTTTTTTCTAAGAAGTTTACGAGAGTCCTAGCCCGCGCTTTGCAGAAATGACCGAGATTTTTAGATCAAAAGTTGGAAAAAATGTGACAATTTTTTTTGCGAATTTTAACACGAAAATTTTCGTTTTTATTTCTACCGTAGAGGACAATGTTTCCACAAAAAATCAATTTTTTCCTCTCGAAACTGGCAAAGATATGGCGAAAAACATTTTTTTTCTCTTCCCGTCTCTCCTCGTTTCCCGTAATCATCGTTAAAAGTTCAATTTAAAAACTCGGCTTTTCTGTTGTCTTATAAATCCTATTCTTCACTATTCTTCCTAGAATGCCGTCTAAACGCCGTTGGCATTCCCGTTCTTCACGCTGAAAGCCAATATGGGAAGGTGGGGAGTTGGCATCGAGATGTGAACCCAATCTCTCCCGGAATGGACAGAAAACGATGGGTGACGGACGATTTTGCCTCGCCGGTCCTTTATGAATACGTAACGGAGGAGGAATTGATGAATAAAAAGCAGAAAATCAAGTGAGAAATTTTCGGAAAAGTCATCATTTTTTCAAAAAAAAAAAATCGTAAATTTTGATGTATAATGTCCTGTTGTATTATAGATATTATGTGGATTACATGGCGGCGGGCACTGGGAACATGATCTACAATGGCTCCTACTACTATCATCGTCATGGATCGGACTTTCTGGTCCGTTACAATCTCGAGAATGCGGAGCAAATGCAAAGTCGGGAGTTGGGGGAGATTGCGGCCAAGGATTGTGGGAGAAAAGTTGATCATACGTTTGAAGTAAGGCGTTTACTACTCTTTTAAGAGTCTCTTAAAGATAATTACTTATTTTAAAGCCTTTTAATTTTGATAATAGACTCTCCTGGGACAAAGATAGATGTTGTTTTAGCTCTGCAATGAGACAGATCGCGATTTCTGGCTCTACGATCGCCCTCACAACTATATCGACTACGCTGCGGACGAAAATGGCCTGTGGGTGTTGTACATGCGTCCAGACAATGCTCATTTAATGGTCAGCAAAATTGAGCCGGTAAGAAAATTGATCGTATTTTACAAGTTTTTTTTTGGGTTACTGTAGGTCTTCAACTTTACAAGAGCTCCTTGAGATTTTTGTTTTGTCTGAGCCATTGCTTTACAAGATTGAGATTTTTGTTCTGTCTGGGTCATTGTTCTCTGAAAATTTTTGTTTCCACTTAACAAACACAGCCAAGATATTGAGCGACCTTTAAAGACGAGAGAGTACGCGAAATGCGGAGAGCGGTCAGAGATAAAAAACTGTTTTTCAATACAAATTTGCTAATTTCGCGCGAAAAAAGTGACTTTTTGTGGAACTTTTGATGGTAGAAGTAGGCAAAAATTTTCACGCTAAAATTCGAAAAAAAATATTATATCAGATTTTTTTCTGTTAACAACGTCAAAGACAATTGAAGATCGTAAAATAATTTTTAGTCCACATGTGGAATGTCACAGTAATTTTTTCTAGCCGTTTTTGAGACAGCAAACAAAGGTTTTTTTGGACGTTTCGTTTTCCAAGCCGTGAAGATTGCAATTCATAAGTGGCTGTATTTTTTTATAACTTTCCGTATTTTACATCTATGTTTTATAATAATTTGCAAGTGCTTTCCGAAAGTCCTTTCCGCAAATACCCAATTTTTAGGACTTTTACGTTGTCCAAACCTGGGAGCTCGATGTGAACGGCACCGAGCTGGCTGACGCATTTGTCATGTGCGGAGTTCTTTATGGCCTTGAGAGCGCTGAAGATCGCGATACCTTCATTTCATACGCTTTCGATTTGTATAAGTAAGCGGCATCTTTTCTTTCCAAAAATTTGCTTGTTTAGCAACCAAACTCTTGACGTGGACATCCCTTGGTACAATCCTTACCGAGGCCTCACCATGTTGCACTACAACCCCGTGGATGGCCGGCTGTATTTCTTCGATTCGGGGAAATTGTTGAGCGTTAATGTGAGGATTGAAGCGCCGGAATACGATGATGAAGAGGAAGTTGGTGATAATGCGAATTAAATTGGTTATAATTATATGTAAATTGTTTTAAAATAGCATTCTTTGCTTACATTGTTTAAAAATTTGATGTACTTTGATGAGCTGTTGACAAAGGCTCCTTTCAAAACAGATAGGTGGACCGTCAATACAAGGGACTCCCCTGCAACGATTCATGTCTACAACAAACAATTTCAAAAGCTCCGATCAGCCTGTCGGGAAAATAATGAGCACAATGTGGCTGCTCCAATTGCGTCGCTAAAATGAAAAGCAATTTTATAATATTTTGTCGCGACACGATTCATCACGGCGATGCGATTTTCAATGCGACAGAGTGTTCATTATTTTCCCGACAGACTGATATAATAGAATTATAATAGAATCAATTCCGGACTTAACTGAACCCTTGTGCAACGAAGCCTTTGTATAACGAATAATTTTTCTTGGTCTCTTACAATTTGTCGCGCAAAACTGTGGTTGTCATTTCCAAAAATTGTGGCTAACGCTTGCAGTAGTGCGAAGATATCAGTCTGTCGTTAAAATAATGTGGATTCATCCCGCCTTGGAATTGCCCACCATTGCTTTACGACGGCTGGAGATTTGGTGCGTGACTGTGACGAGGCAAGAATTTGCGCTGCGGGAAACCCAAATTATTTTCCCGACAAACTGATATATCAGGTAAGCCTTTTGGTTTTTTTTGCAATCGTGGTATATAGGTTCACTGATATTTTCCCCCGATTTGGGCTAATTCCCAATTATGTAACTTGACCGGTCGTCTGGCGAAACCACTTGAAACGCCGTTGACTCCTCGTTTTATCGCTCTTGCAACATATGGAAGCTTTTCGCAAACAATAAATCGAAAAACCCAATATTTTTTAAAAAAAATGAAGATTCCAAAAAAGATGACAAAACATATTTTATTTACAAAAGCAAATTTTTACTCGGTTGTGGCTTTGCGCCACTTGTCGAAGGTGGCCTGAGGGGGTTTGGAGTAGATATCGTTGAGGGCGTCGCCGACCAGCGGGGTTCCGCCGCGCTGCACCACAATCAACGAGGGGATGGCTTTGAGTTGGTAGCGTTGGAGGAGGGAGCTGAAAATGTGGATTAATGGAATTTATAGCGAGAAAGCGGTAGGAGAACTCAAACAAATGGGCTTATAATAAACTCCGATGGGTAAAATACGATAATCTTCGTGTATTGTGACTTACATCGCTCTCGGATCTCCATACTTGATGAAAAGCCATTTGGGATGGGATTTGAGGAACTGTTTCATCTCGTCCTCACTGTTGTCATGGGAAATGTAGACCACCTGGAAATAGAGTTGCGGTGATTTTTTGGGCTAAAAATCATGTCAAAGACAAGCTGCGTTGGGATGTAGCCTGACTACGTCGCTACGCGACTCGTCAGCCTACATTCCCAACGCGGGTGTGCGCGCAAAGCGCCACCTAATTAGCCTAAGCCTAAGCAGCCTAAGCGGCTAAGCAAACTAAGCCTAAGCGCCTAAGCGGCTAAGCAGCCTAAGCAAACTAAGCCTGAGCTAAGCCTACGCAGCCTAAGCGGCTAAGCAAACTAAGCCTATGCGCTAAGCACCGCGCAGTGCACCTTATCAACTCACAGTGCATCTTTTCACCGCACAGTGCACTCGCGAAAACCCGGAGAAAATAAAAAAATTTCGAACCCGCGCGAACCCAACCGATATCGCCCTCGGAAAAATACTGGGACCCGAAATCGACGAGAAAGCTAAAGAAATTTTTGCTCTCTCACGAAAATGGAAAATCAACTTTTGCCACGCCCCTTTTTCCACGTTGCGACACGGTTTGCACAGTGCAATCTTGCCAAACGAAGCCTTTCCCAATTTGCACCGTGCGAAATTTGTTGGCGGAGTGTCGCAAAAGATTTTGCAGACACTCCCCTTCGAAACCTGAAATTTGGAAAAATTTGCACGGTGCAATCAACAAAAAAGCCTACGTTCGTAGGCTTTTTTTCATTTTGCACAGTGCGAAAAACACCCTCCAAACGTTTTTCCCAGGCCCCCTTTTGATTTTCCCACTTTCCCCCCAGACGCACCGTGCACTCTGCATTTTACCCAATGAGCTAGGCTTTTTCTCAATTTGCACAGTGCGAATCCCAATTTTGGCTTTGTCGCTGCGCGAATTTTGGCTTTGTCGCTGCGCGACAAAGCAAAAATCCGCACAGTGCACCCTTTCGAAAGTGTTTTTGCACAGTGCGGAGCCCCCGCGCTCGGTCCCTTTTTGATTCCGAGAGAGCCACCCATGGCGCAGTGGGTAGCGCGGAAGTCTGGCAATCTGAAGTCCCCGGAGGTTCAATCCCCCGGAAAAAAATTCTACCACGTTGTAGTACAATTAGAGGGCCGTCATATTTTGGGTTTTTTACCCAAAAGTTTTGACTTTTTCGGGGTGAAATAATTAATGGAAAATTTGGCCAGAATTAAATTCGGCCAGACCGTATTTTAGAAAAATATGCAGATTTTTACACTTATCCTGATCGAGTTTTCAATTTCCGAACGATTGAGCCAGGTCCCGTCTTCGTATCTCTACTCGTTCAAAAGTTACGGTACTTTTTATGTTTACGATGTTACAGTAACCCGGTTTCAAGAAATGGCGGAAACGCGTCGACTAATGTTTTGAAGAGCTATTTAAACACAGTAGAATGATTTTTGAGGCGGGTGGATACGATCAAAATTGACCGAGATACTGTAACTTTAAGCCAGACACCTTGTTACAGTAATCCCTCGTGTAGCGACAGACCTGGAACCGTGAAATACACCTTGAAAGACGTGTAATGACGAGTACTACCAGTGCTGTGAATTTTGTCCGGCGCGATCGCGTCAACGCTGAGAAAATGGCGAAAAAGCGCCTTACGGCGCAGAAGCTACCGTAACCCACAGTAAGCCGAAAAAAATCGGCGAGATAGGAGGACTATGATACCACTTCTGATGGTGATTTTTCACGTAGATTCAGAATCTGGCATCAGAATTTGGAATTTCCTTCATCTACACCTGTAGCCTAAGGGTTGAAAAAATTGAAAATGTTATAGTAACCGTAGTTTTGAATTTACATGAAAGAATCCAATTAGAAAGTTTGAAAGGAATAGAAAACACGTCCGATAAAGAAAGAATGGAACTCGGCGCTCGCTTCGCTCGCGAGATGTTTTTGAGTATGTCACAAAATCACTTCGCGAATTGTTTAGAACCGGGGACTGTAACCCGCCGTCCGAAAACCACTTCAGGCGCTTCCAAAAAACGCTCCGCAACTTTCCATGGCAGCGATTTTTGATTAAGGTCCTAGTTCCCGAGATACGAAAATCGGATTTTGGATTTGAAATCCGGATATAACCGATATGCAAATTTTTGTTCAAAAAGCATGTCAGATTTGGAGTCAGCGTGAAAAATGACCCACAGTGCATGAAGGAAACGTGTGGATAGCTGGCCGTTTTCATGTCGAATCGTTTTTGACTTTTTGGAACCTTCCAGTCCCGAGAGCCGCCCGCGATGGGGACGCGACCGCGTTATGTAGAAATTTCTGAAAATCTATTTGAAGTGTTTTGCAAGAGATCTATCGGAACGGGACCTGGCTAACTATCTTTAAAAAGCCGCAAAGGTGGCTCAAAAAAGGGGTACTTTTTAAAAAGTCGGTTTTTTGCAATTTTCAAAATGACACTCCAACTATGGTGAAAAAACGAGTACCATATTCAGGTGTAGAATTCCATTCCACGAATTCTGAAAAAAAAATCGGCAGCATAGCTCCAAAAAGAAAGGAGAAAACTCGATTTTTCAGTACCGACCGGTCGATAATGACAGCCACTAAAAAAAAGTCATTTGGGTATCACAAAGAGTAAAAAAAAGAATGTATGGAAAAAAAAGTGAAAAAAATTGAAGTTAAGAGGAAACGGTCAGAAGCCCTTAATGTAGAGGGGGCGCGGCGGAGCGCGGCTCCCGAAACAAAGGAGGTAGTTAAAGTGCAATCATCAGATTGTGATGAAACTTAGCACACTTTTAGAACATTTTTTAAAGACAGGCAGTTTCCTATCCGAGATTTTTAGATCAAAAATTGGCAAAAATGCAAGACTTTTTTACGAATTTTGACCTGAAAAGTTTCATAGCTATTTCTACCGTAGACGGTAATGTTCCGACAAAAAATAAATTTCTACCATGCGAAACTGGCAATGATATGAATAAAAAGTGTTTTCTCTCTAACCCCTCTCCGCGCTTTACTCGCTCTCTCGGCCGTAAATATCGAAAAAAGGAAAATCTGAGGGTCGCGGCGCACTTATGACACGTTCCTTGAAAAAAATGAGCATTTGAATTGCCAAGTATCAAGTTTTTTCTATCAGTCTGTCGGGAAAATAATGTGCACTCTGTAGCATCAAAAATCCCATTGCCGCCAAGAAAATGAATTGTCTCGCGACAAAACCAAATAGCTTTTCAGTTCAGCGACGCGGCTTGCGTAGCGACATTGTGTTCATTATTTTCCCGACAGACTGATAGGCAAAAATTTAGTAAAAAGTCATCATAATTGCACCTTCATCTACTGCCATATGAACTCACCTCAAATCCCTGTGGCTGTGTCTTTTCGTAGAACGCTTTCAACTTGTCGTTCAGCTCTTTTCCAGCCTCTTTGGCGCCAAAGAAAAGGCAGACCACCTTCTTGTTCAATTCATCGGAAGTTACTTGCTGACTGGGGCCGTCGGGATTGTTGCGGAAAAGTGGAGCGCCACGAAGAAGATCAGCCATCTTTCGACCGCAAAAAAGGGGGAAAATGTGGTCGAAATTGAAATTGTTCGGTCGATTTTGATTTTTTGAGGGAATTATTGAAATTTTTTGAATTTTGAAAATTTTTTTGAATATTCAAATTTTTGGGTTTGAGATTTTTTGCTTTTTTTTTGAAGAATGTCTGTTCAGAAAACATTTTTTAGATCGATTTTTTGTTATAAATCCGATAAAAACAACATTTTTTATTTTAAAAGTTTCCAAATGTATCCAAAACACTTTTTCAGCCAAAAAATCTCGGATTTGGCCCGTAAATCCTTTGCCACTTTGTTTGATCCACTTCCCCCATTGGTCTCGATCTAATCTCGGCCCGCTTTTCTTCCATTTTGGTGTTGTTACCATTCACTCATCCCCCGATCGGATGAGTGAATGGTTTTGACAAAAACTCGGAATAATGGCGTCATTCGATACGGACAATCGAAACTAACCACCGCGATTGGGTTTCCGGATCAGCCACGATTTGCCGGGTCACTCGTGGGGACTTGTGTTTTTTGCATTAAATAACCGAATGAATAAAAAAATGCACTGTGCAGGAGTTTGTTTTGAATATTGTAGGGTAAAATACGCATCGCCGAAGTGAGTAGGAAAAAATTGGAAGAAGTTGAGTCAATTTGTTGTGTTTCCAACTTATTTTGCAAAAAAAAATTCTTGCACTGTGCAAAATTTTTGAATTTTTATTTCTGCACCGTGCAAGATATTTTTTGGCTGTTGAGGGTAAAATACGAGTTGAAATGAAAGCGAATCGACTCACTCAGATACAAGACATCTCAATTAACAGCATTTTATTAAATTTTTTAAAAATTTTTTTTGCACTGTGCAGAATTTTTGAAATTTTATTTTTGCACTGTGCAGTTTATTTTTTGGCTGTTGCATGGTAAAATACGGACCGAATTGATCTCGAATTCACACGTTCAGGTACAAGGCGTCTCAATTAACAGAATTTTATTAAACTTAAAAAAAAAAAAAATTTTGCACTGTGCAAATTTTTGAATTTTTATTTTTGCACCGTGCAAGATATTTTTTGGCTGTTGCATGGTAAAATACGAATTGAAATGAAAGCGAATCGACTCACTCAGATACAAGACATCTCAATTAACAGCATTTTATTAAATTTTTTAAAAATTTTTTTTGCACTGCGCAAAATTTTGAAATTTTGTTTTTGCACTGTGCAAGATATTTTTTTGGCTGTTGCATGGTAAAATACGGACCGAATTGATCTCGAATTCACACGTTCAGGTACAAGACATCTCAATTAACAGCATTTTATTAAATTTTTTAAAAATTTTTTTTGCACTGTGCAAAATTTTGAAATTTTGTTTTTGCACTGTGCAAGATATTTTTTTGGCTGTTGCATGGTAAAATACGGGTTGAAATCACACCGCAATTCGCTTATTCAGATACAAGACATCTCAATTAACAGCATTTCGTTAAATTTTACAAAAAAAAATTTTTCACTGTGCGAGATTTAGTTAGAACTTTTATTTTTGCACTGTGCAAGATATTTTTTGGCTGTTGCATGGTAAAATACGGGTTGAATTGATATCGAATGCACTCATTCAGATACAAGACATCTCAATTAATAGCATTTTAATTTTTTTAAAATTTTTGCACTGTACAGAATTTTTGAAATTTTAAATATTTTTGCACTGTGCAAGATATTTTTTGGCTGTTGCATGGTAAAATACGGAAAACCGAATTTAGTCATTCAGATACAAGACATCTTAATTAACAACGTCTTATTAAAATTTTTTTTTATTTTTTTGCACTGTGCAGAATTTTTGAAATCTTATTTTCGCGCTGTGCAAAGCCAAAAAATCCCGTTTTTGCACCGTGCACTTGTCGGATTCAAAAAAAAATTTTTGTAAAATACGTCATACATCCTTTTGAAATAAGATTGATTTCAAATTTCATTTAATAAATTCGACTGCACAGTGCAAAATTTCAAAAATTTCCTCGCACTGTGCGAAAAGGCAAAAATCATTTTCCTGTCCGAAAAAAGTCGAGAGGCTCATTTTTGACGTGTCCCCGACTTAGTATCGCTTTCAGTTGTCCTCGGAAAAATCTGGGGTGGCCTACCGTTAATCTCGAAATAAACAAAACTCTCTCTTCTGGCCTCATTTGGCGCTTCGTCCGCGAGATTTTCGAACCAAAAATTTTTCGGAGCCGAAAACAAGACTCAACCCGTCTGCTACAGTATGCTCGAGGCTGAAAATTGGAAATGGGCTGTGTGAGAGGGATAAATTGGGGTGGTAATTTTGAAAAATTGGAAAAATTTAGGTGATTCAAAAAAAAAATTGAAAATCAGAAAATGATAAAACCAGTTTAATCAACATATTTTAGGCCTATACTAAAAATCCTAAGAAAAAAATCACATTTATTTTTCCAAAAAATCTCAAAAATGCAAAAAATAAAAAAATAATTTTTTGAAAAATTACAGTAATCTCATCACAAATATACCACCTGTACTATCTAAAAACACCATAAAAGTCCTCCTCGATTATCACTCATCACCACCAAGCTATCAAATTACTGAAAACAACTCAATTTCCCATAAAACCCCTTCCTCGTCGCTGATTGGCCGACGCTCCCGCGCCGTGGCCCCGCCCCCTTTTTCTACCAACCTTTTTCAAAGTTTGGCCAGAAGTCTCGACTCTCGACCCGAACCTTTGCGCTCGCTCGGTAATTTGGCGACTACTAATATGGCGGACAAGTTGTAAGTTTATTTTGTGGGACATTATATAGGGCGGTGTGTTTACACTTTTTTTTCTGTTGATTGGTGAGACGTTATAAACAGTTTACATTTTGTAAACACATTTCCGGACGGTCATGTCCGATTTGACGGGAGTTCTTGTTGGAATGCCCTGAGGGTTGGTGGAAATAAGTGTTTTGAAATTTTGGGGGAGTCAGTAGTAACTTTGTTAAAAACTCGTTGAAATTAGTTGTAAATTGACCGCTAACAGTCTTCAACTTAAATTTTAGGATGGTAAATTTATTTACCATCAATTTTAAGGCCATAAGTCATCAATCTATCGCCATTTTCAGCGTGAAAATCGAGCTTCCCGAGCTGCAAAATGACAATTCTCATGTCCAACCGATCCCCGCGTACAACGGCTTTTATATCCAGCCTTACAACGAGATTTATGAAGACAAATCCTCACTCTCTCCACCTCTGTCGACTGGCTCGGATCACATTGAAAAAGAGGTGAAGAAATCGTCAAGTGGCCAGAAGAAACGCAATCGACGCGCCGAAAATCGGCTCGAGAAACCGCCACACTCATACATCTCGCTGATCGAAATGGCGATTAGGGTAAGGTTTGAAGTGAATTTTAAACCATAAAATAAGTTGATCTCAGTCTGTCGGGAAAATAATGAACACTCTGTCGCATCGAAAATCGCATCGCCGTCGAGAAAATGAATTGTGTCGCGGCAAAATCAAATTGATTTTTAATTCAGCGACGCCTTCGACGCAATGATATTGGGCTCATTTCTTTCGATTTTTTTGAAAAAAAAGATTTCTCATAGAAAAAAAATTCAATACGATGATGCAATTTGGTATAATATTTTTGGCTGCAAAAGTTTTAAAAATGAAACTTTATGAATTGTGATTGCGCTGTTTATACGACGGAGTGCCTTACAATATTAATATTGTCTGAAAGCCGACTTTTTATTCTACTGCCATGCCAGATTTCAGCCTTCTAGCGCAAACGGCTAGCAAGATATGGAGAGAGAAAGCAAGCACATACCGAAAAAATAGAAAAAGTCGCGGAGATCGGTTGTGCCCCAAAAGTACGGAATGCCGTGCGCCGATCGCGGAATTGAAAAGCAATTTGATTTTGCCGCGATACAATTCATTTTCTCGGCGGTGATGAGTTTTTGGATGCGACAGTGTGCTCATTATTTTCTCATCAGACTAATAAATCAAATTTTTAAAAACAAGTTTTTTCTGTCTGTTTGACAAGCAATACCTTGTCTTATCCCCAAACTTTTAGTCCCAAGCCTCCGGCCGCGCCACTCTCGCCGAGATCTACGACTTTCTCCAGGCTCGGTTCGACTTCTTCCGCGGCTCCTACGTTGGCTGGAAGAACTCGATTCGTCACAATCTCTCTCTCAACCAATGCTTTGAGAAGCTGCCAAAAACAGCGGGTGCCAAGTGCGGGAAAGGCCATTATTGGACAATGGCGGCCAATGCCGTCATCTCGAATGGGACGCCGAATCTGAATGTGACGAGGAAAAAGGAGCCATTCAAGAAGAGCGGATTCACCGAAGCCGGCGGGTATATGGACTTTGAGGGGAATAATGGCGATGTTCTTGATGCCATCAACAATGTTGATGATGGTTATGGAAGTGGAGGAGTAAGTTGTGAAATTGTTTTGAAAAAAATGTGAAAAGCAATTTAACTTTGCCGCGACACAATTCATTTTCTCTACGGCAATAGGATTTTCGATTTTTCGATGCGACCAAGTTCCCATTATTTTCCCGACAGGTTAATAGCCAGCTTTCGTCGTATGGAAGTTTTTAGTGCAGAGCTTGACTTTATAATGTATGCAACGCTATCCGATCTTTGTGAAATTGCCGCAGACTTATAAAGAAATCACCCCAAGTACTGTATTGTTTAATTTTTTTCAACACTTTGGGAATAGGGCACTATCAGCGCTTCAACACTTTAACACGCGCTTTACAGGGCCAGCCGAGATGATTAAGCACCCTCGAAAAACTTTTTGGACGCATTTAAACGCGTTTTTTGTGGAAACATTTCTTTCTACGGTAGAAATAGGAATTTATATCAAACCATAAGAAATGTCCATAAATTTGGAGGAAAATTGGAGGAAAGTTGGAGGGTCTGCATTAGTCTACCTCCAATAAAATTATGATCAAAATTTACTCTCGGAATAGCCAAAAATTTGGTCTTTAGCTAAAGCGTTCTTAAAAATTCCCCGCCAAAGTTCGAGTTCGCAACAATCTCCGACTTTGATGTCACCTCAAAAAACGATGACTCAATAAATCCGCTCGCATATTTCACTTGTGTTTTTGTTGCGAAGACACTTCTTCCCCGCTATTTGGCCATAAATCGAGCGTGAGGCGATAAATTTCCCTCCCGCTTCGGAAATGTATCGCTTTTCGGAGTATTAATTGTTGCGGTAAAAAAGAAACTTTTCAATCGAAATTCGTATATTGAATTGTAACGTTTGCTAAGCAGCGGTCTTTCAGATAAATCCCACGTTATTCCAACCGTATCCTGAGCAGCCAATCTCCACCGAGCACTCCTACAATTACTGCCCATCCAACTTGGAGGGAGAAGCGCATTGGAATTCCCCGCAAATTCTTCCATGGTATGGCACAACGTACGTTCAAAATGGGGAATTCCCAACGACGTCGGCTCAAACCGAGCTACCCGAAATTTCGGGAGATTTTGATGGAAGATTAAGCAGTCAAGAGCATCAGGATCAGCATGATATCAATGAATACAACATGGGTAAGAAAACTCGATTGGAAAAATCGAAGTGTTAGGGGTGGAAGGCGTTGATTTTGATGCTGCTAATTTTTACGTTTACGAAATCTAGTGAATATCAGTCTGTCGGGAAAATAATGAGCCCAATGTCGCTGCGCCAATCGCGTCGCTGAAGTGAAAAGCAACTTGATTTTGTCACGACACAATTCATTTTCTCCGGTTGCGATGCGATTTTCGATGCAACAGAGGGCTTATTATTTTTCCGACAGACATAAATTTTTATGATTCCTAGTGCCATTACATAGGTTTTATTCAAAAAAGCGTAGACTTTTTTAGCAAGGCCGCACCGTGCAAAAACCCCATTTTGCACTGTGCAACCTAAAATACAATATCGCGCAACAAAAGCCATTTTCAACTTATTGTTAGTCGCTGCGACATTTCTGAAGCGAGTTCGCGCGATGGGTCAAAATGCACAGTGCAAAATGTTCGAAAAGCCTGCACGGTGCGAAAAAGGGACAAAGTCGGAAAAGGGGTGCATTGTGCGTCGCGACAAACAGTGTTTCAGTCTGTCGGGAAAATAATGCGCACTCTGTCGCATGAAAAATCGCATCGCTGCCGAGAAAATGAATCGTGGCGCCTCAAAATCAAATTTATTTCCACTTCAGCGACGCTGTCGGCGCAGCGACGCGCTCATTATTTTCCCGACAGTCTGATAAATTTGTCAGAGATTACAAGCCTTTTACCGATAAAAAACCCATATATTTTTCCTTTCAGCCCCCACAATCCCAGTTTATCAGCACCCCAATGCGGATCCCACCCAGCTCTCGACAATGTTCCAGCAAGCCCCGCAGGTCTTCGAATTCCGTCCCAACACCTACTCCGACTTTGTTTTCCCACAATATACGGTGGAGCCGAAGCAATGTGATCAGAGTTTCGATCATGTTACCGAATGTTCCGATGGGCTTTATTCAATTTCAATGACGGACTTTGAACCTCAAGGTTTCAGCGCCGTCAATGAAGCCAACTTTACGCCGTTTTCGGAATGAAGGAGGGCTGGAATTCGAATAATTTTGCTTTTTATACAGTGTAAAAGATGTTTATTATAGTTATATTCTCTTGAAAGGTGGATTTTACGCTTAATAAAATTGGAAATCAAACAAATTAGTGAGTTCTACAAGCGCTGAAAAGCTTCGTTTGCAGTTTGCAACTGCCCAAAAATGAAAACAGCTTTCTTTTCGAGAGAGCACGTAAAATGAAGAGAGCCGCCTAAAGAAAAAAATTTTTTTGCTTTTTCCTTTTCTCCGTGAGCCCAGGTAACGTGGGAAGGCAGAAGCACAGTAGCGCTTCTTTGCAGCAAAACTTGTCTATAACGAACAATTTAAGGGGTCTCAACGTTTGCACACTTTTAATCAGGCCAAATTGGATCTCACAAAACGCTCTGTGAAATATCAGTCTGTCGGGAAAATAATGATCACTCTGTCGCATTGAAAATCGCATCGCCGCCGAGAAAATGAACTGTGTTGTGACAAAATCGAGTTGCATTTCACTGATAGTGCATGATATTCGTTGCACGCCTGACTGTATTTACACACACTTCGGCAAAAGTTGCGCAACAAATCGGGCATTTTTATGGCAGAAATTCTCAAAATTAAGCGCAGAAATTTTATTTCCCCGATGACTCTTTACTCCAACTTCATTCTGTATTTTGATCGGGTCTCTAGTCTACCGTCTTCAATTCTCATCCTCAAGATGTCCACCGAATCTTCTGCTCCTTCCAATTCCGGTGCCTTCTCCACTAAACGTATCTTCTTGGTGAAGACCAGCCTCGATGATACGCTGAGTTTCCTGCAAAAACAGCTTGACGAGCTGTTCGATTTCGACCAACGAGACCACAATTTAAAGGTCATGATGATCGAGGACTTGATGGGCGACTTGGAGGAGTGTGTCAACTTGTTTCATCATCGCAAATACCCGGAAGCAGTTGTGACCATTATGAATGATATCATGGGAAGAGCGCTACTGTAAGTTAAAACACGATTTTTCTAACACTCGAGCGCACCTTTATTGGCCGGCTACACGAAAATTCAAACTGCTTCAAATCCAGCGAAACTTTCAAATCTGTGCCTATGGACAGTTCTAAGAAACTTTCCCGTTAACTTTTTTTGATTACTCACCGTAGCGTGGGTTACTGTAACTTGACCTCAAAATTTATATCTCGGTAACCAGACGTCGTAGAAGGACGGCACCTTCACCATTATGTTCCTCATGCAAAATAACGTGTTTTTGGTTGTTACACCCGGATATGAAAATTATCGGAAGGGTTCCAAAAATTTGAATATTCATGCGCTGAACAATAAATCTTCAATTTTCTCGAAAACTGGTTATTATTTTAGCGCTTTTTTATTGCATATTCTGAAAGCAGAGCTTTTTCTGAATCGAATGCATATAAGGATTGCTCACAAAGCCGGAGAATTTGGGGGTAACCGGCCGCCGGAAGTTGGCGTACTCCGTTCGAGATCTAAGAAAACGGTCTAAAATCGCAGCAAATTGGACAATTTTTGAATTTCTTTTTTTATCCAGTTAACTCTAGGGCTTTTTTAGTCCTCATAGACAAAAAGTCATCAACAAATTTATGTTGAAAAGCCCGTTTTAAAAAAATTTGCATATTTTCGCGCAGTTCTTAAAATTTGTAAATATCTCAAATATTTCCAATGTTATACCCATTATTATCATTGTACAATACATTAGGCAATGTGAGAATCCAACTTTAACTATACGTGTCGCAATTTGAACACCATGTTTTGCGCAGGAAGGCGCTATCTATATGAACACGTAGTGAAAACTGTTATCTCTTGTTTTTCTCGTGAAATTATGCTAATTTTAGCACTTTTTTATTGCATTTTCAAAAAGTACAGTGTATCCTGATTCGAATGCGTTCAAGTATGTTACAAGTCGATGGAGATTTGAGTGAAAACGGAGCTGCTAAAGTTCTTATAACCTCAGTTTCTCAATTGGCAGCAAATCGCTTATTCTTTACGAAGTTTGCTAAACAGTGGCCTACACAAGAGCCAAAGGCTAGTGAGCCGTCCCCTAGGTTCCGTAGAGACATTCAGGAAGACACTGAAGATGTGGACGAGAGACTTTTAGAAAACGATGGGACGAAAGATGTCATCGTCACATTTTAGAAAACGATGGGACGAAAGATGTCATCGTCACTGATATAACCCTTGTGTAATAATCGCGTACTATTATCTTTTTCATTGCTGATTTAAAATGGGGTCATAAACTTGCATGTGAACTGTAGCAGCAGCTCCGTTTTCACTCAAATCTCCATCGACTTGTAACATACTTGAACGCATTCGAATCAGGATACACTGTACTTTTTGAAAATGCAATAAAAAAGTGCTAAAATTAGCATAATTTCACGAGAAAAACAAGAGATAACAGTTTTCACTACGTGTTCATATAGATAGCGCCTTCCTGCGCAAAACATGGTGTTCAAATTGCGACACGTATAGTTAAAGTTGGATTCTCACATTGCCTAATGTATTGTACAATGATAATAATGGGTATAACATTGGAAATATTTGAGATATTTACAAATTTTAAGAACTGCGCGAAAATATGCAAATTTTTTTAAAACGGGCTTTTCAACATAAATTTGTTGATGACTTTTTGTCTATGAGGACTAAAAAAGCCCTAGAGTTAACTGGATAAAAAAAGAAATTCAAAAATTGTCCAATTTGCTGCGATTTTAGACCGTTTTCTTAGATCTCGAACGGAGTACGCCAACTTCCGGCGGCCGGTTACCCCCAAATTCTCCGGCTTTGTGAGCAATCCTTATATGCATTCGATTCAGAAAAAGCTCTGATTTCAGAATATGCAATAAAAAAGCGCTAAAATAATAACCAGTTTTCGAGAAAATTGAAGATTTATTGTTCGGCGCATGAATATTCAAATTTTTGGAACCCTTCCGATAATTTTCATATCCGGGTGTAACAACCAAAAACACGTTATTTTGCATGAGGAACATAATGGTGAAGGTGCCGTCCTTCTACGACGTCTGGTTACCGAGATATAAATTTTGAGGTCAAGTTACAGTAACCCGGACTACGGTGAGTAATCAAAAAAAGTTAACGGGAAAGTTTCTTAGAACTGTCCATAGGCACAGATTTGAAAGTTTCGCTGGATTTGAAGCAGTTTGAATTTTCGTGTAGCCAAGGCTCTCGACTCATAGAAAAATCGTGTTTTAAAAGACGATTTTTGGCTCGCTGCGTCAGCCAATACGAGGGGCCGGACATTCAAAAAATTTTTTTTTTGAGTTTTTTGGCCTAAAATGTTTGTATAGGTCACTAAAACACATTCCCAAAATTTTTTTGCCCAGTGATGCCCGGAAGGTAGAAATTTGCATACGGTTATATCCGTCCTTCTGAGCTCTGCTGTTGCCGTCGCAATAAAGACAACTCGACGAAACCGACACCGTATAGGTTTTGGTGGATGGCGAATTCAAAAATCGCAATTTCAAATTAGTAGGATTACTGTAACATACAGTTTTTGACCTTCGGTCGATAAGAATCGACCGTATCTTCTTCAAATCAAAAATCCCACAAGATTTTATTGCAGATTTGGAATCAGCGTAAAATTCTGGTCTAGGAGCATGTAATTTGCATCCTTGATTCCGTGGCAGATAAATCATGGCGCAGTGGGTTTTGACGAAAACTAGTAATCTACCGACCCTGGTTCGATCCCCGCTGAAGACAAATATTGTAAAAAATGTGGAAATGACATTTAATGGAATTATGAGGGTTGTATGAGCAACGCTGAGTATTTTTAGACATCAATGTAACATGAATTTGAGGCTAGAACAGGGTTTATATTATTTTAGCCTCGGAATCCGTGAAAAATAAAACTGCTTCAAACGGGCTGAAATTGATAACACCTATTCTAGGCCTAATTCTTAGAAACTTTTACGTTAACTTTTTTTTGTTAGATTACTGTAGCGTGGATTACGGTCACATAAAACCCAATTTTGTTTTTTCATACCATAAGGCGCAGAGCCATCGGAATATCACAAAGATTGTAGAAGTGGTTAAGAACGAGTGGGCTTGCGCAATAATAGTTCGTTTATGGCCGTATGTTTTGAAATACCTGAGTTATCTAACACAGTATCACCAATGGATGATGAGATTAATGCACACTGGAAATGAGTTAGAATCGAATTTTAAATATGAAGTATGCCCGCTTTCTGCCGTTTGAATAATATAGCCAAAAAAAATTTTAATTTTATGCAAAAATTTTGAAGCAATCGCCTTTAACGAGGCCGAGCTTTTTGTTACCGTAATCCACGCTACAGTAATCTAACAAAAAAAAGTTAACGTAAAAGTTTTTAAGAATTAGGCCTAGAATAGGTGTTATCAATTTCAGGCCGTTTGAAGCAGTTTTATTTTTCACGGATTCCGAGGCTAAAATAATATAAACCCTGTTCTAGCCTCAAATTCATGTTACATTGATGTCTAAAAATACTCAGCGTTGCTCATATAACCCTCATAATTCCATTAAACGTCATTTCCACATTTTTTACAATATTTGTCTTCAGCGGGGATCGAACCAGGGTCGGTAGATTACTAGTTTTCGTCAAAACCCACTGCGCCATGATTTATCTGCCACGGAATCAAGGATGCAAATTACATGCTCCTAGACCAGAATTTTACGCTGATTCCAAATCTGCAATAAAATCTTGTGGGATTTCTGATTTGAAGAAGATACGGTCGATTTTTATCGACCGAAGGTCAAAAACTGTATGTTACAGTAATCCTACTAATTTGAAATTGCGATTTTTGAATTCGCCATCCACCAAAACCTATACGGTGTCGGTTTCGTCGAGTTGTCTTTATTGCGACGGCAACAGCAGAGCTCAGAAGGACGGATATAACCGTATGCAAATTTCTACCTTCCGGGCATCACTGGGCAAAAAAATTTTGGGAATGTGTTTTAGTGACCTATACCAACATTTTAGGCCAAAAAACTCAAAAAAAATTTTTTTGAATGTCCCCGGCTGACGCAGCGAGCCAAAAATCGTCTTTTAAATCGTTTTATTTTCTTTGATTTGATGGGGGTTTTGTCGGTTTATATTTAGGTTCTGTTGGTTTTGTAAACCCTTTACGGTAGGAATAAGCAAGCAACTTTTCAACTTTAAAATTCTCAAAAAATGGGTAACATTTTTACCGAGCGAGAGCCAGGAATTTCGAAAAAGAAATATTCTAAATTTGTGCCAAGATTGACTCATAAAGACCGCTAGGATATGCACCAATCCTTTGCAGGAAACTATGTCGAAATGTGAGAAAATTCTACTCTTTTCTCGAACTTTGACATGGAAAACTTCATGCCTATGTAGAGGGTAATCCTTCCACAAAAAACTAAGACCTATACATCGTTGAATATCTCGGCTGTCCCTGCAAAGCATAAACTAAAATTTTCAAGAATTGATATTTAACCTATGCCCTTACTTTTTTAGAAATTGATATATGACATATTCTTGCTCAACTTCAGATTTTTACTCTTTCAGAATTGCCACGAACATTGCCCAATGCACTCAGAAGAACTTTACCCACACGAATGACATTTGTGCTATCTGTTTGGAAGAAGAAGCCCAACAGCCCGTCTACTGCCTCCAATGCCTCAAAGTGGTATGCTGCAAAGGCTGTATGACCCAGCTGATGAAGCACAGTAAGCATTTTTTGACCTGCTTGAGATGCCAGAGGAAGAGTTCAATCACATTCCCATTCTTTTTTTATGCTAATGTAAGTCCGAATACGTCGGAATAATTTATGTCTTGAAGAGTTATAGTTGTTTGTAATAAATCAGAGTTCTATTATATATTTGAAATTTAACTTGGATATATTTTGATTTGAAAAGTTCAAAAAATTTGCGCTTATAAGAGTATTCGTGAATCTTAACTTTCGTCGCTGCGATATTGCAATTGTATCAGTCTGTCGGGAAAATAACGGCGGATCGTCGCAGCAAAATGTCCCGCCGGTATCGCGCACCAAATGCCAAGCCGCTGCTTGCAGTCGCAAAGCGATAATGGGCGATTCGGAGGCGCGACGATCCCCCGTTATTTTCCCGACAGACTGATACGGTGCAAAAGATCAAATGCTCGTCGCAAAAAGGGGTTTTGTGCACGGCGCGGCCCACGACAAAAAGTCTACGCACTTTTGATAAAACGTAATTCATTTTCATAAAGTCCGCAGACTTTTTCTCGCAAAGCTTTTTGCACTGTGCATTTCGTTTTTTGGCAAATTTTTTGCACGGTGCAAAAAATGTCGCCGCGTGGCAAGCTTTTTCCAACTACGTCGCTGCGGCTTTGCCGAACTATTCGCACGGTGCAAACTGCTTTTTCAATTTTGCACTGTGCAAAAAACAGCAAAATGCACAGTGCATTAGCGGCAAACAGGAGAAAAAAGCAAAATGCACTGTGCGATAAAAGACAAAAAAGACGAAAAAATGTCTACGCACTTTATGAAAATGCTGGAGTTATTTCGGCGACATGCACTGTGCAAAAACAAAAATTCACTTTGCACTGTGCTATTTCTCGCTTTTTGCACCGTGCAATAGGCTTTTTTTGGCTGTCGCTCGCACCCTGATTTTTTTCGCACATTGAAAATATAAGCATTAAAAAATCACTATAGCGACTTTGCAAACGCACTAGCACCATTTTGCAGCCTAAAAACACTCCCGCGACAAAGTTTTTATATTTTATATAGGTTCATCCTCCCTTTCAAAAAAGTCTGGATTCCCTAATCCAAACCTGTGACACAACGCTGATTATGAACTTTGTGCCCACCCCTCTATCGGAGGTATAATAAACGAAACACATCGGGAAAAAGCGTTTGTTTTCCTCGCTTTTCAGTTTATTTCTCATGTCTGAAAAGACGTTTTAACGGGGGGTTTTAGAACACTTTTGTTTTCCTCATCAATCTTTTCATGCGTTTTTAGTTGATTGCGGAGTTTGATCAGGTAGATAAGGTAATTTTTTTTTGATGGTTTAGAAATTATGCAACTACAAGGTAATTTCTGCAAAAATCTTTTTTTTAGTCTGTCGGGAAAATAATGAGCACTCTGTCGGATTTCATTTCTGCGACGCGATTGGTGCAGCGACAGTGTGCTCAATACTTTCCCGACAGCTGATAGGAGGAGCTTTTGAAATTTTTTGTTGTGGACAGGCCTCGTTATACTAGAGTCCCTTGTACTGGAGGTCGAACTATCCGCCTTAAACATAGTTTTCGTTGAGCAACTTGTCAGTGTAATCTTTATTTTGCCGACATCTTGCTACTCCAAGTTCGACTTTCAGATTCTCTAAAAATTTTGCAAACACCGCGGCACGGCAACCCAAAATAGAACAAAAATGTCTCCCGCCCACTTTTGAATTTCGTCCAAACGAAGTGTCAAAATTCACAAAAGAAATAAAATATGTAATTCCGAGAAAAATATTTTTCGGTCGGAAAACCACACGAAAATTCATTTTTGACATTTGGTTTGAATTCAACCGATACTAGGTGGGCGAAGCGCCGAAACGAGGCGGGAGACTCCCTGGGTTGCCGTGCGCGGTGATGAGCCGAATATCAATTCCTAACGAGGAAAGTACTTCTATGGGGTATGGAGTGCTGCCAGCGTTTACTTTAGCTCCAAACAAAGCTTTTCAATTGGTAAAAACTTGGTCAAAAAGGCATTTTGAGTGGTGTTGCGAGAAAAGTTTTGAGGATTTTTTCACCCTTACAAACCAAAATAAGGCAGTTAATTTTTATATACTCTGAATCAGAAAAATTTTGCGAAATTTTTGATGTATGTCTCGACCGGAAACTCCATACCCCATAGAAGTACTTTCCTTGGAAAAATTTTAACTTGCGCTTTGCAGGGGCAGCCTAGATATCGAACGATCTTTGCGGCAGAGAGAGCACACGAAACGTAAGCGGTCAGGGTAAAACACTTTTTGGGCCTTATCTTGTTCCATTTCGTATGAAAAAAAAATTATTTTTTTGTGGAAGCATTACCCTCTGCTGTAGGAATAGGCATGAAACGTGCATTTGTTTTTTTTGTCGCGCAATCGACTTCGCGACGACATTTACGTCATTAACTTTAATTTAGCCTAATAAACCTTAATTCAACAAGTTGATCAGTCTGTCGGGAAAATAATGTGGACTTGCTGTGCCTTGGAATCGCCCACCGTCGCTTTGCAACGGCTTGCCGCGGCTGAAGCTTTTGTGCGTGTCAGCGACGAGGCAAAACATTCCGTTGCGACAAATCCACATTATTTTTCCGACACACTAATGTGTCAAAAATCTTATCGTTGAATTTTTTTGTCTTCTTTATTTTCCCTAATTTTCGAACCGGTTTTTCCCACACCAAAAATCACAATGACATTACCCCTATTACTACCTATTTTTGTTTGCCCATTAATCAAATACCGCAATCTAAACATGCGATGTTATTTTTAAAGATCACGCCGGGACTGTGGTAACTTTCCATTCCGGATAAAACCCGCTGAAAAAACATTTTAAAAAGCCCCGTAAAAAGCGAGAATCTTATCATTGCATCAGTTGGGCTGCAAGAAATCCGAATTTTGTTTGATAATTCCTTTTATTTCTTTCGTGAGAATGGAATTCGGTTCGAACGCTCTTTGCACTATAAAAAAATAGTTGAAAAAATATGTTTTGCGTTTGGAACTTCTAGTTGATTATTTTTTGAATGGCTTGGTATAATTAGAGCAGGCATAGAGAAAAATTGTTTTTTTTTGATTTTTTGTGATTTCTAGTCGAATATTGGTCAATTCAGAGTCCTGCAGATTTCGTATCAGTCTGTCTGAGTAGTAATAAGAGGTAGTTTCTGGCACTAAATTTTGCATCCACTGGAAAAGGGGGGAGGAGCCGGCGCGGGGTGCCGTAAATGAGAGAGTGTGGGATTGGAGGAGAGTGGGGAGAGAGGTGAGGGAATTTTTATGGTATGGTAGTACTGTAAAGGTGAGAGAGTGAGGGATTGGAGGAGAGTGGGGAGAGAGGTCAGGGGAATTTTGCGGTCAAATTTCAAAAAAGATGCGCGGGTGTCGTAATTGAAAGGACGCGATGAAATTGCGGTAAAAAATGAAAAAGATGAGAGAGTGTGGGATTGGAGGAGAGTGGGGAGAGAGGTCAGGGGAATTTTGCGGTCAAATTTCAAAAAAGATGAGAGGGTGTCGTAATTGAAAGGACGCGATGAAATTGTGGTAAAAAATGAAAAAGGTGAGAGAGTGTGGGATTGGAGGAGAGTGGGGAGAGAGGTCAGGGGGATTTTGCGGTAAAAAAAAAATTGAAAAAGGGTGAGAAAGTGGGGAAAAGAGGAGGATTGAGGGTTGTTGCGCAACCTAGAGGTTGCGGGAGGGCAAGAGGTTGCGGGGTGTTGCGCAACCGAGATGTTATGAATGTTGCGCAACCTAGAGGTTGCGGTAGGTTAAAGAGTTTATGATTTATGTCTGTGATTTTTTTCCGGAAAAAGCGGAAGGATCAAGACTATCAAGTCCATCAATAAAGGTTGATGACCCTTCAATAAACTTTTCGACTCAATGATGATGAAATAATTTTTACCCTTTTCAAAAGGATTAAGAATCCAATAACTTTTATTCGTTTATTCAAAAAAAAAAATCTTTTAAATATTTGTATAAAAAATAAGATCAGATTGAGGGACTTCAGTGTGACGTTTGGTAACAGGTGTTAAATAAATTTGAATTTCATCTCCGTCAAAGAGACATCTAGTGTCGCTCTCACATCCATCATCTTTATCGTACAGCGAAAAGAACCACAGCTTCTCACCGCATTTGCTTTGAACAGGTTTCAGACGACAAATCTTACGCCCACGGAATTTCATGTAAAAATTCTAAAAAAAAAAAACATAAAATATATGATATTAAAAACTTACACTAAAATTTATTAACTTCAAAGTATTGATATCGACCCCATCAATGGACACGGCGTATGTCTTCCGGATATATTCGTTAAGGGTAATCGAAATCATGAGGGCGGAGCTAGAAAAAGATTGGGGCTAAACTCCACGAGGCGAAAATAAGCAAATGACCTCATTTGCTTATTTTGTCTCCTCGCGATATGGCTGCGCCTATTATGACGGAGGAAGAGAGGACGCGCGCCTCTTTTCTGATCAACCCAATGATGGATACGACAACATCCAAAACTGTAGTCGTCCAGGTCCTCAAGACCTTCAACAGCGAGGAGTCCAGGACAATTTGTGCAACTGATTGCTTTAACAATCACATCACTTTAGAATGGCCGTTCCCTGATTTTAATATGGGAGGTGAGGCAATATATCCGGGCACACTTCTGAAGCTGGATAATACAGAGGTCCAGAAAAATTTGGCCGAAAAGGTAATTTTTGTTGATGACACTACTGTTGTAAAACATCTTGGAGGAACCACAAAGAGAAGCGAGTTTTATGAAATGTGCCAAAAAGCACGTCAAGAAGATAAGTAAGTTACGATTTGTATAATACAAGATTTTTAGGAATACGGAGACGGTTATCATTCTGAGAATTTGGAAGAACAACAGACCTGCTGACGGAGGTCCGGATATGGTAATAAATGGAGCTGACATGTTCAAAAGACCGATTGTAATATATGTAAATGCACATAATAACGTCTCAAAGTTCTCGCCTCTACGAGAAGGACATGTTTATGATCTTAAACCAAGATCCGCCGAACATCTTCGTATTTTAGCTTCTTTGTTTTTGCCAAACGAGAAGGCCCTGTGTATGCAGAGGGATCGTCTAGATCACGAAAGCTTTTTAAAATGCTCATGATCTGTGCACAGTATATAAATGTTTCTTTTTTATAGTAGACAAAATATTATCATGGAGTTGTTTAACTGTACCTCAACATCAGAAAGTTCAATCGGTAACTATTTTTCATATTCTGCTTCGTACGAGACAAAGAAACCCCGGAATGCAACTGTTCGAAATATTGAAAGGCTTGTAAAAGAACTTGTAGACAGATACTCAAAAGGTTGGAGACTAACTTGAATTATCATATTGTTATAGGTTTCAATTACATTACTATGCACATTTCTGGGGAGATGGATCTCGATGAGTTTAAGGTGGAGGCATTGCCATTAAAAGATTTCAAGCCTTCAGATGTTATTAGAGCCTTTTGTCATGCTTACAGCTGTACGAGAACTTTCACGAATACTCCCTTTAACTTGCAATTATTATTTATTAAACAATAAATTTAAAAAACCGCCAGAGGTTTGAAACATAAAGTTAAACAAGTAATGCCATAATCAAAAGGGCATAAACGTCCATCTAGAGTTCTAATTTGAACATGTAATACAGAGATCTCCCTTGCTCTAACAGGTATCATTAACGGTTGATCGTAAATCTGTTCCACAACATCCCCCGGTTTGCCTTTTACTGTAACCATACGAAGCATAGGTGTTTGAAAACTGCCGACAATAACCTGTTCAACTAAATCGTCAACGTATACGGCTAGGTTCTTGATGCCACCACTGAGATCAGGAGAGAATGGAGCGACAGTTTCGTTTACAATTTCCCCATAATCCGAAAACCCTAGAGTGTACTTTAATTGGGGTGAGAACTCAATCTTCCCCACTACTTCATGATTAACATGTGTTTTCACACGCTGAATTTTCTTGTCGTATAATATTGCGAAATCGGAAGATCTTAAAGGTCTCAGGTTATACATTGCTTTGATTGGCTCTTTCACCGTTTTATGAGGGCGGTTCAATTCATAGACGGGGACCTTCAAAGGTTCAGTCTCAATACGTCTCGTGCCAACCAGGGCAAGGGGGCGTGACATTCTGGGATACTCAACATCCATAAAACCAATCGCAGGATTGTGCGTAGGCAGATGGTCGGTCGAAACCGGGGAGAAGGAGGTCGCGCCGCTTTTGTTCTTGGCAGATTGGGAGTTGTTGTTATTCGGGGCCTTTTTTTCATTTTCGAGAGATAAATTGCCTTTTTGTATATTATTGGAAAGGTGTGATGACGAGGCCTTTGAGGATGCAGAGGGAGCGGTATGTTGTGCCCCTGTTAGTGTTGTTGTAGATGGAGTAGCTATGCTAGTAGTAATTGGATTGCTAAGAGTAGACGGTTGTAAAACAGGCGGATTAGAAGGAGGCAAAGGGCTAGGTTGAGCAGCACCATGAGGAAATGTAGTACTTTTAGCAGTATCTCTAGTAGTATTTCGAATACCCCCCGGATTATTTCTAGTACCAACATCAGCAATATTAGTATTAGAAACGTTTGGAAGAGAAACATTTTGTACCGCGGCTTTTGTCAAAGGGATTGGATTTCCCTCATCAGTCTTCACAGACTTCTTTAATGCGACATCCATCTTTTTACCCTTTTTTAAAACCTTTGGCTCTTCCGGAGCATTTCTTTTACGACGCCCCTCTCCCTTCTCAAGCTCTTCTTGAACCACCGAATTCAAATATGTCACCAAACTCTCAATTGTATTAAAACTCCCTTTAGGGATGTGTATTCTCAAGATTGCGTAAGCAGTTGTAAGATCGATATATTGCCCATCCAAGGTCCCGATAGAAGCCCATGAATGAGGATAGACAATGCTCTGTAAACCACATAAATAGGGGGCGTCAAATGTCAAGGGTTTAGGCAACACGATTTTGAAATCAGCAGGGGTATTTTTCCCAAAGGTGTTACTAGGATCGTTGCTGGGAAGCACAATAAAAAATGACGAACGCATATCTAACATACAAATCACTAACCGTTTTGTTTTTATAGTGACATGGAGCGTTTGACGTGCCCCTTTCATACAGAGGCGGAGTTGATAGAAGATTTTAGATGTGGAGATCTGATTTGCCCAGAGTGTGGCGTCGTTGTCGGCGAACGGATCTTTGACGTCTTAAATGATGTGCCTTTTTATACCACAACACCTACATCAAAAATGTCTGAAGAGAATACAAAAATATTACAAGAGATGACCAGTAAAGGACATCTGCCCTCAAGCATTGAAAAGGATGTTTCAATCCTATTTGACAGAATCAAAGACTATGTAAAAAACACTAGTGACAAACATGTTTTAGCCACTTGCTTGTACATAACATGTCGTAAAAATGGGGTTCCACGGAGTTTCAAAGGTTATCAATGACCCAAGCGTTTCATTTTTCCCTTTTTAGAAATCTCAGAATTGTCGGCGGTTAACATAAAGAAGATCTATAAATGTTTCAAACAGATCCCCGGAAATATTGCCAATGCAAACAAACCGATTGGAGTCGAGGAATATGCAAGCAGATTTTGCGCTTATCTAGGGCTCTCCTATAAAAGACATGCTCAACTAGTAAAAATGGTTCATACAGTTCAAAATAAAAGTGTGCTGACGGGGTAACATATATCAATCTAAAAAATAAAAAATGTTCAGAAATCCTCTTCTTTCAACTATCGCTGCAACTTTATACTACATGTGCAGAGAAGAATACACACTAATGGACATTTACAGGGCAACAGATGTGAGCAAGAATACACTTCGTAAACTACAGAAACAGATTGAAAAAGTCTTCGAGGAAGAAAAATCCGACTGACCCCCTTTTATCGTTAAATGTTCCCCTTATCCTTACACCTATTTACAATGTTTTGATTCCCTCTTATTATCATATATTTTTCGTGAACTGTTGGCGTGTTATTATCGTACCTTTCTTAATTCAATTAATAAAGAAAAAAATTTTTTAGATGACTAACGAAATAGAACAACCACCTTCCAAGAGAAGGCGTCTTACACCCCTGAGGGACTTATCGAATATAAGAGACCCGGCCGTCGATTATCATAGATCGGCTCCCAATTTTCGCCAATGCTCGGAAACCATTATGGAAGAGCAGACAAACTCCAATCATCCACCTTCCAAGAGAAGGCGTCTTACACCCCTGAGGGACTTATCGAATATAAGAGACCCGGCCGTCGATTATCATAGATCGGCTCCCAATTTTCGCCAATGCTCGGAAACCATTATGGAAGAGCAGACAAACTCCAATCATCCACCTTCCAAGAGAAGGCGTCTTACACCCCTGAGGGACTTATCGAATATAAGAGACCCGGCCGTCGATTATCATAGATCGGCTCCCAATTTTCGCCAATGCTCGGAAACCATTATGGAAGAGCAGACAAACTCCAATCATGAAGAATCAATAAAAATGACAACCCAAGAACAAAATAATACATTGTCCCTTGAAGACATTCTCAGGCCCGACTTTAAGGTCTTAGGGCCCGCAGAACTCATGCAGTACATGCAGCTACTCGAAAGGTATCTCTTGTTTTTTTCTCTGATTCATTTTTTAGTGATGATCTCTCAAACATCCCATCGAGTTCTTCACATAATCCCCGCGAAATGATGATGCAAAAACTTTTGGAAGATCTCGACTTTTACAAGGAATTCTCAGAAACCAATATTTCTCTAGATGATCTTGACGAGGAAAATTTTTCTGATCCGTGCTTTGACATGGCAAGGTTTTTAGGAGGCACAGATACCCTCCCTGAATTTGACGATTTTTTCAGACCTCTCCCTCAAAAAGGTCGGGGGTAAGTGCAATAATCGTATAAAAAAGTCAAAAAATTTTATTATAGAATACAATTCTTCCGTGTCGGAGCCTCTCGAGTTAAAACGTCAGAGAGATTTAAATGCTACTCAAGAGAACAAAAGTACCATATACACATTAGTGAAAACATGAGTGATTTTGAAAAACGTTTCAATCAGCTTGTAGAACAATCAGTCAACGAGTGCCTCAGAGAAGGTAAACACTTTAAAAAAAAAATCAAATTTAATTTCTAGTTGAAAGAGGAGGATCAGAAAGGGCCATGTATGTAGGTGTGAGAGTATCGTCCGATAACTTAACGAGACCTCTAAATCATTTCTCCAAAAGAAATGTTTTCGATCCTAAACATCTTTACACAAAATTATTCAAAATTGCACAGTCATCCAAAACTCCAAGCTTGTTGGGGAAACCCTTTGTACTCAACATAACAGTTCTATATGGCAGAATCGGTGGCGCTCCCCCGACACGACAGACAACTAGATCCTTTTTGGAGACAAGTACAGGCATTTTCCATGTTAACACTCAGAAGAATGATTGTCTTCCTGTATCCATAAACATCTCTAGGCTTGCAACTACCAAGGATCTTCCGGGCCATAAAAAATCTGAACGAAAATTGTACAAGGCTCGAAAATTTACAAAACCAACAGAATGTGCTGAACTAAAAGAAGCATACAAACATTTTAAGGCTGCAAGTTTAACAGGAAAGGAAAGCATCGAGTTCACGGTTGGCCTCTGGGAAGCTTTCATGGACCAAAAATACCCAGAAGCCGCTCCACATAAAATTATAGTTTTTGATCGGAGATCTTTTGAGCACGGATGGAGTTACCCGAAACTGGAGAAGGATGAGATTTTGGATGTAAAAACTCCAATTATGCTTTATTACCACGACAATCACTACGACTCCATATGGAGTCCCACTGCTTTCTTCGGAGTCAGATCTTTCTCCAATTTATGTTTCAGTTGTCGGAAATTGATGAGAGAATCAATCGATCATACAGCTAGATGCCAGAAAAAATGCACCAAGTGTTGTCGTATAGGAAACGACTTTCCTTGTAAGGATGATGGCTTTGAAAAGAAGTGCGCCGCATGTACAAAAAAGTTTTTAAACAAGGATTGCTATGAACACCATCTGAAGAAAAACATTTGCTCTTATTACAAAAAATGTGACAAATGTGATCAGGCATATTCAAAAAAGAATGGGCATTTATGTGGATTAAGTTTTTGCGTGTCATGCCGAGGCT